GTGGGGGTTGGGTGGGGGTTGGTACTGGTAGAAGGTGGGTGGGGGTTGGGTGGGGGTTGGTACTGGTAGAAGGTGGGTGGGGGTTGGGTGGGGGTTGGGTGGGGGTTGGGACTGGTAGAAGGTGGGTGGGGGTTGGTACTGGTAGAAGGTGGGTGGGGGTTGGGTGGGGGTTGGGTGGGGGTTGGTACTGGTAGAAGGTGGGTGGGGGTTGGTACTGGTAGAAGGTGGGTGGGGGTTGGGACTGGTAGAGGATGGGTGGGGGTTGGGTGGGGGTTGGTACTGGTAGAAGGTGGGTGGGGGTTGGTACTAGTAGAAGGTGGGTGGGGGTTGGTACTAGTAGAAGGTGGGTGGGGGTTGGGACTGGTAGAAGGTGGGTGGGGGTTGGTACTAGTAGAAGGTGGGTGGGGGTTGGGACTGGTAGAAGGTGGGTGGGGGTTGGTACTAGTAGAAGGTGGGTGGGGGTTGGTACTGGTAGAAGGTGGGTGGGGGTTGGTACTAGTAGAAGGTGGGTGGGGGTTGGTACTGGTAGAAGGTGGGTGGGGGTTGGTACTGGTAGAAGGTGGGTGGGGGTTGGTACTGGTAGAAGGTGGGTGGGGGTTGGTACTGGTAGAGGATGGGTGGGGGTTGGCACTGGTAGAGGATGGGTGGGGGTTGGCACTGGTAGAAGGTGGGTGGGGGTTGGTACTGGTAGAAGGTGGGTGGGGGTTGGTACTGGTAGAGGATGGGTGGGGGTTGGGTGGGGGTTGGGTGGGGGTTGGCACTGGTAGAGGATGGGTGGGGGTTGGTACTGGTAGAAGATGGGTGGGGGTTGGGACTGGTAGAAGGTGGGTGGGGGTTGGCACTGGTAGAGGATGGGTGGGGGTTGGCACTGGTAGAAGGTGGGTGGGGGTTGGGTGGGGGTTGGGTGGGGGTTGGTACTGGTAGAGGATGGGTGGGGGTTGGGTGGGGGTTGGCACTGGTAGAGGATGGGTGGGGGTTGGTACTGGTAGAAGATGGGTGGGGGTTGGTACTGGTAGAGGATGGGTGGGGGTTGGCACTGGTAGAGGATGGGTGGGGGTTGGCACTGGTAGAGGATGGGTGGGGGTTGGTACTGGTAGAGGATGGGTGGGGGTTGGCACTGGTAGAAGGTGGGTGGGGGTTGGTACTGGTAGAAGGTGGGTGGGGGTTGGTACTGGTAGAGGATGGGTGGGGGTTGGCACTGGTAGAGGATGGGTGGGGGTTGGCACTGGTAGAAGGTGGGTGGGGGTTGGTACTGGTAGAAGGTGGGTGGGGGTTGGTACTGGTAGAGGATGGGTGGGGGTTGGGTGGGGGTTGGGTGGGGGTTGGCACTGGTAGAGGATGGGTGGGGGTTGGTACTGGTAGAAGGTGGGTGGGGGTTGGCACTGGTAGAGGATGGGTGGGGGTTGGCACTGGTAGAAGGTGGGTGGGGGTTGGTACTGGTAGAAGGTGGGTGGGGGTTGGTACTGGTAGAGGATGGGTGGGGGTTGGGTGGGGGTTGGGTGGGGGTTGGCACTGGTAGAGGATGGGTGGGGGTTGGTACTGGTAGAGGATGGGTGGGGGTTGGCACTGGTAGAGGATGGGTGGGGGTTGGCACTGGTAGAAGGTGGGTGGGGGTTGGTACTGGTAGAAGGTGGGTGGGGGTTGGTACTGGTAGAGGATGGGTGGGGGTTGGGTGGGGGTTGGGTGGGGGTTGGCACTGGTAGAGGATGGGTGGGGGTTGGCACTGGTAGAAGGTGGGTGGGGGTTGGTACTAGTAGAAGATGGGTGGGGGTTGGGACTGGTAGAAGGTGGGTGGGGGTTGGTACTGGTAGAGGATGGGTGGGGGTTGGTACTGGTAGAAGGTGGGTGGGGGTTGGTACTGGTAGAAGGTGGGTGGGGGTTGGTACTGGTAGAGGATGGGTGGGGGTTGGTACTGGTAGAAGGTGGGTGGGGGTTGGTACTGGTAGAAGGTGGGTGGGGGTTGGTACTGGTAGAAGGTGGGTGGGGGTTGGTACTGGTAGAGGATGGGTGGGGGTTGGTACTGGTAGAAGGTGGGTGGGGGTTGGTACTGGTAGAAGGTGGGTGGGGGTTGGTACTGGTAGAAGGTGGGTGGGGGTTGGTACTGGTAGAAGGTGGGTGGGGGTTGGTACTGGTAGAAGGTGGGTGGGGGTTGGTACTGGTAGAAGGTGGGTGGGGGTTGGTACTGGTAGAGGATGGGTGGGGGTTGGTACTGGTAGAAGGTGGGTGGGGGTTGGTACTGGTAGAAGGTGGGTGGGGGTTGGTACTGGTAGAAGGTGGGTGGGGGTTGGTACTGGTAGAGGATGGGTGGGGGTTGGTACTGGTAGAAGGTGGGTGGGGGTTGGTACTGGTAGAAGGTGGGTGGGGGTTGGTACTGGTAGAAGGTGGGTGGGGGTTGGGACTGGTAGAGGATGGGTGGGGGTTGGGTGGGGGTTGGTACTGGTAGAAGGTGGGTGGGGGTTGGTACTGGTAGAAGGTGGGTGGGGGTTGGTACTGGTAGAAGGTGGGTGGGGGTTGGGACTGGTAGAGGATGGGTGGGGGTTGGGTGGGGGTTGGTACTGGTAGAAGGTGGGTGGGGGTTGGTACTGGTAGAAGGTGGGTGGGGGTTGGTACTGGTAGAGGATGTGTGGGGGTTGGTACTGGTAGAGGATGGGTGGGGGTTGGGTGGGGGTTGGGTGGGGGTTGGTACTGGTAGAAGGTGGGTGGGGGTTGGTACTGGTAGAGGATGGGTGGGGGTTGGGTGGGGGTTGGTACTGGTAGAAGGTGGGTGGGGGTTGGTACTGGTAGAGGATGGGTGGGGGTTGGTACTGGTAGAGGATGGGTGGGGGTTGGGACTGGTAGAGGATGGGTGGGGGTTGGGACTGGTAGAGGATGGGTGGGGGTTGGTACTGGTAGAGGATGGGTGGGGGTTGGCACTGGTAGAAGGTGGGTGGGGGTTGGTACTGGTAGAAGGTGGGTGGGGGTTGGTACTGGTAGAAGGTGGGTGGGGGTTGGGACTGGTAGAGGATGGGTGGGGGTTGGGACTGGTAGAGGATGGGTGGGGGTTGGTACTGGTAGAGGATGGGTGGGGGTTGGTACTGGTAGAGGATGGGTGGGGGTTGGGACTGGTAGAGGATGGGTGGGGGTTGGGACTGGTAGAGGATGGGTGGGGGTTGGTACTGGTAGAGGATGGGTGGGGGTTGGCACTGGTAGAAGGTGGGTGGGGGTTGGTACTGGTAGAAGGTGGGTGGGGGTTGGTACTGGTAGAAGGTGGGTGGGGGTTGGTACTGGTAGAAGGTGGGTGGGGGTTGGTACTGGTAGAAGGTGGGTGGGGGTTGGGACTGGTAGAGGATGGGTGGGGGTTGGTACTGGTAGAAGGTGGGTGGGGGTTGGTACTGGTAGAAGGTGGGTGGGGGTTGGTACTAGTAGAAGGTGGGTGGGGGTTGGTACTGGTAGAAGATGGGTGGGGGTTGGTACTGGTAGAAGGTGGGTGGGGGTTGGTACTGGTAGAAGGTGGGTGGGGGTTGGTACTGGTAGAAGGTGGGTGGGGGTTGGTACTGGTAGAAGGTGGGTGGGGGTTGGCACTGGTAGAAGGTGGGTGGGGGTTGGTACTGGTAGAAGGTGGGTGGGGGTTGGTACTGGTAGAAGGTGGGTGGGGGTTGGTACTGGTAGAAGGTGGGTGGGGGTTGGGACTGGTAGAGGATGGGTGGGGGTTGGTACTGGTAGAAGGTGGGTGGGGGTTGGGACTGGTAGAGGATGGGTGGGGGTTGGTACTGGTAGAAGGTGGGTGGGGGTTGGTACTGGTAGAAGGTGGGTGGGGGTTGGGACTGGTAGAGGATGGGTGGGGGTTGGTACTGGTAGAAGGTGGGTGGGGGTTGGTACTGGTAGAAGGTGGGTGGGGGTTGGTACTAGTAGAAGGTGGGTGGGGGTTGGTACTGGTAGAAGATGGGTGGGGGTTGGTACTGGTAGAAGGTGGGTGGGGGTTGGTACTGGTAGAAGGTGGGTGGGGGTTGGTACTGGTAGAAGGTGGGTGGGGGTTGGTACTGGTAGAAGGTGGGTGGGGGTTGGTACTGGTAGAAGGTGGGTGGGGGTTGGGACTGGTAGAGGATGGGTGGGGGTTGGTACTGGTAGAAGGTGGGTGGGGGTTGGTACTGGTAGAAGGTGGGTGGGGGTTGGTACTGGTAGAAGGTGGGTGGGGGTTGGTACTGGTAGAAGGTGGGTGGGGGTTGGTACTGGTAGAAGGTGGGTGGGGGTTGGTACTGGTAGAAGGTGGGTGGGGGTTGGTACTGGTAGAAGGTGGGTGGGGGTTGGTACTGGTAGAAGGTGGGTGGGGGTTGGGACTGGTAGAGGATGGGTGGGGGTTGGTACTGGTAGAAGGTGGGTGGGGGTTGGTACTGGTAGAAGGTGGGTGGGGGTTGGTACTAGTAGAAGGTGGGTGGGGGTTGGTACTGGTAGAAGATGGGTGGGGGTTGGTACTGGTAGAAGGTGGGTGGGGGTTGGTACTGGTAGAGGATGGGTGGGGGTTGGTACTGGTAGAGGATGGGTGGGGGTTGGTACTGGTAGAAGGTGGGTGGGGGTTGGTACTGGTAGAAGGTGGGTGGGGGTTGGGACTGGTAGAGGATGGGTGGGGGTGGGAATGAGTAGTGTCGTATGTCTTGATACACCATACCGTGGATAAATATGGCTGTTTGATTTTAGTTGAGGGGGGGAGGGAGGGGTGTTAATGTGATGTCTTTAACCAGCATTGCTCTAACCGGGTGTAGTAATAACCAGTTGTATCCTAACCGGGTGTAGTAATAACCAGTTGTATCCTAACCGGGTGTAGTAATAACCAGTTGTATCCTAACCGGGTGTAGTAATAACCAGTTGTATCCTAACCGGGTGTAGTAATAACCAGTTGTATCCTAACCGGGTGTAGTAATAACCAGTTGTATCCTAACCGGGTGTAGTAATAACCAGTTGTATCCTAACCGGGTGTAGTAATAACCAGTTGTATCCTAACCGGGTGTTGTTTGTTCTATCAGACGTCAAGCCATGAATATCCGCTACCACGTCCCACTGACCGAGGTCAAACTGACCAAGGTCAAACTGACCCTTCTGATTGTCTGCCTGGCCGGAACCGTCGGGGCGATAAAACTGACAGCCGTCAAATACGAGTAAGTCATCTGTCATCCACCATCTGTCATCTGTCATCCACCATCTGACATCCACCATCTGTCAACCACCATCTGTCATCCACCATCTGTCATCTACCATCTGTCATCCACCATCTGTCATCCACCATCTGTCATCTGTCATACAACATCTGTCATCCACCATCTGTCATCTGTAATACACCATCTGTCATCTACCATCTGTCATCTGACATCCACCATCTGTCATCCACCATCTGTCATACACCATCTGTCATCTGTCATCCACCATCTGTCATCTGTCATCCACCATCTGTCATCCACCATCTGTCATACACCATCTGTCATCCACCATCTGTCATCTGTCATCCACCATCTGACATCCACCATCTGACATCCACCATCTGACATCCACCATCTGTCATCCACCATCTGACATCCACCATCTGTCATCCACCATCTGTCATTCACCATCTGTCATCTACCATCTGTCATCCACCATCTGTCATCCACCATCTGCCATCTGTCATACAACATCTGTCATCCACCATCTGTCATCTGTAATACACCATCTGTCATCTACCATCTGTCATCCACCATCTGTCATTTGTCATCCACCACCTGTCATCTGTCATCCACCATCTGTCATCCACCATCTGTCATCCGCCATCTGTCATCCGTCATCCATCACCTGTCATCTGTCAATACCTGACTGGTGTAGAAAAAAAAATTCAAACTTCCCGCGCATGTCTTGTGTAGTTGTTAACGGTTACAAATGAGGTGACAAATTTGAAAAGAATCCCTCCCTCCCCCCCCCCCTGAGTTTGAGACAACCTTTTGGTCTCAACTCCCCTCAAAAAACATTTGGATCTAATGCAGCATTGTGCAGCAATTTCTGTAGTTGAATAGAGCATACGATGAGTCCATAATGTTTGAATTGGAAGTTGAGTCTAGGTTTTCTAAGAGAGATTTCATTGAATGTTCTGGCTGATGGGGTCGGCGTGGTCGAGTCGGTAAAGCTCATGGTTGCAAAACCGAAAAGGGGGTCATCCATAAATGACGTCACGCTTTTTCGGACGATTTTGACCTTCTCCATCACACATCGTCACAAAAGCCACCCACCCTAAAATGACGTCACACCTCAGCCTACACCCCCCCCCACTCAAAATTGAAGTTGAATTTTTCTTAAAATACTAGATTTTTCAAAAAATCTTGTCTGAACTCTGCCAACATAGAGTATTTTATTCAATTCCTATTACAATTTATTAAAACAGTTTTCTAAAGCGCGAAATAACGGCTAAAGCTCGTTTTCTGACATGGCTTTTTTTGTAATGCAGAGGTGTGACGTCACACCTTCTGAACCCCCACCCCCCTCATTACACCGTCACAAAATTACGGACATCCCCCCCCCCCCCTTACGAGTGTGACGACATTTATGAACCCAAAGTCTCGTTTGAACCCTCGGGCAGATGAGGCTCGTTAGCTGGGGACAGCCACTCTTCTAGGAGAGACAACTCCAAAATCAAACAACTGCTGCCTTGTAGTTTGTTCTTCGTTGGACAAAGCTATGGAAGCAAATCCAAAAAGGAAAGCAGGCTGAAATCGGAATCAATGGCCTCAATGGCGCATAACCAGTTGACACGTATACTTAATTGTGTTGGAGGGGGGGGGGGATTCCTTTAAAATTAAGAACGAAGAAGAGTATGGCTGGAAAATTATTTTTTTAAAATAATTTTTAGTTTAGGTGGCGCCCCACCCAACCTCACAGGAGCCCTGGAAAAAAATCACATCCTAACAAGCGCTGAACGCTACAAGGAGCGCGAACTGAAAGGACCGGAGTCGTTCGTTTATCATAAAGGTAAAACTTCCAGGTGGGGTGTCTGTCTGCCGTCAGGTGTGACGTTTTGTGACGGGAGCGGTCTATTGGACGTGTGACGATATATGACGGGAGGGGTCAGTGGTCTATTGGACGTGTGACATTTTGTGACGAGAGGGGTCAGTGGTCTATTGGACGTGTGACATTTTGTGACGAGAGGGGTCAGTGGTCTATTGGACGTGTGACGTGTGTTGATAAATACCAGAATTAGGTGGCGTTTGTCAATCAAGTCAGTACAACTCCGCCCACACAAGTCAGTACAACTCCGCCCACACAAGTCAGTACAACTCCGCCCACACAAGTCAGTACAACTCCTCCCACACAAGTCAGTACAACTCCGCCCACACCTGTCAGTACAACTCCGCCCACACAAGTCAGTACAACTCCGCCCACACAAGTCAGTACAACTCCGCCCACACAAGTCAGTACAACTCCGCCCACACCTGTCAGTACAACTCCGCCCAGACCTGCGACCTTTGACCTTTATGTCTCAGGCCATATCTACACTGGGCTGGCCGATGGCCGGATTGTGGACATCTCGGACTGTGGCGTCAGGACAGTGGCCAGGATGGCCCCGGCCTCGTGCAGTAAGTTTCATTTCCGTTAGAAGGTGCTAGGTGAGTAGACATGGGGGGTGGGGGCGGGGGGCTACAGCAAACGTACGAGCACCTCAGCATGTTTTCTATTTGTGGGGTGGGGGGTGGGGTTAAGTAACAAGTGTCGCCATTCCTGGAGTGTCATGTATCATCTAATGGAGTGTCATGTATCATCTAATGGAGTGTCATGTATCATCTAATATCCCAGACGGAGAGTCCCAGTGTGGGCGACCCCTGGGACTGAGGGTGGACAACAGCGGCCAGCTTGTTGTAGCTGACTCCTCCAAGGGCATCTTTAGAATCAACCTACAAACAGGTAACACTTCCACGGGTAACATTCTACAGGTAGGGCATCTTTAGAATCAACCTACAAACAGGTAACACTTCCACGGGTAACATTCTACAGGTAGGGCATCTTTAGAATCAACCTACAAACAGGTAACACTTCCACGGGTAACATTCTACAGGTAGGGCATCTTTAGAATCAACCTACAAACAGGTAACACTTCCACGGGTAACATTCTACAGGTAGGGCATCTTTAGAATCAACCTACAAACAGGTAACACTTCCACGGGTAACATTCTACAGGTAGGGCATCTTTAGAATCAACCTACAAACAGGTAACACTTCCACGGGTAACATTCTACAGGTAGGGCATCTTTAGAATCAACCTACAAACAGGTAACACTTCCACGGGTAACATTCTACAGGTAGGGCATCTTTAGAATCAACCTACAAACAGGTAACACTTCCACGGGTAACATTCTACAGGTAGGGCATCTTTAGAATCAACCTACAAACAGGTAACACTTCCACGGGTAACATTCTACAGGTAGGGCATCTTTAGAATCAACCTACAAACAGGTAACACTTCCACGGGTAACATACACTTCTACAGGTAACCTACACCTCTACATGTAACATACACTTCTACAGGTAACACCTCTACAGGTAACATGTACCTCTACAGGTAACATACAGGGGCAGGGGGGAGAATCAAGAATTGTTTGAGGGTCAGGACCTATGGACATATTTGGTAATGTTGTAGACCTATACAAAAATGTTAGACTTTTAAACGTCAGATGAATCAATGTCACATTGTTTACGTTTTTATAAAAGTACACAACAGAACGCTATATGAAACAAAGTTCACAACATTCCGTGCCTCATTGGTCGCCCAGTAGCACATCACGTGACTTAGTATGGTAGTGTTCCCTCAGTCACGTGACCAAGTATGGTAGTGTTCCCTCGTGACCAAGTATGGTAGTGTTCCCTGAGTCACGTGACCAAGTATGGTAGTGTTCCCTCAGTCACGTGACCAAGTATGGTAGTTTTCCCTCAGTCACGTGACCAAGTATGGTAGTGTTCCCTCAGTCACGTGACCAAGTATGGTAGTGCTCCCTCGTGACCAAGTATGGTAGTGTTCCCTCAGTCACTTGACCATGGTAGTGTTCCCTCAGTCACGTGACCAAGTATGGTAGTGTTCCCTCGTGACCAAGTATGGTAGTGTTCCCTGAGTCACGTGACCAAGTATGGTAGTGTTCCCTCAGTCACGTGACCAAGTATGGTAGTGTTCCCTCAGTCACGTGACCAAGTATGGTAGTGTTCCCTCAGTCACGTGACCAAGTATGGTAGTGTTCCCTCAGTCACGTGACCAAGTATGGTAGTGCTCCCTCGTGACCAAGTATGGTAGTGTTCCCTCAGTCACTTGACCAAGTATGGTAGTGTTCCCTCAGTCACGTGACCAAGTATGGTAGTGTTCCCTCGTGACCAAGTATGGTAGTGTTCCCTGAGTCACGTGACTTAGTATGGTAGTGTTCCCTCAGTCACGTGACCAAGTATGGTAGTGTTCCCTCAGTCACGTGACCAAGTATGGTAGTGCTCCCTCGTGACCAAGTATGGTAGTGTTCCCTCAGTCACGTGACCAAGTATGGTAGTGTTCCCTCAGTCACGTGACCAAGTATGGTAGTGCTCCCTCGTGACCAAGTATGGTAGTGTTCCCTCAGTCACTTGACCATGGTAGTGTTCCCTCAGTCACGTGACCAAGTATGGTAGTGTTCCCTCGTGACCAAGTATGGTAGTGTTCCCTGAGTCACGTGACTTAGTATGGTAGTGTTCCCTCAGTCACGTGACCAAGTATGGTAGTGTTCCCTCAGTCACGTGACCAAGTATGGTAGTGTTCCCTCAGTCACGTGACCAAGTATGGTAGTGTTCCCTCAGTCACGTGACCAAGTATGGTAGTGCTCCCTCGTGACCAAGTATGGTAGTGTTCCCTCGGTCACGTGACCAAGTATGGTAGTGTTCCCTCAGTCACGTGACCAAGTATGGTAGTGTTCCCTCGGTCACGTGGCCATGTATGGTAGTGTTCCCTGAGTCACGTGACCAAGTATGGTAGTGTTCCCTGAGTCTCCCCTGTCCCCCACAGGGCAGGTACAGACATTGTACTCTTCTGAGACACCTGTCAACGGCCGGAAGTGCAAGTTCATCAATGACGTGGTCGTGGCTAAAGACGGAACTATTTTGTTCACCGACTCGAGCGCCAAGTGGTCGCGGAAGGAATTTTTGTACGTCGTGCTGGAGGGAGAGGCGACTGGAAGGTTGGATTCTTTTCTTTGGTGGTTCTGGTGGTTCGTGTCTGGTGGTTCGTGTCTGGTGGTTCGTGTCTGGTGGTTCGTGTCTGGTGGTTCGTGTCTGGTGGTTCGTGTCTGGTGGTTCGTGTGTAGTGGTTCGTGTCTGGTGGTTCGTGTCTGGTGGTTCGTGTCTGGTGGTTCGTGTCTGGTGGTTCGTGTGTGGTGGTTCGTGTGTGGTGGTTCGTGTCTGGTGGTTCGTGTCTGGTGGTTCGTGTCTGGTGGTTCGTGTCTGGTGGTTCGTGTCTGGTGGTTCGTGTCTGGTGGTTCGTGTCTGGTGGTTCGTGTCTAGTGGTTCGTGTGTAGTGGTTCGTGTCTGGTGGTTCATGTGTAGTGGTTCGTGTCTGGTGGTTCGTGTGTAGTGGTTCGTGTCTGGTCTACGTGCTTTATGTTAAAAATAACAAACGAAACAAGTCTTTGATTATAAGGGACAATCAACAACTTAAAAAAAAAACCTTTTGCTTTTTGCTCAAGCGTATCAAAAGCCTACCTGATCATCTATGACGGTGTAATGCGCAGGATTACAATAGACATGTAACCTTAGTATGATGTTGCTGTGTGACAAGTCGACTTAACACTTGCAGATCTGACAAAGTAGACTAGCCTGCTGTAATATATTCAATGGTCAACCAAAAAAATTTATCTCAATGCCGCGAAACGATTTTTATTATTGGAGGGAGAGATGACATGAAATCAACTTTCTCAGACATAAAGCGATGACGGCTCGCCCACAATTTTCATAGCAAGGCTTGTGGATTTGTGTCAGTCATAGTTTTGTGTTTGTAAATTTAGAAAAAAAAATAAGCTTATGGCTTGAGCCATACCACCCCCCACCCCCTAAAAAACGTTGATTCGAATAAAATTTAATTTCGTGGATAAGAGAAAATTTGCGGGCTTCTAAAACCCTTTCATTAAATCACTAGCCTATGTTGGCCCAACCTATAATATTTAAGAAAGTGTCGGCTTTTAGTAAACAAAGTCTGTGTATGAGGCAATGACAGCTTATATTTATACCAGAGGGTGTGCACGTTGTAAAAAACGTATGAATTGAAGTTTACTATAGTTTGTACGCGAAAATTCGTGATAGAGGCTGCTAAAGACTGGGGCCCTGGGCTGATGCCTTCTCAGCCTCCCACCTTAATCCGCCACTGGCTACTTGCAGTAACGGGGTTGACGTGACATTTCAGACTGCTGGCGTACAGCGACAAGTCCAACAAAACCATTGTCGTTCTGGACAAGATGGCCTTCCCTAACGGACTGGAGTTTGGGCCGAAAGACGAGTTTCTCCTCATCTCAGAGACAGGCAGGGCCAGGATACGCAAGTAAGTGCAGGGGCTAGCACAAGTAGGTGCAGGGGCTAACACAGGGGCTAACACAGGGGCTAACACAAGTAGGTGCAGGGGCTAACACAAGTAGGTGCAGGGGCTAACACAAGTAGGTGCAGGGGCTAGCACAAGTAGGTGCAGGGGCTAACACAGGGGCTAACACAGGGGCTAACACAAGTAGGTGCAGGGGCTAACACAAGTAGGTGCAGGGGCTAACACAAGTAGGTGTAGGGGCTAACACAGGGGCTAACACAGGGGCTAACACAAGTAGGTGCAGGGGCTAACACAAGTAGGTGTAGGGGCTAGCACAAGTAGGTGCAGGGGCTAGCACAAGTAGGTGCAGGGGCTAACACAAGTAGGTGCAGGGGCTAGCACAAGTAGGTGCAGGGGCTAGCACAAGTAGGTGCAGGGGCTAACACAGGGGCTAACACAGGGGCTAACACAAGTAGGTGCAGGGGCTAACACAAGTAGGTGTAGGGGCTAACACAGGGGCTAACACAGGGGCTAACACAAGTAGGTGCAGGGGCTAACACAAGTAGGTGTAGGGGCTAACACAGGGGCTAACACAGGGGCTAACACAAGTAGGTGCAGGGGCTAACACAAGTAGGTGTAGGGGCTAGCACAAGTAGGTGCAGGGGCTAACACAGGGGCTAACACAGGGGCTAACACAAGTAGGTGCAGGGGCTAACACAAGTAGGTGTAGGGGCTAACACAGGGGCTAACACAGGGGCTAACACAAGTAGGTGCAGGGGCTAACACAAGTAGGTGTAGGGGCTAACACAGGGGCTAACACAGGGGCTAACACAAGTAGGTGCAGGGGCTAACACAAGTAGGTGTAGGGGCTAACACAGGGGCTAACACAAGTAGGTGCAGGGGCTAACACAAGTAGGTGCAGGGGCTAACACAAGTAGGTGCAGGTGCTAACGCAATGAACTTTTTAAAACATCCATCTAACGTTTAAATGTTCCCAAACCTTTAGACAGAGTCTAAAACATCCATCTAACGTTTAACTGTTCCCTTTAGACTGAGTCTAAAACCAGGCAAGACATGGCTCCAGGTCTCGACCTTTGCTGCCAACCTTCCGGGGCTTCCAGACAACATCAGGGCGTCAGGGCGCGGGACGTACTGGGTGGCCATGTCGCAGGCGCGGCACGCAAACATGTCCTCCATGATTGACGAGTACGCCAGCCAGCCACAGCTGCGGGAGATGGTTGCCATGGTAACGGGCTAAGTAGGCGGGATCAAACTGTAGTTCTGCTCCAATAAACTTTTTTTCTCGTCCAAACATTACTGGCGGTAGATTTGTACTGACCTAAAGGTAGATTTGTAAGACCTAAAGCCTAAAGGTAGATTTGTACAGACCTAAAGGTAGATTTGTACAGACCTAAAGGTAGATTTGTACAGACCTAAAGGTAGATTTGTAAAGACCTAAAGGTAGATTTGTACAGACCTAAAGGTAGATTTGTACAGACCTAAAGGTAGATTTGTACAGACCTAAAGGTAGATTTGTACAGACCTAAAGGTAGATTTGTACAGACCTAAAGGTAGATTTGTACTGACCTAAAGGTAGATTTGTACAGACCTAAAGGTAGATTTGTACAGACCTAAAGCTAGATTTGTACAGACCTAAAGGTAGATTTGTACAGACCTAAAGGTAGATTTGTACAGACCTAAAGGTAGATTTGTACAGACCTAAAGGTAGATTTGTACAGACCTAAAGGTAGATTTGTACAGACCTAAAGGTAGATTTGTACAGACCTAAAGGTAGATTTGTACAGACCTAAAGGTAGATTTGTACAGACCTAAAGGTAGATTTGTACAGACCTAAAGGTAGATTTGTACAGACCTAAAGGTAGATTTGTACAGACCTAAAGGTAGATTTGTACAGACCTAAAGCCTAAAGGTAGATTTGTACAGACCTAAAGGTAGATTTGTACAGACCTAAAGGTAGATTTGTACAGACCTACAGGTAGATTTGTACAGACCTAAAGATAGATTTGTACAGACCTAAAGGTAGATTTGTTCAGACCTAAAGCTAGATTTGTACAGACCTAAAGGTAGATTTGTACAGACCTAAAGGTAGATTTGTACAGACCTAAAGGTAGATTTGTACAGACCTAAAGGTAGATTTGTACAGACCTAAAGGTAGATTTGTACTGACCTAAAGGTAGATGTGTACAGACCTAAAGGTAGATTTGTACTGACCTAAAGGTAGATTTGTACAGACCTAAAGGTAGATTTGTACAGACCTAAAGGTAGATTTGTACAGACCTAAAGGTAGATTTGTACAGACCTAAAGGTAGATTTGTACAGACCTAAAGGTAGATTTGTACAGACCTAAAGCTAGATTTGTACAGACCTAAAGGTAGATTTGTACAGACCTAAAGGTAGATTTGTACTGACCTAAAGGTAGATTTGTACAGACCTAAAGGTAGATTTGTACAGACCTAAAGCTAGATTTGTACAGACCTAAAGGTAGATTTGTACAGACCTAAAGGTAGATTTGTACAGACCTAAAGGTAGATTTGTACAGACCTAAAGGTAGATTTGTACAGACCTAAAGGTAGATTTGTACAGACCTAAAGGTAGATTTGTACAGACCTAAAGGTAGATTTGTACAGACCTAAAGGTAGATTTGTACAGACCTAAAGGTAGATTTGTACAGACCTAAAGGTAGATTTGTACAGACCTAAAGGTAGATTTGTACAGACCTAAAGGTAGATTTGTACAGACCTAAAGCCTAAAGGTAGATTTGTACAGACCTAAAGGTAGATTTGTACAGACCTAAAGGTAGATTTGTACAGACCTACAGGTAGATTTGTACAGACCTAAAGATAGATTTGTACAGACCTAAAGGTAGATTTGTTCAGACCTAAAGCTAGATTTGTACAGACCTAAAGGTAGATGTGTACAGACGTAAAGGTAGATTTGTACAGACCTAAAGCTAGATTTGTACAGACCTAAAATGAGATTTGCACAGACCTAAAGGTAGATTTGTACTGACCTAAAGGTAGATTTGTACAGACCTAAAGGTAGATTTGTACAGACCTAAAGGTAGATTTGTACAGACCTAAAGCCTAAAGGTAGATTTGTACAGACCTAAAGGTAGATTTGTACAGACCTAAAGGTAGATTTGTACAGACCTAAAGGTAGATTTGTACAGACCTAAAATGAGATTTGCACAGACCTAAAGGTAGATTTGTACTGACCTAAAGGTAGATTTGTACAGACCTAAAGGTAGATTTGTACAGACCTAAAGCCTAAAGGTAGATTTGTACAGACCTAAAGGTAGATTTGTACAGACCTAAAGGTAGATTTGTACAGACCTAAAGGTAGATTTGTACAGACCTAAAGCCTAAAGGTAGATTTGTACAGACCTAAAGGTAGATTTGTACAGACCTAAAGGTAGATTTGTACAGACCTAAAGGTAGATTTGTACAGACCTACAGGTAGATTTGTACAGACCTAATGGTAGATTTGTAAGACCTAAAGGTAGATTTGTACTGACCTAAAGGTAGATTTGTACTGACCTAAAGGTAGATTTGTACAGACCTAAAGCTAGATTTGTACAGACCTAAAGGTAGATTTGTACAGACCTAAAGGTAGATTTGTACAGACCTAAAGGTAGATTTGTACAGACCTACAGGTAGATTTGTACAGACCTAATGGTAGATTTGTAAGACCTAAAGGTAGATTTGTACTGACCTAAAGGTAGATTTGTACAGACCTAAAGCTAGATTTGTACAGACCTAAAGGTAGATTTGTACAGACCTAAAGGTAGATTTGTACAGACCTAAAGGTAGATTTGTAAGACCGAAAGGTAGATTTGTACAGACCTAAAGGTAGATTTGTACAGACCTAAAGGTAGATTTGTACTGACCTAAAGGTAGATGTGTACAGACCTAAAGGTAGATTTGTACAGACCTAAAGGTAGATTTGTACAGACCTAAAGGTAGATGTGTACAGACCTAAAGGTAGATTTGTACAGACCTAAAGCCTAAAGGTAGATTTGTACAGACCTAAAGGTAGATTTGTACAGACCTAAAGGTAGATTTGTACAGACCTAAAGGTAGATTTGTACAGACCTAAAGGTAGATTTGTACAGACCTAAAGGTAGATTTGTACAGACCTAAAGGTAGATTTGTACAGACCTAAAGGTAGATTTGTACAGACCTAAAGCCTAAAGGTAGATTTGTACAGACCTAAAGGTAGATTTGTACAGACCTAAAGGTAGATTTGTACAGACCTAAAGGTAGATTTGTACAGACCTAAAGCCTAAAGGTAGATTTGTACAGACCTAAAGGTAGATTTGTACAGACCTAAAGGTAGATTTGTACAGACCTAAAGGTAGATTTGTACAGACCTACAGGTAGATTTGTACAGACCTAATGGTAGATTTGTAAGACCTAAAGGTAGATTTGTACTGACCTAAAGGTAGATTTGTACTGACCTAAAGGTAGATTTGTACAGACCTAAAGCTAGATTTGTACAGACCTAAAGGTAGATTTGTACAGACCTAAAGGTAGATTTGTACAGACCTAAAGGTAGATTTGTACAGACCTACAGGTAGATTTGTACAGACCTAATGGTAGATTTGTAAGACCTAAAGGTAGATTTGTACTGACCTAAAGGTAGATTTGTACAGACCTAAAGCTAGATTTGTACAGACCTAAAGGTAGATTTGTACAGACCTAAAGGTAGATTTGTACAGACCTAAAGGTAGATTTGTAAGACCGAAAGGTAGATTTGTACAGACCTAAAGGTAGATTTGTACAGACCTAAAGGTAGATTTGTACTGACCTAAAGGTAGATGTGTACAGACCTAAAGGTAGATTTGTACAGACCTAAAGGTAGATTTGTACAGACCTAAAGGTAGATGTGTACAGACCTAAAGGTAGATTTGTACAGACCTAAAGCCTAAAGGTAGATTTGTACAGACCTAAAGGTAGATTTGTACAGACCTAAAGGTAGATTTGTACAGACCTAAAGGTAGATTTGTACAGACCTAAAGGTAGATTTGTACAGACCTAAAGGTAGATTTGTACAGACCTAAAGGTAGATTTGTACAGACCTAAAGGTAGATTTGTACAGACCTAAAGGTAGATTTGTACAGACCTAAAGGTAGATTTGTAAGACCTAAAGGTAGATTTGTACAGACCTAAAGGTAGATTTGTACAGACCTAAAGGTAGATTTGTAAGACCTAAAGGTAGATTTGTACAGACCTCCATATTGTAATGGTGTTTCACTACTGAATGTCACATGACATCTGACTTACGCTGGCCACATGACATCTGACCTACGCTGGCCACATGACATGTGACCTATGCTGGCCACATGACATCTGACCTACGCTGGCCACATGACATCTGACCTACACTGGCCACATGACATCTGACCTACGCTGGACACATGACATCTGACCTACGCTGGCCACAGGACATGTGACCTACGCTGGACACATGACATCTGACCTACGCTGGCCACATGACATCTGACCTACGCTGGCCACATGACATCTGACCTTCGCTGGCCACATGACATGTGACCTACGCTGGCCACATGACATCTGACCTACGCTGGCCACAGGACATGTGACCTACGCTGGACACATGACATCTGACCTACGCTGGCCACATGACATCTGACCTACGCTGGCCACATGACATGTGACCTACGCTGGCCACAGGACATGTGACCTACGCTGGCCACATGACATGTGACCTGTCTACCCTGCAGATGTCCTCCATGGACCAGATCCTCCAGATGAGCGAGAAGTACGGCATGGTGGTAGAGCTGGACGAGGGTGGGAACATCATTCGTTCTCTACAGGACCCCACGGGCAAACAGGTGGCCGCAGTAAGCGAGGTAAGCTTCATTCACTCCTGGCAGCAGTAAGCGAGGTAAGCTTCATCCACTTGTGGCCGAAGTAAGCGAGGTAAGCTTCATCCACTTGTGGCCGCAGTAAGCGAGGTAAGCTTCATCCACTTGTGGCCGCAGTAAGCGAGGTAAGCTTCATCCACTTGTGGCCGCAGTAAGCGAGGTAAGCTTCATCCACTTGTGGCCGCAGTAAGCGAGGTAAGCTTCATCCACTTGTGGCCGCAGTAAGCGAGGTAAGCTTCATCCACTTGTGGCCGCAGTAAGCGAGGTAAGCTTCATCCACTTGTGGTTGCAGTAAGCGAGGTAAGCTTCATCCACTCGTGGCTGCAGTAAGCGAGGTAAGCTTCATCCACTTGTATAGTGGCTGCAGTAAGCGAGGTAAGCTTCATCCACTTGTGGTTGCAGTAAGCGAGGTAAGCTTCATCCACTCGTGGCTGCAGTAAGCGAGGTAAGCTTCATCCACTTGTAAAGTGGCTGCAGTAAGCGAGGTAAGCTTCATCCACTCAAGACCGCAGTAAGCGAGGTAAGCTTCATCCACTCGTGGCTGCAGTAAGCGAGGTAAGCTTCATCCACTTGTATAGTGGCCGCAGTAAGCGAGGTTAGCTTCATCCACTAGTGGCTGCAGTAAGCGAGGTAAGCTTCATCCACTTGTATAGTGGCTGCAGTAAGCGAGGTAAGCTTCATCCACTCGTGGCTGCAGTAAGCGAGGTAAGCTTCATCCACTAGTGGCTGCAGTAAGCGAGGTAAGCTTCATCCACTAGTGGCTGCAGTAAGCGAGGTAAGCTTCATCCACTTGTATAGTGGCTGCAGTAAGCGAGGTAAGCTTCATCCACTCAAGGCCGCAGTAAGCGAGGTAAGCTTAATCCACTTGTATAGTGGCTGCAGTAAGTGAGGTAAGCTTCATCCACTTGTATAGTGGCCGCTGTAAGCGAGGTAAGCTTCATCCACTTATGGCCGCGGTAAGCGAGGTAAGCTTCATCCACTTATGGCTGCAGTAAGCGAGGTAAGCTTCATCCACTTGTATAGTGGCCGCAGTAAGCGAGGTAAGCTTCATCCACTTGTATAGTGGCCGCAGTAAGCGAGGTAAGCTTCATCCACTTGTATAGTGGCCGCAGTAAGCGAGGTAAGCTTCATCCACTTGTATAGTGGCCGCAGTAAGCGAGGTAAGCTTCATCCACTTGTATAGTGGCCGCAGTAAGCGAGGTAAGCTTCATCCACTTGTATAGTGGCCGCAGTAAGCGAGGTAAGCTTCATCCACTTGTATAGTGGCCGCAGTAAGCGAGGTAAGCTTCATCCACTTGTATAGTGGCCGCAGTAAGCGAGGTAAGCTTCATCCACTCAAGGTTAATCCAGCTTTATATAGTCTAATCAATTTACCATTATCTAAAGTAGACCAGTAGATCAGTAGACCAGTAGACCAGTAGATCAGTAGACCAGTAGACCAGTCAGTAGACCAGTAGACCAGTAGACAAGTAGACCAGTAGACCAGTCAGTAGACCAGTAGACCAGTAGATCAGTAGACCAGTAGACCAGTAGACCAGTCAGTAGACCAGTAGACCAGTAGATCAGTAGACCAGTAGACCAGTAGACCAGTAGACCAGTAGACCAGTCAGTAGACCAGTAGACCAGTAGACCAGTAGACCAGTCAGTAGACCAGTAGACCAGTCAGTAGACCAGTAGACCAGTAGACCAGTCAGTAGACCAGTAGACCAGTAGACCAGTCAGTAGACCTGTAGACCAGTAGACCAGTCAGTAGACCAGTCAGTAGACCAGTAGACCAGTCAGTAGACCAGTAGACCAGTAGACCAGTCAGTAGACCAGTCAGTAGACCAGTAGACCAGTAGACCAGTCAGTAGACCAGTAGACCAGTAGACCAGTAGACCAGTCATTAGACCAGTAGACCAGTAGATCAGTAGACCAGTAGACCAGTAGACCAGTCAGTAGACCAGTCAGTAGACCAGTAGACCAGTAGACCAGTCAGTAGACCAGTCAGTCGACCAGTAGACCAGTAGATCAGTAGACCAGTAGATCAGTAGACCAGTAGACCAGTAGACCAGTAGATCAGTAGACCAGTAGACCAGTAGACCAGTCAGTAGACCAGTAGACCAGTCAGTAGATCAGTAGATCAGTAGACCAGTAGACCAGTAGATCAGTAGACCAGTAGATCAGTAGACCAGTAGACCAGTAGACCAGCAGACCAGTAGATCAGTAGACCAGTAGATCAGTAGACCAGTAGATCAGTCAGTAGACCAGTAGACCAGTAGAACAGTAGACCAGTAGACCAGTAGATCAGTAGACCAGTAGACCAGTAGACCAGTAGACCAGTAGATCAGTAGATCAGTCAGTAGATCAGTAGACCAGTAGACCAGTAGATCAGTCAGTAGATCAGTAGACCAGTCAGTAGACCAGTCAGTAGACCAGTAGACCAGTCAGTAGATCAGTAGACCAGTAGACCAGTAGATCAGTAGACCAGTAGACCAGTAGACCAGTAGATCAGTAGACCAGTAGATCAGTAGATCAGTAGATCAGTCGGTAGATCAGTAGACCAGTAGACCAGTCAGTAGACCAGTAGATCAATCAGTAGATCAGTAGACCAGTAGACTAAACACCAATGTTGTCTTCCAGGCTATGGAGAAAGACGGCTATTTATATCTCGGCAGTTTTGACCGGCCCTACGTCAGCCGTGTGCCGCTGACCGATAAGTTTGACGTCGAGCGGTTCATAGCTAAAATCAAGTCCACGTGCCGGGCCACCCGGATGAACTTAGCCAAGGTCAAGGCAGTCCTCAAGCGTATCGTTGCGCTGGCCGAGTTTAGGAAATACATGTTGAGTTTAGCCAAGAGGCGCCCTGACGGTGCCAAGACGCCTGCCACCACACCATCTACTGCCACCACGCCATCCACTGTCACCACGCTAACCTCCGTGCAGACGACAAGATCCCAGAGTTCAAACGGCTCGACAGTGGCGCCACCGGAGCAGACGAGCACCGCGACGGGGAGCAACCAATCAAGCACGACCAGCCCTGGTGCTACAGCCCGGACAGACGGCACCACCACTGCCAGCAACAACGACACCTACACAACAACACAGAAGACAATCGACGCTACATCCGGGGCAACCAAACCTTCCGACAGCAACGTGACCACGCCGGCCACTCCACCGGAAGTCAGCACGCAGACACAGGAGGTGACCACAGGGCCAAGCTCCACGACCGTGGGGGAAGATAATGCGGCCCCTCCACAGGGTCAAAGCACCGCTAGGCCCGTGACAACAACTTGAGGTCTGCGCATCCTAAAACCGGAAGTACGCCCAGCTTTGGGCCGGAGATTTCCGGACGATTGTCTGTCAGTGAAATGTTTAGAAATAATCGCAAGTGTACACAGTCTTCCAATAAAATGGTGTTATTTAATTTTGTATTCTGCGTTTGGGTGGCTTTGTTTCACATTTTTTGTGTGGGAAAAACCTGAATCACATTGTCAGCTATGAAAGTCTAAACTTGTAGTTCTTACCCCTTAAATTATACGTCATTTAAAATTAGATGGGGGGGGGGTGTAAATGAATTAAACAAATCACAGAATAAACAATCCGATTACTTTCCATTTCGTTCTCATAGGAATAGTGGAGAGTACGCAATGTATAACTAAAATGGAATTATAACTACACAGGAAATTAATTTATTTATTTAATTAGGATACGTAACTTTAATTTTGTACTAAAACAAATGCTATACTTCGTCATTTTCTGTTTCTGTATAAAATAGTATAAAATTATTTGAAAAATAATAATTTAAAAAACGTTACCTCCCTTGAAAACTGAACGTATGACTATGTCTTTGGTTACTTTTTAGCGCAATTTCCATTCTGGAGAATTGCGTTTATTAACTCGTCTTTTCTGGGAATGGATGGATGTGTGTCCGCAGCTTTAAGTCGTATCTCCTCCTCAACGAAGCAATATCGAGGACTAGTTCCAAAAGCAAATATGTTAAGCAAGTTACCAGGATGAACATAGGCTAAAAAAATTCCGGGTTTCTTCATAGATTTCCCGGAAAAGCCAAAAAACCTCGAAAAAATGCAGTGTTTGGCCCATATCTCGGCAACCAGACCACTTAGCGACTTGAAACATGTACCAATCGATTCCTGCCATAATTTAGAACAATATTGCCGAAGAAAGTTTTCAAAAATATCCTTTCGTTCGGTCACAAACATTTTTTTAATTAATTAAAATTTGAACCGAATTAGTAGGCATTTTATCCAACCACACCACACGCGTCATCACGTTCAATAGCTGCGCCATCACGTTCGGTAGCTAGGCGCGCAATGGTTTTTAGTCATGTTACTCTATTGTAAATAAAACATGTAAAATGCTTAAAAAAAATTTAATAAAAAACGTTTTAATAACTAACCAATGGTTTTACTAACCCTGCTCTTGATTTACGCTACGACAGAGCTATTTTTAGATAACATAAGGAAATTGCGCTAAAATTGTCACTAGACTTTTTAATTACCTTGTTTTTACAAACAGTTGATATGCTTATATAAGAAATTACGGTATATGAACATATTTAACGACTATAATGGCTGTTTCCGACGGGAATAAAGTTTTTTTGTTACTCTCCAGGGTCGGTCTACGACGTCACATAATATTAAGGGGATCGTTCGTCAATTTATATATATATATATATATATATATATATATATATATATATATATATATATATATATATATATATATATATATATATATATATATATATATATATATCATATAAGGAGAATTTCACTCTCGATCATCTTTTAGCCCTCGTCGAGGGCTTTGAGTCGGACCAACAGTTTTTCCATACGGCCTAATCATCTATAGTAGTGTATGCAAAAACTTGGCATGATGTGCAGACGTTAAGTAACCTAAAAATTGTGTTAAAATTTTACCGGTTTTTGCCATAAAATACAAAGATTATATAGGGAAATACAACTGGTCAGTTTTGACCCCTTTACGAAGTTTTCCCCAGATATGCCGAGTTTTTTGTGACACCCCAAGGCGTTCTCCTACCACCTCACAAAATTTCAAGGGGGGTCGTCGGAGGAAAAAAAAATTGCGTAATTGAGCTCATATAAAGAGAATTTCACTCGCGGTCACTTTTTAGCCCTCGTCGAGAGCATTGAGTGAAACCGACAAGTCTGTCCTACGGCCAAGCCATTTACGTATAAGCATGCCAAAACTTAGCCAGATGTAAAGAGGGTAAGTGCCCTAAAATCCGTTTTGAAATGACCCTCTGTTTTCCCCATAAAATACAAAGATTATATAGGGAAATACGACTGGTCAGTTTTGACCCACTTCCCGATTTTTCCCAGATATGCCGAGTTTTTTGTGACACCCCACGGTGTTCTCCTACCACCTCACAAAATTTCAAGGGGGCTCGTCGGAGGAAATTTAATTTTTTTTCGTAATATAGCTCATATAAAGAGAATTTCACTCGCGGTCACTTTTTAGCCCTCGTCGAGGGCTTTGAGTCAAACCGACAATTTCCCTAAAGGTCAAGCCATTTACCTAAGAGTATGCAAAAAATTAGCCAGATATACTGAGTTTAAGTACCCTAAAATCCGCGTTGAAATGACCCTCTGTTTTTCCCATAAAATACCAAGATTATATAGGGAAATACGACTGGTCAGTTTTGACCCCTTTACGAAGTTTTCCCAGATATGCCGAGTTTTTTGTGACACCCCAAGGCGTTCTCCTACCACCTCACAAAATTTCAAGGGGGGGGGGGGGGGGGGTCGTCGGAAGAATTTTTTTTTCGTAATATAGCCCATATAAGGCGCCGGTCAGTCGAAGTCCGTTTTGACCCCCTCTCCGTCGACTTTTCGGCCAACCGTCACCGGCCCTCGTGTTCTATCGACCCAAGGCACCATCGTGCCAAATTTGACGCGCCTGCGGCGCTGGGAAGTGCCCTGTCGGGCACTTGACCACTTTGCTTTATATATATATATATATATATATATATATATATATATATATATATATATATATATATATATATATATATATATATATATATATATATACTTATATACAATCACAAAATACGAACATAGGTCATAGGATACTCATTGCTGGCCTGTTCGGGATTTGAAAAACATCAATAAAATAAATTTCAACGAAAACCAGTTTTAATTAATTTTTAATATAAGCCTCCTTATTACCAGTCGGTCAAAATAAAATAAAACATGAAAGCTTTGTATAAGCAATGGTGTCTCGTGTTATGTTTATATTTATGTGTTTTTTTTAAATTTATATTATAAATTTCTTAAATATTATTGATTTAATACATTTCCTTTTTATACAATGTCATTCTTTAGTAATTACTTATAAAAAAAATAATAATTAAGAGAAGTAATTGCTTTTTAATTTGTTTAATACAAATCTATTAAAAGAAGTTTATGATTACCCCTATTAGAATATTTTTCAAAAAAAAGGGAAATAAGTCAAGGAAGTGGTTTGAACATTTGCTTATCTTTGATAAGTTTAATTGTAGGAGAAAGACTCGGCTTTCACAGTGGTTTAAAAACAAAGGGAAAAAGAATATACAAGAGCGTGGGGTGGTGTCTATAAAATAAATATAATCCAATCGCAGCTACAGTAATTTTTTACAAAACAACCATCGTCAAAAATGAAAGGAAATTTCCTTTTTTTTTAAAACTATAAAAAATTTATTATGGTCGGCTCTGGGCCCCTAAATGGCGTGCCCCCCCCCCCCCCCCGCATTGCGGGGTCTGGCGGCACTGTAGTTCCGCCCCTTGGGTGCACCACGTTTCCCTGTGACGCCACTGATGAGCAGAGCTTCTTCCAGGCATCTCTTCGGTAGGGGGGGGGCCTGCCCCCGAAAAAATTCTACCGCCCCCCCCCCCCCCGAACGAAATGAAATTTATATAATTTATATAGAAAATATATACTTTTAACAGTGTCCGCCCCCCCCCCCCCCCCGAAGAAAGTCTACCGCCTCCCTCCCCCCCCCCCCCCCCCCGGAGAAAAAAGTCTGGTAGAAACACTGCTGATGAGATATAAATAGACCGGCATTCTTTCTATTCACGAGCAAACTGAGCTACTGGAGCAGCAGACAAAATGGTGGAGTTAACGATTTTTTTGGGTACATCCATAGTTGCACTGTGCTTCGGCAACCAATTGAAATTGATGTTTTGTAAGTGGATGCAGTAGTATAGCTAGGGGAAGGTCGGGTGGGGCGTCTGCCCTGGCGCCAACCTTTAAGGGTGCGCTAAAAGGAGTAGAAAATTAATTTAATTAATTTAAACGCTGTTTCGAAAATGAACGACTACAAGGCTTTACACGCTGAGATAACTGTTTCCTATATCAATTTTGTGTGACCGAAATAGAAAATTTTACGGGATAGTAACTGGTAAGAAGCGCCACCAACCATTCCAACTGGGAAGGGGGGGGGGGCGCTTTTTCACAGACAGGAGCAACTATATATAAGAAATGGGAGGGAGGGGGCGCAAAATTGATAGCCTGATCCGGGCGCCGAAATTGATCGTTATGCCTCTGAGTGGATGAGGTTAAAGGTTAAAGAGAAAAACACATCTGGAAGAAACACTGGAACATAGGGGAGGCAGTCACTAGAATAATATATACACGATTTTTTTTTCATAAACATTTTAATAGTTTTGTTTTATAACAAATTATCTTTTTCCGAAGGAAGTCTATCGCCCCCCCCCGAAGGAAATGGAATTTATATAGAAAATATATACTTTTAACAGTCCGCCCCTTTCCCCCCCCCCCCCCCCCCAAGAAAACCTATAAATTTCCAGTAATAAATTTAGATCTAAATAATCTAGATCTAGTAAATGTAACATCTAGGCCTAGATCTAGTCATGATATTAGGTCGTATTTCTATAAGCCACGGGTCTCCAAACTTTTCAGTCCGAGGGCCACATTAACTATCAAATATCAATTCGGGGGCTAGAGTTTCTTTAAGGCATTTTTTCGGGGTGGTGGCACCGAAGAACGTCTACCGTCTCCCCCCCCCCCCCCCCAACCAAATATAATTTATATAGAAATATAGGCCTATATAAATTTCAAGTGTCCCCCCCCCCCCTCGGAGAAAAAAGTATGAAAGAAACACTTTTTCTTTCTTGAAAATGTTTGTTCACACAGGTATGTTGTTCCAAAATTCAAAAGGTACTTTGATGTAAAACTTTTAATAGTAGGGAGTTCTTCTTTATGCAAAAACATATAAAAACCCATCCGCCCTTCTGTGAACGTGTGTCTAATTAATGACCTCCAGCTGCTGCTCATCTTTGCAACTGGCCACATTTGCTTCAAATGGGTTCTGAAACAGTCTCACTTTTTCTGCCTTTGAATCCAAGTAAAAAAACCGCTACTGAAACTGCAGCTGGGGGTCCTTGAAGATCTCGCATGCAAATGACGCGGGGAACTCAGTGGTTGCTTCAGTAGTACAGACCTAGCACTGCTGAAAGTGCATACAGTTGTTGGCATGTACTTGTTTCAAAAACATGACAAGTTTGGATCTGAAGGCCTTTGCCTTTAGGTTGGTGTATAGATCAGAAACTAAATTTCCCTATCTTCTAGTTTTAGTTTCAGAGGCCAATTTCTATACCCGCTCTTCATCAGACATTATTGGCTGTGGCTTGCCTTTACTTTCCAGGAAGTCACCTATTTTCTTTTTTATAACTTAAATACTCTGCCTAGAACTTTCTCGCAAATTAGCCATCTTACTGCTGTGAAATATGGTAAATCTTACGATTCTGTCTTTGTATCTTTCAACATGTCTCTGAACTATCTATAGTTAGATATCCTGTCCGGTAACAGTGCCATACATTCTATGTAGGGAAGCCAGCTCGTGTTTTATGTTCATGTCTTCTTCCACACCTCTAATGAACACACGAAGTTGAGAGGTGGAACAACTGTCCAGCGACTCATCCATTGCTATAGAAAAATGGTGAAACTTGCTTGCATTTTTCGCTATTTTGGTCACAATGTTTATACCAATGTCTGCAACACGGCGGGCAATGGTATTTGCACCCAAAAGCTACATTTTCAAACTGTTTTGAATTTTCTGGGCAAAGTTTCTCAGCCACCTCTAAGAAACATTTTATTCCGTGAACAAAAAGATCGCCGCGGGTCGGATGAGAAGACATCGCGGCCAGAGTTTCTTCCAGGCATCTCTTCCGCCCCCCCCCCCCTCCCCCCCCTCGAACGAAATGAATTTGAAATATATATAATTTATATAGAGAATATATACTTTTGACAATGTCCGCCCGTCCCCCGGAAATTGTTGTCCCCCCCCTCCCCCCCCCCCCGAAAATTTCAAGTGCCCCCCCCCCCCTCCCCCCGAGAAAAAAGTCTGGAAGAAACACTGATCGCGGCGGTCCGCGGGCCGTAGTTTGGAGACCCCTGCTGTAAGCCAATGGGGAACATATTTTCTTACTGCTGCGAACACACGTTATAACTAAAAGGTGAAGTTTTGTGTCGACTTTTTGCTAGAAAACGAAGACACATTCAATTTTTTATAAAGATTCTAGATCTAGCTTCTAATCTAGATCTAGATGTAGATTTCTAGATCTAGATCTAGATCTGGTTTCTTGTGAAAAAAGTATTTTCATTAGGCCTAAATTGCCAAATTATTAGGTGGTACCTATAGGCTATAGTGCCGCTATAGGCCTAGACTAGACCTATACTATTTTTAAACTATTTTAATTTTAATAATTTAATTTATAATTTATAATTTATGCTAATATGTATCATCATTATTATTATCATGTATGTTATTGTTATGTATGTACTATGTAGTATGTAGTACTAGTAGGCCTAATACATAGTATGTATTATTATTGGCCGCGTTTGCGCTGTTCGCTCCGCGTTATGCTTAATCTTTACCCTAGGTGGCACACGATCTAAAAAAAACAGATATCAGGACTGCCCGATTTTTTTTTTTTGTGGTAGTGGTAACAATTTAAAGTTGACATAGATCTAGATCGAGTTTAAGTGTATTTAGATCTCTATATTAAATATTATTTCAACACCTTATTAGAGTCTAGTACTTGTAAAAAAACAGTACAGTGTAGTGTGTAGTGTCAAGGAAAGTTTGTGAGGTCAGATGGGTCAGATGATATCATGATAGTCCTAGATCTAGCAGCAACCTAGCTAAATCAAACTGTTCTTTAACCTTTAGGCCTAGCTATCTAGCATAGTAGATCTAAGTCTATATTATTTATCCTACGTGAACTTAAAAAAAAATTCAATTTGCTTGAGGGGGGAGGGGGGTGGGAGGAAGAGAGAAGTGAAGACAGACGATCTCGTGTGAACATCTATGGCGTATGCTTTAGGCCTGCTGAACTCACAGCGACCTCGCCGACCGTGGGCCGTGGTGGGATTTTCAATTACAGGATGGTAAATCAAACCTGTGAGGCTCGTAGTATATTCTTTAGGGGCCACGCTTTGCGAGACGCGTAGTCACTTAAATTATTATTATGTATGTAGGCTACTTATAGGCCTAGGCCTACAATAGTATTATTAATAGTATTAAGTATTAGATTACTAATATAGTTTATAATGATTAATGTTTAGTTACTTAGGCCTATTTATTTAATGGCCGATAGGCCTATCTAGTACTAGCTCTCACAATCTCAGGAGATATCATGAATAAGTGAATATGACATGACTTACAACAATAGTCTCAAATTAAAATCGTCTCAATAATATATTAATTATTAGGCCCTATTACTATTAGATCTAGCTTATAGTTAAAAAGAAATTAGCAGCGTAAACAAAGTCAATTTAAAATAAAATTTATTTTAATTTATGTTAAGTGATTGTTTGATAAAATGTATTATAATATATTATTATTATATCAGGCCTATCATAATAATAGTATTTTAATATAGTAGGCCTAATCCTAATATTAAATTATTAATTGTTAATGATTGCGATAATTTAAATTAGGCCTACTTAAGTAAATAGGACTATAAGTATTAATTAATAGCTATTAATTAAGTATTTAAACAAACAATAATGAATAGAGCTAGTCCTGTATCTATAGTGTTAACCCTTTGAGCCCTGGCCTAATTTCTCCCATTTCCTGAGCTCCCAGGCCCAAACCAATTTTCACTTATCTGTTTCTAATTTGGCCTATAACTTTTGAACTGTTTGAGATAATCAAACCACATTTGATATTAAAGCTCAGTATCAAACAACAATTCAGCAAGATTCTAAAATTCTTTACAAAGGTGTAGCGACGGGGGGGTATATATGTCCCTGGGCGCCGACCCAAGGGGCACCTAAATAAGCTAATTTTAGCTGCTATTTTGAATTATAAATTTAAAAATATTTGGGGAGTGTGAGGGTGGGGGTTTTATGAAAGGCGGTAACGAATGCATCCAATAACACACAGTTCAAGTTCAACTATAATTGTTCTTTATTAGAATGATATATATATTCAAGTTTCTACCTAACTGATCTACACTGTACTATTTACTTCCACTACTGACTGTTCATACCACATGCTACCTACTACTACGCACTCCCATGACCAATCCTAACACTAACTGTTCTCTACATTCTACGTCTGCTCCATTCTACCTCGCTAGCTAATCATGATCTCCTAACTATCTACATTCTCGGCCGTCTCTGACCGCTACCTAACAACTCCTGGCCTATCGCTCTACTGACCCACGCCTCAGTGGTCAGCTGACCGTCCCACGTGACCGGTCAGCCCTGTGCGCCCATTGGCCTCTCTAACCAACCAACTAGGCCTATAGTCTGTTTCTGCTAACCTATATCTGCTAAACATGTCTGACGTAATCTTGCGTCATCACATATCTCCCTCCCTTTCTGTAGCTGACAAATTATATTTTTCAGCGTCTACTACTAATCTAATACATCAACAACTATCTATCTTACTACTCTATTCTATCCCTAACATCAATCATGTAAATCAAATACAAAATGGGACAGCACAGTTTACAAAAACATAAATCTTGTGTCTGTGTTCCTGGAAAAAAAATGTCATTGTTTTCGTTCTTGTGTAGGTATCCTGACGTCTGTAGTGTTTCTGCTTGATAGTGTATGTCTATGTTATGTTATGTGTGAATCCAATCATGTGCAACTCAGTTCTGGCTAGGTTGTCGTGTACTGGCCTTGAGCCAATCTTAGTAGAATGTGTAACTGGTTGAACGGGCTCTGCGAGCAGTGTAAGTGTACGTGTAAGTGTTATGTAATTGTTGGCGTTCCTCTGTGGTGGGTGGGTTGTGGCGAGTTTTGATGTAAATTCCCGTGAGGCAGGTGTATGCGTAACTTCGTTGGTCAATGTGATGACGCAACAATCTCATCTCAACGCTGGTTGAGACGTCCACGTAGAGTGGTTATACGATGAACTTATACGATGAACTGAAGCTGTCTGATGCGGGGAAACAATGACGCAACATTCCGACGCTGGGAACTTGGACGATGGGTCTTCTACCCTTTGTATGTGCCGACGTAGGTGTACGTAGCTGGCGGTCTGTTATTCAACCCCAGTGCGGGTGCGAAGCGGTGGCGATGCGTCCGCTGTCTTGACCAGGGCAATTCTCTGTTCGGCAGGGTTGTTCGCTGTCCAGGTAATTCAACGTAATCATGGCTTCAGGTGGCGGCACTCTTTGAAGTGTCTGCTTCATCTCGTCTCATTCTGAATAAGCGTAGTGGGTCTGAAATGGTATTTCGAGACTATGAGCAATGGTTTTACGTGACCAATTTAGTGCCCGCGCAGACAAGTATTCAGACAGAGGTACCTTCCATTAAAAAAAACTCAATCCCAAATTTAAACGTGCTGAACATTTGTCTGGCGGTACATACAACATTACAAAAATAACCAAATAAAAAATCAGTACACTCTAAGCTAACAACAATCTGTAAAGCCTAATAAACTCAATAGACGTAAACACTACTAGAGGTTAGAAATAGCTTCACAAAAAGAATAGACATGTAAGTGTGTATCAATAATATTGTGTCTTCAAATCAACATTTCAACACGTGATCAAATAGTGGAGCAGCTCTCACTATGTGACTTTTGACTTGACTTCAACTGGCTTGCTTGAATTAATGACTGACTTCACTTTTGACTTCAGTAACTTGACTTATTTCACTTTGACTTCAGTAACTCGACTGACTTCAGTAACTTGACTTATTTCACTTTGACTTCAGTAACTCGACTGACTTCAATTTAACGACTGATTCCACTTTGACGACTTCAATTACTTCAACTTGACGACTAACTTCACTTTGAAGACTAACTTGACCTCGACGACTTCACTTCAATTCAACTTAAAAGACTTCACTGACAGACTTAAACTTCGACGACTTAAACGTCTTCACTTTGACTTCAATGACTTTTCCTTGACTTCAACAACTTCAATATGACTTCAAATACTTCACTTTGACTTCAACAACTTCAATATGACTTCAAAGATTCACTTTGACTTCAACGACTTCAATATGACTTCAAAGACTTCAATATGACTTCAAAGACTTCACTTTGACTTCAACGACTTCAATATGACTTCAAAGATTTCAACGACATCACTTTGATTTCAAAGACTTCACTATAACTTCGACGATTTCACTTCTTCACTATGACCTCAACGACTTTAATATAACATCAAAGACTTTTCTTTGACTGCAACATGACTTCAACTACGTCACTATGGCCTCAACTGCGACTTTAACAACTTATTGACTGACTTGACTGACTTCAAATAACCTCTTTGACTTCAGTTCTGACTTATACTTCACTGACTTCAATAACACTATTGACTTCAGATTGACTACACTGACTTCGACTTCAACTGTATCGACTTCACGCCGATTTTCTCGACTACTTAGATCAACACAAAACTACTCGACTTGACTTCACTTTTATGTCCGTTGTTCAAAATCATTTATGGGGACGGTCCGGGTCAAATTCTATCCAGGCTTTAATAAACCACACTAGGACCGATAGGGTGGGGCTCGGTGTGGACAAAGGTGTTGTGTGCTTTCACATGGTCTATGATTACTATACTTGTGTTTGTATAGGTGTGTTGATGGGGTCATCTGGTTTAAGGCTGACCAGGAGTAACAGTACTGTTTGTCTGCTATCAAATTCCTTGTTACATATTCCTCTGATTCATTGTTTACTGATTTCTCTAATCTCAGCAATCTTTTACTGACTGTTTTGTTCTGCGGCCCTAAGTTAAGAACATCTGCACCAATCTCGGTAGTCTTTGTAGAATGATCCTCAATAACCTCGTTAACTTTTGCTATCAACTTGTCCGTTTTGAATTGCAATTCGTCTACTTTTGTGTCTACTTGTTCTTTGTCTCGAGTACTGGGCTGCTTGTTTATTTGTTGCTTGTGGCTCATAAATTCTACATTAAACTGCTTCACTCCTGTAATGTTGCCTAATATCATATCGTATGGCCCGTTTTTGAAAACAGCTGCTTCAACTGTTTTACACGCTGAGGGTGTGGCTATGGTGACTATAGCTGTTGGCCAAACATATGTGCTGCCTCTTGAGCTGTGAACACGTTGTGTTCTGCCTGTGTATTGGTGGTGTTGTACGAATGTGTTACGTACTGCCACTGTTGAGCAGTGTGTGTCCCTAATTGCTGTGGCGTATCTGCTATTAATTTTTGACGTAAATGTGTCTGTTCTTTTACTGGCTTCTGTAAACGATGATATGAATGCTATTCTATTAATATGTCTATATTTTGGTCTGTTGCGTTGTGCATCTTGTTGGCGTATATCATAATATCGTATTCTGCAATTTATTTGTTTGTGGCCTGTTCTATTACAATAGTAGCATCTGACACTGTACTTGTGTTTTTGTTGACTGTAGTTAATCTGAATGGTGTGATTTGCCGTATTATGTTTTTGGAGTGTAGGCCTATGTGGTGTTTCACTTTTTGTAGTAGGTATTTCGCTTGCTTCACTGGACGTGTCATCTGAATCTGAGTCGTAGGAATAGTAAAATGCTGGTTCGGCTATCTGGTTGTTTTTATTTGTATCTAAACTTTGCACCATTTCTTGTTTGGCTTGGCGAAGTTCTCTCATTTTTTCTATTTCTTTACGAATTCTTTCTGTTTCTTCTTTAATTCCGGCAATATATGTTTCTGCTTCTCTTTGTTTCTCTGCTAACTCGGCATCTATCTTTGCATCATATTCTTCTTCAGTCAACAAGGAATCTGGATCTCCGGTTACCTTGTAATCTACAATTCTATTGATCAAATCTTCCATAGCATCTGGATCATCTAGAGTTTTTACGTCAAATTCTTTAACAGTTAATAACCAGTCTCGATTTTCTGTTGTCGTGTATTGTCCAAGCCTAATAATCAATTCATCCAGAATATCTGGATCCTCAATAGTTCTTGTTTTGTGTTCCATTTTAACTGTATTCTGAACATTTGTGTATAGCAACAAGTCATCAATTCTACCTGACTCTTCTAGGCCTGACTTGAGCTCAGTTTTAGTGCCCACTTCGTACAATGGAGGCATTTTTAAGGGTAGTGTGGTTGAAGAAACAGATAAGAAAGAGGCAGAAAAACCGCTGGTACCAAATATCCAGCACGAGTCTAAACCCAAACGTTTAAAAAAATTTTGGAAGGTACTTATCTTTTGGACATGTAGACTGTTTCCTTGTGTTGTTAATCCAAACTCGTTCTGGTTGAAGAAACCCGCTGTTGTGTTGAGTTACAGAAAGCTGTACACCAGTCATACTCCGTCATGAATAGCTGATATACGTTCTTTCCCTTACTCGACCCGCGCTCCACCAATTGTGAGGGTGGGGGTTTTATGAAAGGCGGTAACGAATGCATCCAATAACACACAGTTCAAGTTCAACTATAATTGTTCTTTATTAGAATGATATATATATTCAAGTTTCTACCTAACTGATCTACACTGTACTATTTACTTCCACTACTGACTGTTCATACCACATGCTACCTACTACTACGCACTCCCATGACCAATCCTAACACTAACTGTTCTCTACATTCTACGTCTGCTCCATTCTACCTCGCTAGCTAATCATGATCTCCTAACTATCTACATTCTCGGCCGTCTCTGACCGCTACCTAACAACTCCTGGCCTATCGCTCTACTGACCCACGCCTCAGTGGTCAGCTGACCGTCCCACGTGACCGGTCAGCCCTGTGCGCCCATTGGCCTCTCTAACCAACCAACTAGGCCTATAGTCTGTTTCTGCTAACCTATATCTGCTAAACATGTCTGACGTAATCTTGCGTCATCACAGGGAGGCGTCAAATTGAAAGTTTGTCCCCGGGCGCCGGGAGGGGTAGCTACGCCTCTGATTCTTTATTTTTTTTTACAATGTATGAACATAACAATGTATATAAAACAAACACAGTCCATGGCTGTGGCTCAATTTTTCGTTTCGGCGGCATAGCTTAAAAAAAAAATATTTGTACAACAAAAGTTTGCGCTAAAAAAATATTTATATACCAATAATTGTTTTATACTACTTACTAAACACACTGACAAAACTAGAGTAACTTATCTATTTATTGTTATTGTAATAATAATTATAATGGAATAATAAAATAATATAAAATAACATTTTTTTTTGTTGTCAATGTATATTACGAAATGCAAACACGCTTTCAACTTTCCCCAAAATTTATTTTTAGAATCATAATCCCGCACTAAAAAGACATATGCGCTGTTTTATTCAGTCCACCGCTAATTATATTTAATAAGACGGTATACTAGCCCCTAGGACTATGACGCTAGATCATCTGGCCGGAAAACTGGCTTTTCTGACATAGATGCCTATACTTGAGACCGGTTTTCCGGCCTGTCGGGCTCAAAGGGTTAAAACAAGGTTCTGTTTGCAAGTATTATTATCAATAGTTGATCTGTCAACCTCTACCTAACTTGCTATGTAGAAAGTCTTTATTAAAATAGGCTACACAGGTGCCTAGCTTGGCTTTGCTTTTATAATTTACTCTACTTTTTTAAACATACCTTTTCATTTCACTCAGTCGAAAATAAAATACCCACCAATATTGTTTTCACATAACACCTGTTTGCTGCTTTATTATTGTAATAAACCATTATAAACCAGTTTTCTGTTTGTTTACATTAAGGCCCTATCCTGTAATCATAATAATATGAAAAATACAGTTCCTAAAATATATTCCCTCATAAGCACTAAAATATAGGTCTAGGCCTATTTAAGTGCATAAATGTAGTTCTAGGCTCACTGTGAATGTAGCAAACTTAAATGTAGTTCTAGGCTCACTGTGAATGTAGCAAACGTAAATGTAGTTCTAGGCTCACTGTGAATGTAGCAAACTTAAATGTAGTTCTAGGCTCACTGTGAATGTAGCAAACTTAAATGTAGTTCTAGGCTCACTGTGAATGTAGCAAACTTAAATGTAGTTCTAGGCTCACTGTGAATGTAGCAAACGTAAATGTAGTTCTAGGCTCACTGTGAATGTAGCAAACGTAAATGTAGTTCTAGGCTCACTGTGAATGTAGCAAACGTAAATGTAGTTCTAGGCTCACTGTGAATGTAGCAAACATAAATGTAGTTCTAGGCTCACTGTGAATGTAGCAAACATAAATGTAGTTCTAGGCTCACTGCGAATGTAGCAAATTTAAATGTAGTTTACAGTTTTTTGTTTCTGTTTTAGCCATAATCTACTATGAATAGTAACGGCAACATTCCAGCTGCTCGTGGCAGAATAGCACGAATAAGATGTTTACAAGACTGCATCACTAGCCTGCGGCAGAGAAAACCATTCCCTGACCACCTGTGCTACGTGCCGTCAGAATTAGAGTACACAACATCCTGCAAGACAACGTGGAAACTTCTGTCAGCGCCTGCCAAAAGTGCTCCGGTCATGCACGAGATGTCAGCCACACCATCCAGTCGTTTGATTGTCAGTGGAGAAGATCTGTGTAACGCTGACGGTAAATGGTTGCGCGTCTTGAAGGTAAGTTATTTTAGAGTTGTTAACAGTTGGGGGTAAATGGTTGCGCGTCTTGAAGGTAAGTTATTTTAGAGTTGTCAATAGTTAACAGTTGGGGGTAAATGGTTGCGCGTCTTGAAGGTAAGTTATTTTAGAGTTGTCAATAGTTAACACTTATTTCAAATAAGAAGACGGAAGACAACATTTAAAGCTGCATGATTTTAACACTGATAAAATACAATCTTCACGCTGAACTTGTTGTTTGAACAGACTAGAACTTGTTCCAGTGATGAATATGAACCAGTTCCGGGGGAAAGTTTGTGGCTGCTTCTGTTCTCCAGCCGTAGTTCCACCGAAGAAACTCCATCTGCTGTGCCAGTGCAAGATTATGTTGCTGGACAAAACAAAAACAGAAATAATTTAATGAAACAAATTCCAAAAATTAAAAGGTATTTTTGTTTGTTTGAGTGTTTTCAGTTGAACCCCTTACAGTCCTATATTGTTTATTTGAATGGTTTCAGTTGAACCCCTTACAGTCGTATATTGTTTATTTGAGTGGTTTCAGTTGAACCCTTACAGTCCTATATTGTTTATTTGAGTGGTTTCGGTTGAACCCTTACAGTCCTATATTGTTTATTTGAGTGGTTTCAGTTGAACCCCTTACAGTCCTATATTGTTTATTTGAGTGGTTTCAGTTGAACCCCTTACAGTCCTATATTGTTTATTTGAGTGGTTTCAGTTGAACCCTTACAGTCCTATATTGTTTATTTGAGTGGTTTCAGTTGAACTCTTACAGTCCTATATTGTTTATTTGAGTGGTTTCAGTTGAACCCCTTACAGTCCTATATTGTTTATTTGAGTGGTTTCAGTTGAACCCTTACAGTCCTATATTGTTTATTTGAGTGGTTTCAGTTGAACCCCTTACAGTCCTATATTGTTTAGTTGAGTGGTTTCAGTTGAACCCCTTACAGTCCTATATTTCTTTATTTGAGTGGTTTCAGTTGAACCCTTACAGTCCTATATTGTTTATTTGAGTGGTTTCAGTTGAACCCTTACAGTCCTATATTGTTTATTTGAGTGGTTTCAGTTGAACCCCTTACAGTCCTATATTGTTTAGTTGAGTGGTTTCAGTTGAACCCCTTACAGTCCTATATTGTTTATTTGAGTGGTTTCAGTTGAACCCTTACAGTCCTATATTGTTTATTTGAGTGGTTTCAGTTGAACCCCTTACAGTCCTATATGCCCACAGTCGCCTGAGAATATTTGTGTGTAGAACAGTCTGATACTCTTTAGTTGCCCAAACTATGTATATTCCGTTTATTTATGTGTAGTAACAGAGTTATAGTTGGTAATGAGATTTTGAAGATAATGTCAGAAGCGAAAAATTCATTTTTTTCATTTATATTTTTTAATTGTTGTTCTGTCACTATGTTATGGGCAGTATAATTAGTGAAATTAAAACTAATTAAAAGCCCCTTCTGTTGAATTTGGCTTTATGTATAATGTAACGAATACAGCGATATTTAACAAAAATTAGTCCAGTGACTAATTATGGTACTTTTTAAAAATGTGCAAAACATAAACATGTATTCTAAAAATTGTACAAAATGATGGTGTATTTTAAAAGTTGCAATGATGTCCAATTTTGTAACTTTCAGTTGGGAGGGAGTGATAGAGGAAGTCTATTCTCCAGTTTTAAAAAAGCACAGAGGTCAGATAGTAGCACCAGATGAGGAGGCAGTGGAGAGGTTGAAGTTCCTGGACAAAAAATGGACGCTGGATCACGATGCAGCCCTTGTGCAACTCATGTCTCAGAACATCCCCAGGGAAACAGACAACCTCGGCTGTCTGCGCGGCTTTGTTGAAGCCATCGGTGTCTCTTCTTATGCTGTAAGTCATGTCTCACCTGTCAGGCATGTCTCAGCTGTCAGTCATGTCTCACCTTTTGCATCTCACACTCTAAATTTTGTCTCACCTGTAAGTAAATGTCATGTTTCACGTGTCTGTCATGTCACACCTGTCAGTCATGTTTCACCTGTCAGTCATGTCTCACCTGTCAGTCATGTCTCACCTGTCAGTCGTGTCTCACCTGTCAGTCATGTCTCACCTGTCAGTCAAGTCTCACCTGTCAGTCATGTCTCACCTGTGAGTCATGTCTCACCTGACATTCTGTTGTTGACCAGTCTGTGGATGGAGAGAGCTCTAACCTGACTGATGACAACCCCAACACGTACTGGGAGACAGACGGCTCCCAGGGCCAGCACTGGATACGTCTGACCATGAAGAAAGGAACAATCATCAAGTACGAGATTCATTGTCAGCTATTTAGGCAGAAAGTCACTTATTTGTTGGTTCAGAAAGTCAGTTGTTTGTTTAGAAAGTGAAGTGTTTGTTTGGACTTAAAGTCAGGTGTTTGTTTGGACATAAAGTCAGATGTTTGTTCAGAAAGTCAGGTGTTTGTTTGGACATAAAGTCAGATGTTTGCGCACTTTCCCAGGTACCTGGCTCTAGTGGTGAACCTGGCTGATGACAATTATCTACCAGAGACCATCTCAGTTGTGGCAGGAGAGGCGGATGACATCAAAGTCTTGAATAACATCAACATCAACTGGTCAGTTTACAAATGTGATTGTCATCTTCCATCCCTGTGGTTGTCATCCCCCATCCCTGTGGTTGTCATCCCCCATCCCTGTGGTTGTCATCCCCCATCACTGTGGTTGTCATCCCCCATCCCTGTGGTTGTCATCCCCCATCCCTGTGGTTGTCATTCCCCATCCCTGTGGTTGTCATCCCCCATCACTGTGGTTGTCATCCCCCATCCCTGTGGTTGTCATCCCCATCCCTGTGGTTGTCATCCCCCATCCCTGTGGTTGTCATCCCCATCCCTGTGGTTGTCATTCCCCATCCCTGTGGTTGTCATTCCCCATCCCTGTGGTTGTCATTCCCCATCCCTGTGGTTGTCATCCCCCATCCCTGTGGTTGTCATTCCCCATCCCTGTGGTTGTCATTCCCCATCCCTGTGGTTGTCATTCCCCATCCCTGTGGTTGTCATTCCCCAACACTGCCTTTAAAAAAATTGTCAATCCAATTTTTCAGGAGCACCCAGTCTCAGACTGAGATCAAGTTGCTGGAGAATCTGACGGAGCATTACACCATCATCACAGTCAGGATCAAATCCTGCAAATGTGAGTCACTAGTTAGCCAGTCACATCACACTAGCCAGTCACATCACACATATACCTCCCCAGGCCATAGACACACATATTCTGACACACACATATCTCCCCATCCCATAGACACACATATTCCTGACACACACATATATCTCCCCAGCCCATGGCATAGACACACGTATTCCTGACACACACATATATCTCCCCAGCCCATGGCATAGACACACGTATTCCTGACACACACATATATCTCCCCAGCCCATAGACACACGTATTGCTGACACATACATATATCTTCCCAGCCCATAGAAACATGTATTCCTAAAACACACATATATCTCCCCAGCCCATGGCATAGACACATGTATTCCTGACACACACATATATCTCCCCAGCCCATAGACACACATATTCCTGACACACACATATATCTCCCCAGCCCATGGCATAGACACACGTATTCGAGGCATCAAGCTGAACTGTCTAGAGGAGCGTAGCCTGGGATTTGATCAGGAATTTTTCTCTGGGGAGCGTTTGGTCAGATTTCCACTTCTTCAGTCTTTCTCTCCAACTGTCAACTACAGGCGCTCTGTCGTACTACAGAGGTAGGTCACATGTCAAATGTCACGTGACACCATGATGTCAATTTGTACACTGTGTTGTACATTGAGACAAGATTGGCAGGTTTTGTTGAGGTAGTTGGTCATCTGGTTTTGTTGAGGTAGTTGGTCAGCTGGTTTTGTTGAGGTAGTTGGTCAGCTGGTTTTGTTGAGGTAGTTAGTCAGCTGGTTTTGTTAAGGTAGTTAGTCAGCTGGTTTTGTTGAGGTCAGTTGGTTTTGTTGAGGTAGTTGGTCAGCTGGTTTTGTTGAGGTAGTTGGTCAGTTGGTTTTGTTGAGGTAGTTGGTTTTGTTGAGGTAGTTGGTCAGCTGGTTTTGTTGAGGTAGTTGGTCAGCTGGTTTTGTTGAGGTCAGCTGTTTTAGTTGAGGTAGTTGGTCAGTTGGTTTTGTTGAGGTCAGCTGTTTTAGTTGAGGTAGTTGGTCAGTTGGTTTTGTTGAGGTAGTTGGTCAGCTGGTTTTGTTGAGGTAGTTGGTCAGCTGGTTTTGTTGAGGTAGTTGGTTTTGTTGAGGTAGTTGGTCAGCTGGTTTTGTTGAGGTAGTTGGTCAGCTGGTTTTGTTGAGGTAGTTGGTCAGCTGGTTTTGTTGAGGTAGTTGGTCATCTGGTTTTGTTGAGGTAGTTAGTCAGCTGGTTTTGTTGAGGTAGTTGGTCAGCTGGTTTTGTTGAGGTAGTTGGTCAGCTGTTTTAGTTGAGGTCGTTGGTCAGCTGTTTTAGTTGAGGTAGTTGGTCAGCTGGTTTTGTTGAGGTAGTTGGTTTTGTTGAGGTAGTTGGTCAGCTGGTTTTGTTGAGGTCAGCTGTTTTAGTTGAGGTAGTTGGTCAGCTGGTTTTGTTGAGGTAGTTGGTCATCTGGTTTTGTTGAGGTAGTTAGTCAGCTGGTTTTGTTGAGGTAGTTGGTCAGCTGTTTTAGTTGAGGTAGTTGGTCAGCTGGTTTTGTTGAGGTCAGCTGGTTTTGTTGAGGTAGTTGGTCAGCTGGTTTTGTTGAGGTAGTTAGTCAGCTGGTTTTGTTGAGGTAGTTGGTTTTGTTGAGGTAGTTGGTCAGTTGGTTTTGTTGAGGTAGTTGGTCAGCTGGTTTTGTTGAGGTAGTTGGTCAGCTGGTTTTGTTGAGGTAGTTAGTCAGCTGGTTTTGTTGAGGTAGTTGGTCAGCTGGTTTTGTTGAGGTAGTTGGTCAGCTGGTTTTGTTGAGGTAGTTGGTTTTGTTGAGGTAGTTGGTCAGCTGGTTTTGTTGAGGTAGTTGGTCAGCTGGTTTTGTTGAGGTAGTTGGTCAGCTGGTTTTGTTGAGGTAGTTGGTCAGCTGGTTTTGTTGAGGTAGTTGGTTTTGTTGAGGTCAGCTGGTTTTGTTGAGGTCAGCTGGTTTTGTTGAGGTCAGCTGGTTTTGTTGAGGTAGTTGGTCAGCTGGTTTTGTTGAGGTAGTTGGTCAGCTGGTTTTGTTGAGGTAGTTGGTCAGCTGGTTTTGTTGAGGTAGTTGGTCAGCTGGTTTTGTTGAGGTAGTTGGTCAGCTGGTTTTGTTGAGGTAGTTGGTCAGCTGGTTTTGTTGAGGTAGTTGGTCAGTTGGTTTTGTTGAGGTAGTTGTTCAGCTGGTTTTGTTGAGGTAGTTGGTCAGCTGGTTTTGTTGAGGTAGTTGGTCAGCTGGTTTTGTTGAGGTAGTTGGTCAGTTGGTTTTGTTGAGGTAGTTGGTCAGTTGGTTTTGTTGAGGTAGTTAGTCAGCTGGTTTTGTTGAGGTAGTTGTTCAGTTGGTTTTGTTGAGGTAGTTGGTCAGCTGGTTTTGTTGAGGTAGTTGGTCAGTTGGTTTTGTTGAGGTAGTTGGTCAGTTGGTTTTGTTGAGGTAGTTAGTCAGCTGGTTTTGTTGAGGTAGTTGGTCAGCTGGTTTTGTTGAGGTAGTTGGTTTTGTTGAGGTAGTTGGTCAGCTGGTTTTGTTGAGGTAGTTAGTCAGCTGGTTTTGTTGAGGTAGTTGGTCAGCTGGTTTTGTTGAGGTAGTTGGTTTTGTTGAGGTAGTTGGTCAGTTGGTTTTGTTGAGGTAGTTGGTCAGTTGGTTTTGTTGAGGTAGTTGGTTTTGTTGAGGTCAGCTGGTTTTGTTGAGGTAGTTAGTCAGCTGGTTTTGTTGAGGTAGTTGGTCAGCTGGTTTTGTTGAGGTAGTTGGTCAGCTGGTTTTGTTGAGGTAGTTGGTCATCTGGTTTTGTTGAGGTAGTTGGTCAGCTGGTTTTGTTGAGGTAGTTGGTCAGCTGGTTTTGTTGAGGTAGTTGGTCAGCTGTTTTAGTTGAGGTCGTTGGTCAGCTGTTTTAGTTGAGGTAGTTGGTCAGCTGGTTTTGTTGAGGTAGTTGGTTTTGTTGAGGTAGTTGGTCAGCTGGTTTTGTTGAGGTCAGCTGTTTTAGTTGAGGTAGTTGGTCAGCTGGTTTTGTTGAGGTAGTTGGTCATCTGGTTTTGTTGAGGTAGTTAGTCAGCTGGTTTTGTTGAGGTAGTTGGTCAGCTGTTTTAGTTGAGGTAGTTGGTCAGCTGGTTTTGTTGAGGTCAGCTGGTTTTGTTGAGGTAGTTGGTCAGCTGGTTTTGTTGAGGTAGTTAGTCAGCTGGTTTTGTTGAGGTAGTTGGTTTTGTTGAGGTAGTTGGTCAGTTGGTTTTGTTGAGGTAGTTGGTCAGCTGGTTTTGTTGAGGTAGTTGGTTTTGTTGAGGTAGTTGGTCAGCTGGTTTTGTTGAGGTAGTTGGTCAGCTGGTTTTGTTGAGGTAGTTGGTCAGCTGGTTTTGTTGAGGTAGTTGGTCAGCTGGTTTTGTTGAGGTAGTTGGTCAGCTGGTTTTGTTGAGGTAGTTGGTCAGCTGGTTTTGTTGAGGTCAGCTGGTTTTGTTGAGGTCAGCTGGTTTTGTTGAGGTCAGCTGGTTTTGTTGAGGTAGTTGGTCAGCTGGTTTTGTTGAGGTAGTTGGTCAGCTGGTTTTGTTGAGGTAGTTGGTCAGCTGGTTTTGTTGAGGTAGTTGGTCAGCTGGTTTTGTTGAGGTAGTTGGTCAGCTGGTTTTGTTGAGGTAGTTGGTCAGCTGGTTTTGTTGAGGTCAGCTGGTTTTGTTGAGGTAGTTGGTCAGCTGGTTTTGTTGAGGTCAGCTGGTTTTGTTGAGGTCAGCTGGTTTTGTTGAGGTAGTTGGTCAGCTGGTTTTGTTGAGGTAGTTGGTCAGCTGGTTTTGTTGAGGTAGTTGGTCAGCTGGTTTTGTTGAGGTAGTTGGTCAGCTGGTTTTGTTGAGGTAGTTGGTCAGCTGGTTTTGTTGAGGTAGTTGGTCAGCTGGTTTTGTTGAGGTAGTTGGTCAGCTGGTTTTGTTGAGGTAGTTGGTCAGCTGGTTTTGTTGAGGTAGTTGGTCAGTTGGTTTTGTTGAGGTAGTTGTTCAGCTGGTTTTGTTGAGGTAGTTGGTCAGCTGGTTTTGTTGAGGTAGTTGGTCAGCTGGTTTTGTTGAGGTAGTTGGTCAGCTGGTTTTGTTGAGGTAGTTGGTTTTGTTGAGGTAGTTGGTCAGCTGGTTTTGTTGAGGTAGTTAGTCAGCTGGTTTTGTTGAGGTAGTTGGTCAGCTGGTTTTGTTGAGGTAGTTGGTTTTGTTGAGGTAGTTGGTCAGTTGGTTTTGTTGAGGTAGTTGGTCAGTTGGTTTTGTTGAGGTAGTTGGTCAGCTGGTTTTGTTGAGGTAGTTGGTCAGCTGGTTTTGTTGAGGTAGTTGGTCAGCTGGTTTTGTTGAGGTCAGCTGGTTTTGTTGAGGTCAGCTGGTTTTGTTGAGGTCAGCTGGTTTTGTTGAGGTAGTTGGTCAGCTGGTTTTGTTGAGGTAGTTGGTCAGCTGGTTTTGTTGAGGTAGTTGGTCAGCTGGTTTTGTTGAGGTAGTTGGTCAGCTGGTTTTGTTGAGGTAGTTGTTCAGCTGGTTTTGTTGAGGTAGTTGGTCAGCTGGTTTTGTTGAGGTAGTTGGTCAGCTGGTTTTGTTGAGGTAGTTGGTCAGCTGGTTTTGTTGAGGTAGTTGTTCAGCTGGTTTTGTTGAGGTAGTTGGTCAGCTGGTTTTGTTGAGGTAGTTAGTCAGCTGGTTTTGTTAAGGTAGTTAGTCAGCTGGTTTTGTTGAGGTAGTTGGTCAGCTGGTTTTGTTGAGGTAGTTGGTTTTGTTGAGGTCAGCTGGTTTTGTTGAGGTCAGCTGGTTTTGTTGAGGTCAGCTGGTTTTGTTGAGGTCAGCTGGTTTTGTTGAGGTAGTTGGTCAGCTGGTTTTGTTGAGGTAGTTGGTCAGCTGGTTTTGTTGAGGTAGTTGGTCAGCTGGTTTTGTTGAGGTAGTTGGTTTTGTTGAGGTAGTTGGTCAGCTGGTTTTGTTAAGGTAGTTAGTCAGCTGGTTTTGTTGAGGTAGTTGGTCAGCTGGTTTTGTTGAGGTAGTTGGTCAGCTGGTTTTGTTGAGGTAGTTGTTCAGCTGGTTTTGTTGAGGTAGTTGGTCAGCTGGTTTTGTTGAGGTAGTTAGTCAGCTGGTTTTGTTGAGGTAGTTGGTCAGCTGGTTTTGTTGAGGTAGTTGGTCAGCTGGTTTTGTTGAGGTAGTTGGTCAGCTGGTTTTGTTGAGGTAGTTGGTCAGCTGGTTTTGTTGAGGTAGTTGGTTTTGTTGAGGTAGTTGGTTAGTTGGTTTTGTTGAGGTAGTTAGTCAGCTGGTTTTGTTGAGGTAGTTAGTCAGCTGGTTTTGTTGAGGTAGTTGGTTTTGTTGAGGTAGTTGGTTAGTTGGTTTTGTTGAGGTAGTTAGTCAGCTGGTTTTGTTGAGGTAGTTGGTCAGCTGGTTTTGTTGAGGTAGTTAGTCAGCTGGTTTTGTTGAGGTAGTTGGTCAGCTGGTTTTGTTGAGGTAGTTGGTCAGCTGGTTTTGTTGAGGTAGTTGGTCAGTTGGTTTTGTTGAGGTAGTTAGTCAGCTGGTTTTGTTGAGGTAGTTGGTCAGCTGGTTTTGTTGAGGTAGTTGGTCAGCTGGTTTTGTTGAGGTAGTTGGTCAGCTGGTTTTGTTGAGGTAGTTGGTCAGCTGGTTTTGTTGAGGTCAGCTGGTTTTGTTGAGGTAGTTGGTCAGCTGGTTTTGTTGAGGTAGTTGGTTTTGTTGAGGTAGTTGGTCAGCTGGTTTTGTTGAGGTAGTTAGTCAGCTGGTTTTGTTGAGGTAGTTGGTTTTGTTGAGGTCAGCTGGTTTTGTTGAGGTAGTTGGTCAGCTGGTTTTGTTGAGGTAGTTGGTCAGCTGGTTTTGTTGAGGTAGTTGGTCAGCTGGTTTTGTTGAGGTAGTTGGTCAGCTGGTTTTGTTGAGGTAGTTGGTTTTGTTGAGGTAGTTGGTCAGCTGGTTTTGTTGAGGTAGTTGGTCAGCTGGTTTTGTTGAGGTAGTTGGTCAGTTGGTTTTGTTGAGGTAGTTGGTCAGCTGGTTTTGTTGAGGTAGTTGATCAGTTGGTTTTGTTGAGGTAGTTGGTCAGCTGGTTTTGTTGAGGTAGTTGGTCAGCTGGTTTTGTTGAGGTAGTTGATCAGTTGGTTTTGTTGAGGTAGTTGGTCAGCTGGTTTTGTTGAGGTAGTTGGTCAGCTGGTTTTGTTGAGGTAGTTGGTCAGCTGGTTTTGTTGAGGTAGTTGGTCAGCTGGTTTTGTTGAGGTCAGCTGGTTTTGTTGAGGTCAGCTGGTTTTGTTGAGGTAGTTGGTCAGCTGGTTTTGTTGAGGTAGTTGGTCAGCTGGTTTTGTTGAGGTAGTTGGTCAGCTGGTTTTGTTGAGGTAGTTGGTCAGTTGGTTTTGTTGAGGTAGTTGGTCAGCTGGTTTTGTTGAGGTAGTTGGTCAGCTGGTTTTGTTGAGGTAGTTGGTTTTGTTGAGGTAGTTGATCAGCTGGTTTTGTTGAGGTAGTTGGTCAGTTGGTTTTGTTGAGGTAGTTGGTCAGTTGGTTTTGTTGAGGTAGTTGGTCAGCTGGTTTTGTTGAGGTAGTTGGTCAGCTGGTTTTGTTGAGGTAGTTGGTCAGTTGGTTTTGTTGAGGTAGTTGATCAGTTGGTTTTGTTGAGGTAGTTGGTTAGTTGGTTTTGTTGAGGTAGTTGGTCAGCTGGTTTTGTTGAGGTAGTTGGTTTTGTTGAGGTAGTTGGTCAGCTGGTTTTGTTGAGGTAGTTAGTCAGCTGGTTTTGTTGAGGTAGTTGGTCAGCTGGTGAGCTGGTGAGCTAATGGCTACCCAGCCTTGTTGTTGCAGGTTACACTAAGCACTGGTTACCATGGTGAGCATCTCTCCCTCAGGTTTATCTGGCTACTTGACAGTGTCATCCATTATTTAATACCAGCCTGGCAATCTTCTATTGAAAGCTGCAACCATTCAGATATTAAAAATTTAGCTAATTTAGAGGTAAGTTGTTGATTTTTTTACTTTTTTTTTTTACATTGGTTAAAAAATGAAAAGAAATTAATTTTAAAATTTCATTACAGAGTATTAGGCAACTTTTACCATTGTCAAAGAAAAGATTAGCTCTCATTGACACTCTACTCAAAGGATCATCCTCTGAGTAAGTGGTCAGTGTTTTGTTGTCCTTAGAGTAGGTGGTCAGTGTTTTGTTGTTCCTAGAATAAGTGGTCAGTGTTTTGTTGTTCTTAGAGTAAGTGGTCAGTGTTTTGTTGTTCTTAGAGTAAGTGGTCAGTGTTTTGTTGTTCCTAGAGTAAGTGGTCAGTGTTTTATTGATCCTAGAATAAGTGGTCAGTGTTTTGTTCTTAAAGTAAGTGGTCAGTGTTTTGTTGTTCCTAGAATAAGTGGTCAGTGTTTTGTTGTCCTTAGAGTAAGTGGTCAGTGTTTTGTTCTTAAAGTAAGTGGTCAGTGTTTTGTTCTTAGAGAGTAAGTGGTCAGTGTTTTGTTGTCCTTAGAGTAAGTGGTCAGTGTTTTGTTGTTCTTAGAGTAAGTGGTCAGTGTTTTAATCTTAGAGTAAGTGGTCAGTGTTTTGTTGTTCTTAGAGTAAGTGGTCAGTGTTTTAATCTTAGAGTAAGTGGTCAGTGTTTTGTCCTTAGAGTAAGTGGTCAGTGTTTTGTTGTCCTTAGAGTAAGTGGTCAGTGTTTTGTTCTTAGAGTAAGTGGTCAGTGTTTTGTCCTTAGAGTAAGTGGTCAGTGTTTTAATCTTAGAGTAAGTGGTCAGTGTTTTGTTGTCCTTAGAGTAAGTGGTCAGTGTTTTGTTCTTAGAGTAAGTGGTCAGTGTTTTGTTGTTCTAAGAGTAAGTGGTCAGTGTTTTGTTCTTAGAGTAAGTGGTCAGTGTTTTGTTGTTCCTAGAGTAAGTGGTCAGTGTTTTGTTGTTCTAAGAGTAAGTGGTCAGTGTTTTGTTCTTAGAGTAAGTGGTCAGTGTTTTGTTGTCCTTAGAGTAAGTGGTCAGTGTTTTAATCTTAGAGTAAGTGGTCAGTGTTTTGTTGTTCTAAGAGTAAGTGGTCAGTGTTTTGTTCTTAGAGTAAGTGGTCAGTGTTTTGTTCTTAGAGTAAGTGGTCAGTGTTTTGTTGTTCTTAGAGTAAGTGGTCAGTGTTTTGTTGTTCTTAGAGTAAGTGGTCAGTGTTTTGTTGTTCCTAGAGTAAGTGGTCAGTGTTTTGTTGTTCTTAGAGTAAGTGGTCAGTGTTTTGTTGTTCCTAGAGTAAGTGGTCAGTGTTTTAATCTTAGAGTAAGTGGTCAGTGTTTTGTTGTCCTTAGAGTAAGTGGTCAGTGTTTTGTTGTTCCTAGAGTAAGTGGTCAGTGTTTTGTTGTTCTTAGAGTAAGAAGTGGTCAGTGTTTTGTTGTTCTTAGAGTAAGTGGTCAGTGTTTTAATCTTAGAGTAAGTGGTCAGTGTTTTGTTGTTCTTAGAGTAAGTGGTCAGTGTTTTGTTGTTCTTAGAGTAAGAAGTGGTCAGTGTTTTGTTGTTCTTAGAGTAAGTGGTCAGTGTTTTGTTGTTCTTAGAGTAAGTGGTCAGTGTTTTGTTGTCCTTAGAGTAAGTGGTCAGTGTTTTGTTGTTCCTAGAGTAAGTGGTCAGTGTTTTGTTGTTCTTAGAGTAAGTGGTCAGTGTTTTGTTGTTCCTAGAGTAAGTGGTCAGTGTTTTGTTCTTAGAGAGTAAGTGGTCAGTGTTTTGTTGTTCTTAGAGTAAGAAGTGGTCAGTGTTTTGTTGCTCCTAGAGTAAGAAGTGGTCAGTGTTTGGTTCTTAGAGTAAGTGGTCAGTGTTTTGTTGTTTGGTTGCCCTTAAAGTCTGTAGTCTGTAATATTTTTGGCCACTATAGATCAATAACTGACTGTTCTGTTGCCTAGGATGGGTGGGGGGGTATGGCTGTAACAATTTGTAATTATAACAGTTTTTCTTATGAATCAGCCCATCAGAGAGAAAAATTGTGTACATCAACCGGCACGCAGCATTTGAACACAGAGCCAACCCTTCGTCTGACTTCAGCAACACTGTTTTCATGCAGCTCTACGAGGGACTCAAACCCAGGGACAGGGTGTCCTCACCTCTCACCTACAGGTAACCCATGTCCTCTCACCTACAGGTAACCCATGTCCTCTCACCTACAGGTAACCCATGTCCTCTCACCTACAGGTAACCCATGTCCTCTCACCTACAGGTAACCCATGTCCTCTCACCTACAGGTAACCCATGTCCTCACCTACAGGTAACCCATGTCCTCTCACCTACAGGTAACCCATGTCCTCTCACCTACAGGTAACCCATGTCCTCTCACCTACAGGTAACCCATGTCCTCTCACCGACAGGTAACCCATGTCCTCTCACCTACAGGTAACCCATGTCCTCTCACCTACAGGTAACCCATGTCCTCTCACCTACAGGTAACCCATGTCATCTCACCTACATGTCCTCTAATGCCCTTGTCTCTGTAGGTGGTCAGCACAAAATGACCAGTGGTGGGAGTGCAAGTTTTTGTCTGAAGGCATCATAGACCAGGGTGGAGGCTTTAGGGACAGCCTGTCAGACATAGCGGAGGAGATGTGCCCATCAGACCCAGACGCCCCCATGGCCTTGCCATTTTTTGTTAGAACTCCCAACCAGGTATGTGCCCATCAGACCCAGATGCCCCCATGGCCTTGCCATTTTTTGTTAGAACTCCCAACCAGGTATGTGCCCATCAGACCCAGACGCCCCCATGGCCTTGCCATTTTTTGTTAGAACTCCCAACCAGGTATGTGCCCACCTGACCCTCATCAACCAGCTAATGTTTTCCCCAGACCAATGATGGTAATGTTTTCCCCAGACCAATGATAGTAGTGATGTTGGTAATGTTTTCCCCAGACCAATGATGGTAGTGATGATGGTAATGTTTTCCCCAGACCAATGATGGTAGTGATGATGGTAATGTTTTCCCCAGACCAATGATGGTAGTGATGATGGTAAGGTTTTCCCCAGACCAATGATGGTAGTGATGATGGTAATGTTTTCCCCAGACCAATGATGGTAGTGATGATGGTAAGGTTTTCCACAGACCAATGATGGTAGTGAAGATGGTAATGTTTTCCCCAGACCAATGATGGTAGTGATGATGGTAATGTTTTCCCCAGACCAATGATGGTAGTGATGATGGTAATGTTTTCCCCAGACCAATGATGGTAGTGATGATGGTAATGTTTTCCCCAGACCAATGATGGTAGTGATGATGGTAAGGTTTTCCCCAGACCAATGATGGTAGTGATGATGGTAATGTTTTCCCCAGACCAATGATGGTAGTGATGATGGTAAGGTTTTCCACAGACCAATGATGGTAGTGAAGATGGTAATGTTTTCCCCAGACCAATGATGGTAGTGATGATGGTAATGTTTTCCCCAGACCAATGATGGAAGTGATGATGGTAATGTTTTCCCCAGACCAATGATGGTAGTTATGATGGTAATGTTTTCCCCAGACCAATGATGGTAGTGATGATGGTAATGTTTTCCCCAGACCAATGATGGTAATGATGATGGTAATGTTTTCCCCAGACTAATGATGATGGTAATGTTTTCCCCAGACCAATGATGATGGTAATGGGGTTTTCCCCAGACCAATGATGGTAATGATGACGGTAATGTTTTCCCCAGACTAATGATGATGGTAATGTTTTCCCCAGACCAATGATGGTAGTGATGATGGTAATGTTTTCCCCAGACCACTGATGGTAGTGATGATGGTAATGTTTTCCCCAGACCAATGATGGTAGTGATGGTGGTAATGTTTTCCCCAGACCAATGATGGTAGTGATGATGGTAATGTTTTCCCCAGACCAATGATGGTAGTGATGATGGTAATGTTTTCCCCAGACCAATGATGGTAGTGATGATGGTAATGTTTTCCCCAGACCAATGATGGTAGTGATGATGGTAAGGTTTTCCCCAGACCAATGATGGTAGTGATGATGGTAATGTTTTCCCCAGACCAATGATGGTAGTGATGATGGTAATGTTTTCCCCAGACCAATGATGGTAGTGATGATGGTAATGTTTTCCCCAGACCAATGATGGTAGTGATGATGGTAATGTTTTCCCCAGACCAATGATGGTAGTGATGATGGTAATGTTTTCCCCAGACCAATGATGGTAGTGATGATGGTAATGTTTTCCCCAGACCAATGATGGAAGTGATGATGGTAATGTTTTCCCCAGACCAATGATGATGGTAATGTTTTCCCCAGACCAATGATGGAAGTGATGATGGTAATGTTTTCCCCAGACCAATGATGATGGTAATGTTTTCCCCAGACCAATGATGGAAGTGATGATGGTAATGTTTTCCCCAGACCAATGATGGTAGTGATGATGGTAATGTTTTCCCCAGACCAATGATGGTAGTGATGATGGTAATGTTTTCCCCAGACCAATGATGGTAGTGATGATGGTAATGTTTTCCCCAGACCAATGATGGTAGTGATGATGGTAATGTTTTCCCCAGACCAATGATGATGGTAATGTTTTCCCCAGACCAATGATGGTAGTGATGATGGTAATGTTTTCCCCAGACCAATGATGATGGTAATGTCAACAGAGACTGCTACATCCCAAACCCATCCTGCCTTTGTTTAGACAAGTTTGAGTGGATTGGTCAGCTTATGGGTGCTTGTTTCAGGGGCAAGGAAATATTGGCAAGTCTAAATCTTTCATTCTGCTTCTTGTATTACTGTACTAGATTGTGTCCCCTATGTGACATCTTGTATTACTGTACTAGATTGTGTCCCCTATGTGACATCTTGTATTACTGTACTAGATTGTGTCCCCTATGTGTGACATCTTGTATTACTGTACTAGATTGTGTCCCCTATGTGACATCTTGTATTACTGTACTAGATTGTGTCCCCTATGTGTGACATCTTGTATTACTGTACTAGATTGTGTCCCCCTATGTGTGACATCTTGTATTACTGTACCAGATTGTGTCCCCTATGTGACATCTTGTATTACTGTACTAGATTGTGTCCCCTATGTGTGACATCTTGTATTACTGTACTAGATTGTGTCCCCTATGTGACATCTTGTATTACTGTACTAGATTGTGTCCCCCTATGTGTGACATCTTGTATTACTGTACTAGATTGTGTCCCCTATGTGACATCTTGTATTACTGTACTAGATTGTGTCCCCTATGTGTGACATCTTGTATTACTGTACTAGATTGTGTCCCCCTATGTGTGACATCTTGTATTACTGTACTAGATTGTGTCCCCTATGTGTGACATCTTGTATTACTGTACTAGATTGTGTCCCCTATGTGTGACATCTTGTATTACTGTACTAGATTGTGTCCCCTATATGTGACATCTTGTATTACTGTACTAGATTGTGTCCCCTATGTGTGACATCTTGTATTACTGTACTAGATTGTGTCCCCTATGTGTGACATCTTGTATTACTGTACTAGATTGTGTCCCCTATGTGTGACATCTTGTATTACTATACTAGATTGTGTCCCCTATGTGTGACATCTTGTATTACTGTACTAGATTGTGTCCCCTATGTGTGACATCTTGTATTACTGTACTAGATTGTGTCCCCTATGTGTGACATCTTGTATTACTGTACTAGATTGTGTCCCCTATGTGTGACATCTTGTATTACTGTACTAGATTGTGTCCCCTATGTGTGACATCTTGTATTACTGTACTAGATTGTGTCCCCTATGTGTGACATCTTGTATTACTGTACTAGATTGTGTCCCCTATGTGTGACATCTTGTATTACTGTACTAGATTGTGTCCCCTATGTGTGACATCTTGTATTACTGTACTAGATTGTGTCCCCTATGTGTCACATCTTGTATTACTGTACTAGATTGTACCCCTATGTGTGACATCTTGTATTACTGTACTAGATTGTGTCCCCTATGTGTGACATCTTGTATTACTGTACTAGATTGTGTCCCCCTATGTGTGACATCTTGTATTACTGTACTAGATTGTGTCCCCTATGTGACATCTTGTATTACTGTACTAGATTGTGTCCCCTATGTGACATCTTGTATTACTGTACTAGATTGTGCTCCCTATGTCTGACATCTTGTATTACTGTACTAGATTGTGTCCCCCTATGTGTGACATCTTGTATTACTGTACTAGATTGTGTCCCCTATGTGACATCTTGTATTACTGTACTAGATTGTGCTCCCTATGTCTGACATCTTGTATTACTGTACTAGATTGTGTCCCCTATGTGTGACATCTTGTATTACTGTACTAGATTGTGCCCCCTATGTCTGACATCTTGTATTACTGTACTAGATTGTGTCCCCTATGTGTGACATCTTGTATTACTGTACTAGATTGTGTCCCCTATGTGTGACATCTTGTATTACTGTACTAGATTGTGTCCCCTATGTGTGACATCTTGTATTACTGTACTAGATTGTGTCCCCTATGTGTGACATCTTGTATTACTGTACTAGATTGTGTACCTATGTGTGACATCTTGTATTACTGTACTAGATTGTGTCCCCTATGTGTGACATCTTGTATTACTGTACTAGATTGTGTCCCCCTATGTGTGACATCTTGTATTACTGTACTAGATTGTGTCCCCTATGTGTGACATCTTGTATTACTGTACTAGATTGTGTCCCCCTATGTGTGACATCTTGTATGACTGTACTAGATTGTGTCCCCTATGTGTGACATCTTGTATTACTGTACTAGATTGTGTCCCCTATGTGTGACATCTTGTATTACTGTACTAGATTGTGTCCCCTATGTGTGACATCTTGTATTACTGTACTAGATTGTGTCCCCTATGTGTGACATCTTGTATTACTGTACTAGATTGTGTCCCCTATGTGTGACATCTTGTATTACTGTACTAGATTGTGTCCCCCTATGTGACATCTTGTATTACTGTACTAGATTGTGTCCCCTATGTGTGACATCTTGTATTACTGTACTAGATTGTGTCCCCTATGTGTGACATCTTGTATTACTGTACTAGATTGTGTCCCCCTATGTGTGACATCTTGTATTACTGTACTAGATTGTGTCCCCTATGTGTGACATCTTGTATTACTGTACTAGATTGTGTCCCCTATGTGTGACATCTTGTATTACTGTACTAGATTGTGTCCCCTATGTGTGACATCTTGTATTACTGTACTAGATTGTGTCCCCTATGTGTGACATCTTGTATTACTGTACTAGATTGTCCCCTATGTGTGACATCTTGTATTACTGTACTAGATTGTGTCCCCTATGTGACATCTTGTATTACTGTACTAGATTGTGTCCCCTATGTGTGACATCTTGTATTACTGTACTAGATTGTGTCCCCTATGTGTGACATCTTGTATTACTGTACTAGATTGTGTCCCCTATGTGTGACATCTTGTATTACTGTACTAGATTGTGTCCCCTATGTGTGACATCTTGTATTACTGTACTAGATTGTCCCCTATGTGTGACATCTTGTATTACTGTACTAGATTGTGTCCCCTATGTGTGACATCTTGTATTACTGTACTAGATTGTGTCCCCCTATGTGTGACATCTTGTATTACTGTACTAGATTGTGTCCCCTATGTGTGACATCTTGTATTACTCTACTAGATTGTGTCCCCTATGTGTGACATCTTGTTATACTGTACTAGATTGTGTCCCCTATGTGTGACATCTTGTATTACTGTACTAGATTGTGTCCCCTATGTGTGACATCTTGTATTACTGTACTAGATTGTGTCCCCTATGTGTGACATCTTGTATTACTGTACTAGATTGTGTCCCCTATGTGTGACATCTTGTATTACTGTACTAGATTGTGTCCCCTATGTGTGACATCTTGTATTACTGTACTAGATTGTGTCCCCCTATGTGACATCTTGTATTACTGTACTAGATTGTGTCCCCTATGTGTGACATCTTGTATTACTGTACTAGATTGTGTCCCCTATGTGACATCTTGTATTACTGTACTAGATTGTGTCCCCTATGTGTGACATCTTGTATTACTGTACTAGATTGTGTCCCCTATGTGTGACATCTTGTATTACTGTACTAGATTGTGTCCCCTATGTGTGACATCTTGTATTACTGTACTAGATTGTGTCCCCTGTGTGACATCTTGTATTACTGTACTAGATTGTGTCCCCTATGTGTGACATCTTGTATTACTGTACTAGATTGTGTCCCCTATGTGTGACATCTTGTATTACTGTACTAGATTGTGTCCCCTATGTGTGACATCTTGTTATACTGTACTAGATTGTGTCCCCTATGTGTGACATCTTGTATTACTGTACTAAATTGTGTCCCCTATGTGTGACATCTTGTATTACTGTACTAGATTGTGTCCCCTATGTGTGACATCTTGTATTACTGTACTAGATTGTGTCCCCTATGTGTGACATCTTGTATTACTGTACTAGATTGTGTCCCCTATGTGTGACATCTTGTATTACTGTACTAGATTGTGTCCCCTATGTGTGACATCTTGTTATACTGTACTAGATTGTGTCCCCTATGTGTGACATCTTGTATTACTGTACTAGATTGTGTCCCCTATGTGTGACATCTTGTATTACTGTACTAGATTGTGTCCCCTATGTGTGACATCTTGTATTACTGTACTAGATTGTGTCCCCCTATGTGTGACATCTTGTATTACTGTACTAGATTGTGTCCCCCTATGTGACATCTTGTATTACTGTACTAGATTGTGTCCCCCTATGTGACATCTTGTATTACTGTACTAGATTGTGTCCCCTATGTGTGACATCTTGTATTACTGTACTAGATTGTGTCCCCTATGTGTGACATCTTGTATTACTGTACTAGATTGTGTCCCCTATGTGTGACATCTTGTATTACTGTACTAGATTGTGTCCCCTATGTGTGACATCTTGTATTACTGTACTAGATTGTGTACCTATGTGTGACATCTTGTATTACTGTACTAGATTGTGTCCCCTATGTGTGACATCTTGTATTACTGTACTAGATTGTGTCCCCTATGTGTGACATCTTGTATTACTGTACTAGATTGTGTCCCCTATGTGTGACATCTTGTATTACTGTACTAGATTGTGTCCCCTATGTGTGACATCTTGTATTACTGTACTAGATTGTGTCCCCTATGTGTGACATCTTGTATTACTGTACTAGATTGTGTCCCCTATGTGACATCTTGTATTACTGTACTAGATTGTGTCCCCTATGTGTGACATCTTGTATTACTGTACTAGATTGTGTCCCCTATGTGTGACATCTTGTATTACTGTACTAGATTGTGTCCCCTATGTGTGACATCTTGTATTACTGTACTAGATTGTGTCCCCTATGTGTGACATCTTGTATTACTGTACTAGATTGTGTCCCCTATGTGTGACATCTTGTATTACTGTACTAGATTGTGTACCTATGTGTGACATCTTGTATTACTGTACTAGATTGTGTCCCCTATGTGTGACATCTTGTATTACTGTACTAGATTGTGTCCCCTATGTGTGACATCTTGTATTACTGTACTAGATTGTGTCCCCTATGTGTGACATCTTGTATTACTGTACTAGATTGTGTACCTATGTGTGACATCTTGTATTACTGTACTAGATTGTGTCCCCTATGTGTGACATCTTGTATTACTGTACTAGATTGTGTCCCCCTATGTGTGACATCTTGTATTACTGTACTAGATTGTGTCCCCTATGTGTGACATCTTGTATTACTGTACTAGATTGTGTCCCCCTATGTGTGACATCTTGTATGACTGTACTAGATTGTGTCCCCTATGTGTGACATCTTGTATTACTGTACTAGATTGTGTCCCCCTATGTGTGACATCTTGTATTACTGTACTAGATTGTGTCCCCTATGTGTGACATCTTGTATTACTGTACTAGATTGTGTCCCCTATGTGTGACATCTTGTATTACTGTACTAGATTGTGTCCCCTATGTGTGACATCTTGTATTACTGTACTAGATTGTGTCCCCTATGTGTGACATCTTGTTATACTGTACTAGATTGTGTCCCCTATGTGTGACATCTTGTATTACTGTACTAGATTGTGTCCCCTATGTGTGACATCTTGTATTACTGTACTAAATTGTGTCCCCCTATGTGTGACATCTTGTATTACTGTACTAGATTGTGTCCCCTATGTGTGACATCTTGTATTACTGTACTAGATTGTGTCCCCTATGTGTGACATCTTGTATTACTGTACCAGATTGTGCTCCCTATGTCTGACATCTTGTATTACTGTACTAGATTGTGTCCCCCTATGTGACATCTTGTATTACTGTACTAGATTGTGTCCCCCTATGTGTGACATCTTGTATTACTGTACTAGATTGTGTCCCCTATGTGTGACATCTTGTATTACTGTACTAGATTGTGTCCCCTATGTGTGACATCTTGTATTACTGTACTAGATTGTGTCCCCCTATGTGTGACATCTTGTATTACTGTACTAGATTGTGTCCCCTATGTGTGACATCTTGTATTACTGTACTAGATTGTGTCCCCTATGTGTGACATCTTGTATTACTGTACTAGATTGTACCCCTATGTGTGACATCTTGTATTACTGTACTAGATTGTGTCCCCTATGTGTGACATCTTGTTATACTGTACCAGATTGTGTCCCCCTATGTGACATCTTGTATTACTGTACTAGATTGTGTCCCCTATGTGTGACATCTTGTATTACTGTACTAGATTGTGTCCCCCTATGTGTGACATCTTGTATTACTGTACCAGATTGTGTCCCCTATGTGACATCTTGTATTACTGTACTAGATTGTGTCCCCTATGTGTGACATCTTGTATTACTGTACTAGATTGTGTCCCCTATGTGTGACATCTTGTATTACTGTACTAGATTGTGTCCCCTATGTGACATCTTGTATTACTGTACTAGATTGTGTCCCCCTATGTGTGACATCTTGTATTACTGTACTAGATTGTGTCCCCTATGTGTGACATCTTGTATTACTGTACTAGATTGTGTCCCCTATGTGTGACATCTTGTATTACTGTACTAGATTGTGTCCCCTATGTGACATCTTGTATTACTGTACTAGATTGTGTCCCCTATGTGTCACATCTTGTATTACTGTACTAGATTGTGTCCCCTATGTGTCACATCTTGTATTACTGTACTAGATTGTGTCCCCCTATGTGTGACATCTTGTATTACTGTACTAGATTGTGTCCCCTATGTGTGACATCTTGTATTACTGTACTAGATTGTGTCCCCTATGTGTGACATCTTGTATTACTGTACTAGATTGTGTCCCCTATGTGTGACATCTTGTATTACTGTACTAGATTGTGTCCCCTATGTGTGACATCTTGTATTACTGTACTAGATTGTGTACCTATGTGTGACATCTTGTATTACTGTACTAGATTGTGTCCCCTATGTGTGACATCTTGTATTACTGTAGTAGATTGTGTCCCCTATGTGTGACATCTTGTATTACTGTACTAGATTGTGTCCCCTATGTGTGACATCTTGTATTACTGTACTAGATTGTGTCCCCTATGTGTGACATCTTGTATTACTGTACTAGATTGTGTCCCCCTATGTGTGACATCTTGTATTACTGTACTAGATTGTGTCCCCTATGTGTGACATCTTGTATTACTGTACTAGATTGTGTCCCCTATGTGTGACATCTTGTATTACTGTACTAGATTGTGTCCCCTATGTGTGACATCTTGTATTACTGTACTAGATTGTGTCCCCTATGTGACATCTTGTATTACTGTACTAGATTGTGTCCCCTATGTGTGACATCTTGTATTACTGTACTAGATTGTGTCCCCTATGTGTGACATCTTGTATTACTGTACTAGATTGTGTCCCCTATGTGACATCTTGTATTACTGTACTAGATTGTGTCCCCTATGTGTGACATCTTGTATTACTGTACTAGATTGTGTCCCCTATGTGTGACATCTTGTATTACTGTACTAGATTGTGTCCCCCTATGTGACATCTTGTATTACTGTACTAGATTGTGTCCCCCTATGTGTGACATCTTGTATTACTGTACTAGATTGTGTCCCCTATGTGTGACATCTTGTATTACTGTACTAGATTGTGTCCCCTATGTGACATCTTGTATTACTGTACTAGATTGTGTCCCCTATGTGTGACATCTTGTATTACTGTACTAGATTGTGTCCCCCTATGTGTGACATCTTGTATTACTGTACTAGATTGTGTCCCCTATGTGTGACATCTTGTATTACTGTACTAGATTGTGTCCCTGGCCCCCTATGTGTGGAAGCGTCTTGTTGGTGAGAGCTACAGCTGGACCCAGGACTTTCCCACAGTGGATGCTGCTGAGGTAATGGTTGCTCTCTCTAGGTTGGTCTCTCTAGGTTAGTCTCTCTAGGTTGGTCTCTCTAGGTTGGTCTCTCTAGGTTGGTCTCTCTAGGTTGGTCTCTCTAGGTTAGTCTCTCTAGGTTGGTCTCTCTAGGTTGGTCTCTCTAGGTTGGTCTCTCTAGGTTGGTCTCTCTAGGTTGGTCTCTCTAGGTTGGTCTCTCTAGGTTGGTCTCTCTAGGTTGGTCTCTCTTGGTTGGTCTCTCTTGGTTGGTCTCTCTAGGTTGGTCTCTCTTGGTTGGTACCTGCAGGTTTTTGTTTTACAGGTGCGACTTATTGACAGTCTGGTCAACATGGACAGAGAAACTTTTCTGGCTGCGGGGCGGAGCTGGTCCATGGTGCTGAGTGATGGCTCCCACGTCAGCATCCGTGTGGACGATGACGGCAACCCAAAACCTCTCAGCTATGACGAGAGGGAGGAGTATGTGCTCAAAGTCAGGGAAATCAGGCTGGGAGAGTGTGACAAACAGGTGGGAGAGTGTGACAGACAGGTGGGAGAGTGTGACAAACAGGTGGGAGAGTGTGACAGGTGGGAGAGTGTGACAGGTGGGAGAGTGTGACAAACAGGTGGGAGAGTGTGACAAACAGGTGGGAGAGTGTGACAGGTGGGAGAGTGTGACAAACAGGTGGGAGAGTGTGACAGGTGGGAGAGTGTGACAAACAGGTGGGAGAGTGTGACAGGTGGGAGAGTGTGACAAACAGGTGGGAGAGTGTGACAGGTGGGAGAGTGTGACAGGTGGGAGAGTGTGACAGGTGGGAGAGTGTGACAAACAGGTGGGAGAGTGTGACAGGTGGGAGAGTGTGACAGACAGGTGGGAGAGTGTGACAGGTGGGAGAGTGACTGACAGGTGGGAGAGTGTGACAGACAGATGGGAGAGTATGACAGACAGGTGGGAGAGTGTGACAGACAGGTGGGAGAGTGTGACAAACAGGTGGGAGAGTGTGACAAACAGGTGGGAGAGTGTGACAGACAGGTGAGAGAGTGTGACTGACAGGTGGGAGAGTGTGACAGACAGATGGAAGAGTGTGACAAACAGGTGGGAGAGTGTGACAAACAGGTGGGAGAGTGTGACAAACAGGTGGGAGAGTGTGACAGACAGGTGAGAGAGTGTGACTGACAGGTGGGAGAGTGTGACAGACAGATGGAAGAGTGTGACAAACAGGTGGGAGAGTGTGACAAACAGGTGGGAGAGTGTGACAGACAGGTGGGAGAGTGTGACAGACAGGTGGGAGAGTGTGACAGACAGATGGGAGAGTATGACAGACAGGTGGGAGAGTGTGACAGACAGGTGGGAGAGTGACAAACAGGTGGGAGAGTATGGCAGACAGGTGGGAGAGTGTGACTGGTAGGAGAGTGTGACAGACAGGTGGGAGAGTGTGACAGACAGATGGGAGAGTGTGACAGACAGGTGGTAGAGTGTGACAGACAGGTGGGAGAGTGTGACAGACAGGTGGGAGAGTGTGACAGACAGGTGGGAGAGTGTGACAGACAGATGGGAGAGTGTGACAGACAGGTGGTAGAGTGTGACAGGTGGGAGAGTGTGACAGACAGGTGGTAGAGTGTGACAGACAGGTGGGAGAGTGTGACAGACAGGTGGGAGAGTGTGACAGACAGGTGGGAGAGTGTGACAGACAGGTGGGAGAGTGTGACAGACAGGTGGGAGAGTGTGACAGACAGGTGGGAGAGTGACAGACAGGTGGGAGAGTATGACAGACAGCTGGGAGAGTGTGACAGACAGCTGGGAGAGTGTGACAGGCAGGTGGGAGAGTTTGACAGACAGGTGGGAGAGTGTGACAGGTGGGAGAGTGTGACAGGTGGGAGAGTGTGACAAACAGGTGGGAGAGTGTGACAGGTGGGAGAGTGTGACAGGTGGGAGAGTGTGACAGACAGGTGGGAGAGTGTGACAGACAGGTGGGAGAGTGTGACAGACAGGTGGGAGAGTGTGACAGACAGGTGGGAGAGTGTGACAGGTGGGAGAGTGTGACAGACAGGTGGGAGAGTGTGACAGACAGGTGGGAGAGTTTGACAGACAGGTGGGAGAGTGTGACAGACAGGTGGGAGAGTGTGACAGACAGGTGGGAGAGTGACAGACAGGTGGGAGAGTATGGCAGACAGGTGGGAGAGTGTGACTGGTGGGAGAGTGTGACAGACAGGTGGGAGAGTGTGACAGACGGGAGAGTGTGACAGACAGGTGGGAGAGTGTGACAGACAGGTGGGAGAGTGTGACAGACAGGTGGGAGAGTGTGACAGACAGGTGGGAGAGTGACAGACAGGTGGGAGAGTGACAAACAGGTGGGAGAGTGTGACAGGTGGGAGAGTGTGACAGGTGGGAGAGTGTGACAGACAGGTGGGAGAGTGTGACAGACAGGTGGGAGAGTGTGACAGACAGATGGGAGAGTGTGACAGGTGGGAGAGTGTGACAGGTGGGAGAGTGTGACAGACAGATGGGAGAGTGTGACAGACAGGTGGGAGAGTGTGACAGACAGGTGGGAGAGTGTGACAGACAGGTGGGAGAGTGTGACAGACAGGTGGGAGAGTGTGACAGACAGGTGGGAGAGTGTGACAGACAGGTGGGAGAGTGTGACAGACAGGTGGGAGAGTGTGACAGACAGGTGGGAGAGTGTGACAGACAGGTGGGAGAGTGTGGCAGACAGGTGGGAGAGTATGACAGACAGGTGATTGAGTTGAGGGCAGGGGCGAATTGTTAATGTTATTGTCTCAATTAGGAACGCGACAATGTTGTTTCAACTTAAAGGGCGTCACAATGTTATTGTTTAAAGTTGGGGGCGTGACAATGTTATTGTTTAAAGTTGGGGGCGTGACCTTTTATTTTATGATTGCAGCTGAAGGCAATGAGATCAGGGCTGTTGAAAGTTATTCCTGAAGCTGTCCTTGAACTTTTGACCTGGCAAGAACTTGAAACCAGAATATGTGGTCAGCCTGACATTACAGTGGAGGCTCTGATGAAAAGCAGTAAGTTTTGATGACATAATTGTCATCCTGATGACATGACTGTCATCCTGATGACATAACTGTCATCCAGATGACATAACTGTCATCCAGATGTAGTTGCTGTCATCAGGTGATGAAACTGTTATCCTGCTCATCCATTCTTGTAAAGATGGCACGAGCAACAAGTTTGCTAGTCTCTTAGTCTCTCTCCTTACATGATCTTTGTCTCTCTCCTTACATGATCTTTGTCTCTCTCCTTACATGATCTGTGTCTCTCTTTACATGATCTTTGTCTCTCCACTTACATGATCTTTGTCTCTCTCCTTACACGATCTTTGTCTCTCTCCTTACATGATCTTTGTCTCTCTCCTTACATGATCTTTGTCTCTCTCCTTACATGATCTTTGTCTCTCTCTTTACATTTTTGTCTCTCTCCTTACATGATCTTTGTCTCTCTCCTTACATGATCTTTGTCTCTCACATGATCTTTGTCTCTCTCCTTACATTATCTATGTCTCTCCTTACATGATCTTTTTCTCTCTCCTTACATGATCTTCGTCTCTCCCCTTATATGATCTTTGTCTCTCTCCTTACATGATCTTTGTCTCTCTCCTTACATGATCTTTGTCTCTCTCCTTACATGATCTTTGTCTCTCTCTTTACATTTTTGTCTCTCTCCTTACATGATCTTTGTCTCTCTCCTTACATGATCTTTGTCTCTCTCACATGATCTTTGTCTCTCTCTCCTTACATGATCCTTGTCTCTCTCTCCTTACATGATCCTTGTCTCTATCTCCTTACATGATCCTTGTCTCTCCTTACATGATCTTTGTCTCTCTCCTTACATGATCTTTGTCTCTCTCTTTACATTTTTGTCTCTCTCCTTACATGATCTTTGTCTCTCTCCTTACATGATCTTTGTCTCTCACATGATCTTTGTCTCTCTCCTTACATGATCTTTGTCTCTCCACTTACATGATCTTTGTCTCTCTCCTTACACGATCTTTGTCTCTCTCCTTACATGATCTTTGTCTCTCTCCTTACATGATCTTTGTCTCTCTCCTTACATGATCTTTGTCTCTCTCCTTACATGATCTTTGTCTCTCCTTACATGATCTTTGTCTCTCTCCTTACATGATCTTTGTCTCTCCTTACATGATCTTTTTCTCCCTCCTTACATGATCTTCGTCTCTCCCCTTACATGATCTTTGTCTCTCTCCTTACATGATCTTTGTCTCTCTCCTTACATGATCTTTGTCTCTCCTTACATGATCTTTGTCTCTCTCCTTACATGATCTTTGTCTCTCCTTACATGATCTTTGTCTCTCTCTCCTTACATGATCTTTGTCTCTCCCCTTACATGATCTTTGTCTCTCTCTCCTTACATGATCCTTGTCTCTCTTTCCTTACATGATCCTTGTCTCTCCTTACATGATCTTTGTCTCTCTCCTTACATGATCTTTGTCTTTCTCTTTACATTTTTGTCTCTCTCCTTACATGATCTTTGTCTCTCTCCTTACATGATCTTTGTCTCTCTCACATGATCTTTGTCTCTCTCCTTACATTATCTTTGTCTCTCCTTACATGATCTTTTTTTCTCCCCTTAAATGATCTTTGTCTCTCCCCTTACATGATCTTTGTCTCTCCCCTTACATGATATTTGTCTCTCCCCAGCTTTTTACCACCACATAGATGAAGATGATATCAGAGTCAAATATTTCTGGAGCGCTGTCAAAAACTTTTCCAACGAGGACAGAAGTCGCCTGTTGCGCTTTATCTCAGGACGCAGACGTTTGCCTGTTTCAATCTTCATATCATCGGGCAAAAAGTTAGTGTCTCAAGTTCGTGTACTATTTGTCTATATTTAAAAGTCATGCCAACAGACTGACCTCAAGTTCTCATGTCAACAAACTGACCACATGTTCTCATGTCAACAAACTGACCACATGTTCTCATGTCAACAAACTGACCACATGTTCTCATGTCAACAAACTGACCACATGTTCTCACATCAGCAAACTGACCACATGTTCTCATGTCAACAAACTGACCACATGTTGTCATGTCAACAAACTGACCACATGTTCTCACGTCAACAAACTGACCACATCTTCTCATGTCTACAAACTGACCTCATGTCAACAAACTGACCACATGTTCTCATGTCAACAAACTGACCACATGTTCTCATGTCAACAAACTGACCACATGTTCTCACGTCAACAAACTGACCACATGTTCTCATGTCAACAAACTGACCACATGTTCTCACGTCAACAAACTGACCACATGTTCTCATGTCAACAAACTGACCACATGTTCTCATGTCAACAAACTGACCACATGTTCTCATGTCAACAAACTGACCACATGTTCTCATGTCAACAAACTGACCACATGTTCTCATGTCTACAAACTGACCTCATGTCAACAAACTGACCACATGTTCTCATGTCAACAAACTGACCACATGTTGTCATGTCAACAAACTGACCACATGTTCTCATGTCAACAAACTGACCACATGTTCTCATGTCAACAAACTGACCACATGTTGTCATGTCAACAAACTGACTACATGTTCTCATGTCAACAAACTGACCACATGTTCTCATGTCAACAAACTGACCACATGTTCTCACATCAGCAAACTGACCACATGTTCTTATGACAACAGACCACATGTTCTCATGTCAACAAACTGACCACATGTTGTCATGTCAACAAACTGACTACATGTTCTCATGTCAACAAACTGACCACATGTTCTCATGTCAACAAACTGACCACATGTTCTCACATCAGCAAACTGACCACATGTTCTTATGACAACAAACAGACCACATGTTCTCATGTCAACAAACTGACCACATGTTCTCATGTCAACAAACTGACCCAATGTTCTCATGTCAACAAACTGACCTCATGTTCTCATGTCAACAAACTGACCACATGTTTTGCCCATACAGTAGTCCAGTCAATCCTCTGCCTGAGTCGTCTACATGCTGCAACACCCTCCACCTCCCGGTCTACACTGAGTAAGTCTAGCAACCTCATTGGTTGTATGCTGTTATTTAAGTTTTTAGCAACCTCATTGGTTGTATGCTGTTATTTAAGTTTTTAGCAACCTCATTGGTTGTATGCTGTTATTTAAGTTTTTAGCAACCTCATTGGTTGTATGCTGTTATTTACGCATATGCTTTGTGACATTTTTGCTTGCTCTTTAATTTCGACTGGATCTGTTATAAATTACTTATTTTATTTTTCAGTGAGAAGACAGCAGAAGACAGGCTCCGTTATGCAGCGTATAACTGTGTTTCCATTGACACTGATGAATAGTTGGATGTTTGTCTAGTCTAGAAACATTTCACTTAATTCTTGTAGCTTGCTGTTTGAATGCATTAGGTTTACTAATGGCCTGTAGAACAAAGAAAGACAGTAACAACAGAGACTATCCAAGAATAGAGTGTCTCTGGTTCAACTCTTCTCATGGATCAAATTAATAGAAAGCTTTAAAAAAATATTTTGAACTGAATGAAAATATTTCTAGCCATACAAGTAGTAATCTGGAAGGTTGCTCCATCAGTGTATGTATTTAAAGTTGTGTCAACTTTGACCTTTGAACTTGTACAAGGTTGCTGGCTTCAAACCAATGTATGTGCTGTTGTCTGTCTCTTGCTGAAAATAAATCCCATGATCTGTCAGATTTGTATCAGTGTAAATCATCAAATGCATCATATGTGTAATGCTGTGATATAATATGTACATTTCAGATATTTCTCTTGTATTTTGTAAAACACTTGCTTTCATACGCTGAAGAAAATATTGTTACATTTCTTAGAAAAAGAAATAAATAATTACATTAATTTATAAATTTTAAATGGCTTTAATTTATAACTATAATTTAGCTTTGTCTTTATAAAATATACATAAATGAATAGAAATGGCCTTCTTTTGAATTAGTTGAGTTATGAAGTTGATAAAAAGGTAAGTTAAACTGAGAGAGTATAGTTAGTGAGGAGATTCCTTAGTGCACTAATGGACGTTAAACAACATCCAACTACTAAATTAAGTTTAAACTAAAAATGGGATAAGCTGCAGTTTCACAAGTTGTTGCCTACTCGGGAAAGGCATTGTGCAATAAATGCTTTAACTTCAGTGATAATAAAGCGGGTGTGATCTCCCCTAAACTTTCTCCTATATTTTTATATAACACTATGGGGAATGGCAACTCAGGATATAGACATGATTTTTAATCCACTTTTAATTAGTTAACATTTTAAAATAGAATAGAATCTCATAGAAAAAAGAATTGTGTTCCGAGTGAATGCCAAACAATATGTGTATAATAGTACGGAATATTAGTACTTTTTAAATTCATATGCATGCTTTTCCAACTCAAGGAGGTATGAAACGATTTTTTTAATGAGGAAGTAAAAAAGGTGATTTGACAAAGTGCAAAGGTGGGTGTGAGGTGCAAAAAACTAAATGAAAGATTATTTAAATGAGGTCAAGCAATTCAGCTATTTCTTCATCCATATAGGCTTATATAAATTACAAACAGCCAGCTTCCCCTATATGACGTCACAAATATCCTCCCGACCGTAATCCTAAACTGAGTTGATTAGGCCTAACACTTTGGTGACCCCACACCCCACGTAGCACATAGATACTTTACTAGGTTTTCTAATTCTAGATCGTTTTTAAACACCCCCCACCCATTGGGGGTCGTCCATAAATGATGTCACACTCTTAGGGGGGAGGGGGGGGGGGTCCGTAATTTTGTGACGGTGTGTGGGGAGAGGGGGGGTGTTCAGATGGTGTGCACACTTTTGCATGACAAAAAAGCAATGTTAGAAAACGAGTTTTAGCCGTTATTTCGCGTTTTAGATAACGGTTTCAATAAATTGTAATAGGAATTGATCAAAGTACTATATGTTGACAGAGTTCTGATAAGACTTTGGAAAACCATCGATGTTTTAAGGAAAATTCAACAGCTATTTGGGGGGGGGGGGGGTTCTAGGCTGAGGTGTGACGTCATTTTAGGGGGGGGGGGTCTGGCTTTTTGTGATGAGGGGGGGGGGGGTGAAAATCGACAAAAAAGCGTGACGTCACTTATGGATGACCCCTTGTTCCGGGTGGACGACGCAGTTCAGTTTTCTTTTAGATCAATTTCTTTTACTAAGCCATATAGATGATAGATCTAAACATAAAATCGAATGATTCACCGATTACTTTTATTGGAGTAGGCTATTTTAAGCTTATGTTAGTCATTTTAGCATTTAAGCCTAGGCCTACCCAAAAGAAAAACCAAACAGTTTAATTTTAAAAGATTCACTAAGAACACATGAAACGAAAGAAAAGGAAGAAAAGAGTAATTATTGTTGAAATTGAGGAGATGTCTCGTACCATACGATCAAAGATATATAAACCGAAAATTTAAGTTTTTACAATTTTAAAATAATTAACAGCTAGTGCAAATTATTTACATACCAATTGTCATCTTAAGATAAAATGTCGTTAGCAGTTGTTTTTTTTTTCCTAATTTAAAACAATGCAATCTCAATGATTGTGTAAATAAAGATGGCGTCGCATGAATATCAACTTCATCAAAGTGTTTTTAATGGTGATGTAAAACTGGTATCTAAACTAATCAGAACTTGCGACGTTTCACAAAAAGATATTCATGGTATTGAACTTTCTCTTTTATCCTAACAAATAGACTTGAAATAGATATATCCTTTTGTGTAATATTTATTTTTATTCCTTCTCTTCTTTCAACTTCTTTGTTTTCATGTTATCAGTTATTGTTTTGCTCTTCTCTTCAGTCTTCTCACTCTTCTTCTCTAGGCATAATGAGAAATTTTTCCTAATTAACATAGAATGATAAAACAGACACAGATTAATCCTATAATACCAAATTTATTCTAGGCCATGTAGTTTTTTAATATGAATTTTTAAAGTTATGCATTAAATAGGCTGTTTGATGAGAATTACAGAATGATTTTTTTATTAAAAATGTATCAATAATAGCTAGAACACTAGTAAACTAAGCTAATTTAGCATATTTTAACTTTCTGTGCAAAGTCATTATTACTGAAAAAAATTCCAAAGTCAGGTCAGCCTGTGGCACCCTCCACTGAACGTGACAGAAGGAAAAAAAAACTTCACCCGTGACCTTCATTAAAACAGAATTTGCTTTTGTTTTATTTTTATTTTTGGTAAACATGTGCTTAATCTTACCCAATAAGTGATAAAAATTTGAAAATTAATTTTAATTACTGTTGTAAAGTGAGATAAACAGCTTAATAAACACATGCTTTCTTGAGGGGGTGTGGCCCGGGTGTGGCACATCGCAATTATAACTTTATATTTCTGTGTTTTATGACTATATTTGTTCACAATTAGCATGCTATGTTTTTTAAATTGATAAAAGGTAAGTATACCAAGTTACAAAATCCGCAATCTAACTAATAATTCATACTTTCAATTTAAAAAATAATAAAAACGATCATCAACGAAGAAAGCGTAAACATTCTATTTTTAGGTATGACATAAAAAACAGTCATAAATCTAGCCAAATGATTGGATTCTTGCGCGGCACACATTTTCCCGCGCCTCGTTTTCACCAAACAAGAATATAATAAAATGGCATTATTACTTACACCCTCAAAAGCATTGTTTCCACCCTAATTATATTAAACAATTCTATTTTTATTTGATAGTAAAGATGATATACAAATTGTATATTACAATAAAGTTATTGTAGAACGCACCTGCTTTTAGTTTATTCGACTTGAAACGCAAGCTAGGTCAGCGTGACTTTCTCTCGACTGCCTCGTTAAATACAAATAAAGAAATTAGGTCAAGCTGCCATTATTAAAATGTTAATTATTCGCCCCGTAAATACATGGGCAGTTTCGAGTGAAAATCTATCCGATTACGATACAATCCTTAGTTTTAACTATCATGTACTTCATGAGAAAGAAATGATTCGATATTTTATATGGCTGCCCAAAACACGGGTGCTTCAAAACCGCGAGAACGAGATTTCACGAATCGAAAAACCTACATTAAACAAATTTAAATCTATCGTTTTAGGTACGTAAAATCGGGCAAGACTAGTAATGTGCGACAAAGTTGCCTCATTGTTAAGGCTTTAACAGAAGTATATTGTAATATATTTGTGTCAAATATTATAGATAACTGAATAATAAACCGAAATCAATGGCTAAATAATAACGAAGTGACTACTCTGAAGAAGATTTTTCTCACCAACGTCTCCGCTTAGTCGGCAAAAGATATCTCTGCGCATGCGCAGTGCCCTTTGGCTAGGGTTAGAATTAGGGTTAGGGATAGGATTAGCTAGGGATAGGGTTAGCATAAGGGAAGGATAAGGGTTAGGGATAGGATTAGGGATAGCGGGATAGGGTTAGGGATAGGATTAGAGTTGGTGTTAGGGTTCTGCTGTTGTAAACACACGCATGCGCAGTACCATCGGAAACATCGCCGCGATGGCGTCGTAGTTTCTCTCCATTGCGCATACGTATCTTTTTCCGGCTAGCATCGGCCAAATAATATATCAATATAGTAGTATTTCTCGCTAAGTTGGAGGCGTGGTCGGTTGCTAACAACAATATGGCGTCTGGACCGGACGCATGATTTCCGACAAAATTTTGGCCAAATTCCAGAGACCTTCTAAGAATTACTTTTAAAAATGTTTACCACGAGCAAAATGGCGGGGTTTTCACACTATAACAACAAACTATAGGTGGCAAGGCTATATATGCCAGAAAAGCATTTCAAAATTTGCGTTGGAGAATGAAGGCTAAATTTAAAAGTTGGTTTCATTAAAAATACTAGAACTTTTTAAATATCAACCTGAAGAGTACAAAAATGAAATGAAGTCTGTAGAACTATTAGGTTTATCAGTCTATGTAAAAAGAAATCAAATACAGCTAACCACTTTTTTTATAAACGATGGCTTTTGAATGACAACCAAATTTATTTATTTTTTTAAACCACGTGACCGCTATTTGATGATCACTAGTGAGGAACTCTGGGTACATGGCCACTTAAAAAGTCTAACCTGATTTGTGGTTTTCTTTAGCTTCAAGCGTAAGAAGAGTTGTCATGGAGAGATGTGTTGGGCATGGCAGTGAGTGTCAATGAATATTAAATTAAGTAATTTAGTTTAAAACTAACTAAAAACTTCAAAATTAGTGCCTAATGGATTAAATATGGATGTCTATCATTCAGTAGTCATGTTTAATTTGAAATTTGGGTAAATTCTAGATTTTTTTAGTAAGAAAAACTACAATATAGACAAGAAATTAACTTTAAACAGCAGTGTTTGCGAGCAGGATTTGCTATATAAAAATCGGCCATCTGTAAGTTAGAGTGGCTTCCCTTGAATCTCTAACTATAATTTTATAAAAAAAAACCTTAATCAAGATGGCTGCTAAAGTAAATGAGCTTTGTTGCATCTGATGAAAACATCGCTAGTCTTTATTTTTTACTTAAAAGTTTTAATACAATTGTCTAAAAACAGCATAATGACGCTCCCAGCATTCGATAAAATTTTCTCGATTTAATTCGTTCTTTTTCAGAATCCAAGTTTTAAATGGTAAATCTAGGTCATGATCACAGTAGAGGTTGATTTTGTAATTTATAGAATTTTATAGAATTTTTTGTAAAACAGTTTGAGGGGGGTGCAAATTAAAAGTTTGAGGGGGGGGGGGGCGCAAATCGAAAATTGAAATTTTGTTCCCGGGAAGAGTCGCTACATCTCTGAGGGGGGAGGGGGGACACACCATTAAGTGCCACACCGGGTGACACCCGACCTCGCTACGCCACTGGTCTTTATCAGGCCCCATTGATATTTTGGTACGACTAATCAATGGAAAAACCTTAAATTCTTGTATAAGTTTATTAAGCTAAGTGTTTAGTTGTACCACATCAGAAGGAGTAACAGCTTCCCTGTCTATCTGCTTATTTGAACATATTTGCAATATGCTGTGATTTAAAGGGTTAGGTTTAGAGTAACATTGCGTTTGACAAGGACACTCAGTTGAGTGTAAAAAATCAATCTCACAATCTCACTATCAATTGTTTGATGTTTTTCCAGGAAATACACCTCTTCATTTAGCAATCATGCTGGGGCATAAAGGTATGTGCACGCCATGATTTCATTCAGTTAGGTGACGTTAATGTATGTACAGGTCATGATTGAATTCAGTTAGAGGACATTATGTACAGGCCATGATTGAATTCAGTTAGGTGACATTATGTACAGGCCATGATTGAATTCAGTTAGGTGACATTAATGTATGTACAGGCCATGATTGAATTCAGTTAGGTGACATTATGTACAGGCCATGATTGAATTCAGTTAGGTGACATTAATGTATGTACAGGCCATGATTGAATTCAGTTAGGTGACATTAATGTATGTACAGGCCATGATTGAATTCAGTTAGGTGACATTAATGTATGTACAGGTCATGATTTCATTCAGTTAGGTGACGTTAATGTATGTACAGGTCATGATTGAATTCAGTTAGGTGACATTAATGTATGTACAGGCCATGATTTGATTTCATTCAGTTAGGTGACATTAATGTATGTACAGGCTATGATTGAATTCAGTTAAGTGACATTAATGTATGTACAGGCCATGATTTCATTCAGTTAGGTGACATTAATGTATGTACAGGCTATGATTGAATTCAGTTAAGTGACATTAATGTATGTACAGGTCATGATTGAATTCAGTTAGGTGACATTAATGTATGTACAGGCCATGATTTCATTCAGTTAGGTGACGTTAATGTATGTACAGGCCATGATTGAATTCAGTTAGGGGGACATTATGTACAGGCCATGATTGAATTCAGTTAGGTGACGTTAATGTATGTACAGGCCATGATTGAATTCAGTTAGAGCACATTATGTACAGGCCATGATTGAATTCAGTTAAGGGGACATTAATGTATGTACATGCCATGATTGAATTCAGTTAGGGGGACATTATGTACAGGCCATGATTGAATTCAGTTAGGTGACGTTAATGTATGTACAGGCCATGATTGAATTCAGTTAGGTGACATTATGTACAGGCCATGATTGAATTCAGTTAGAGGACATTATGTACAGGCCATGATTGAATTCAGTTAGGGGGAAATTATGTACAGGCCATGATTAAATTCAGTTAGAGGACATTATGTACAGGCCATGATTGAATTCAGTTAGGGGGAAATTATGTACAGGCCATGATTAAATTCAGTTAGAGGACATTATGTACAGGCCATGATTGAATTCAGATAAGTGACATTAATGTATGTACAGGCCATGATTGAATTCAGTTAGAGGACATTATGTACAGGCCATGATTGAATTCAGATAAGTGACATTAATGTATGTACAGGCCATGATTGAATTCAGTTAGGTGACATTATGTAAAGGCCATGATTGAATTCAGTTAGGTGACGTTAATGAATGTACAGGCCATGATTGAATTCAGTTAGGTGACATTATGTAAAGGCCATGATTGAATTCAGTTAGGTGACGTTAATGAATGTACAGGCCATGATTGAATTCAGTTAGGTGACATTATGTAAAGGCCATGATTGAATTCAGTTAGGTGACGTTAATGAATGTACAGGCCATGATTGAATTCAGTTAGGTGACATTATGTAAAGGCCATGATTGAATTCAGTTAGGTGACGTTAATGAATGTACAGGCCATGATTGAATTCAGTTAGGTGACATTAATGTATGTACAGGTCATGATTGAATTCAGTTAGGTGACATTAATGTATGTACAGGCTATGATTGAATTCAGTTAGGTGACATTAATGTATGTACAGGTCATGATTGAATTCAGTTAGGTGACATTAATGTATGTACAGGTCATGATTGAATTCAGTTAGGTGACGTTAATGTATGTACAGGCTATGGTTTCGTTCAGTTAGGTGACATTAATGTATGTACAGGCCATGATTGAATTCAGTTAGGTGACATTAATGTATGTACAGGCTATGATTGAATTCAGTTAAGTGACATTAATGTATGTACAGGCCATGATTGAATTCAGTTAGAGGACATTATGTACAGGCCATGGTTTCGTTCAGTTAGGTGACATTATGTACAGGCCATGATTGAATTCAGTTAGGTGACATTATGTACAGGCCATGATTGAATATGTAAGAAACAAATTAAAAAACTTAGATGTTTTACAGCTCATACCCAGTATTTGTTAGATGGGCTACATTTATTGCTTGAGTATGTTTCTAACTGTGTCTTGTGTCTAGAGTGTATCCACTGTTGACCTGTGTATCCATTGTATCTTGTGCCTAGAGTGTATCCACTGTTGACCTATGTATCCATTGTATCTTGTGTCTAGAGTGTATCCACTGTTGATCTGTGTATCCATTGTGTCTTGTGTCTAGAGTGTAGTGTATCCACTATTGACCTGTGTATCCACTGTTGACCTGTGTATCCACTGTTGACCTGTGTATCCACTGTATCTTGTGTCTAGAGTGTATCCACTGTTGACCTGTGTATCCACTGTTGACCTGTGTATCCACTGTATCTTGTGTCTAGAGTGTATCCACTGTTGACCTGTGTATCCATTGTATCTTGTGTCTAGAGTGTATCCACTGTTGACCTGTGTATCCACTGTATCTTGTGTCTAGAGTGTATCCACTATTGACCTGTGTATCCATTGTATCTTGTGTCTAGAGTGTATCCACTTTTGACCTGTGTATCCATTGTGTCTTGTGTCTAGAGTGTATCCACTGTTGACCTGTGTATCCACTGTTGACCTGTGTATTCACTGTGTCTTGTGTCTAGAGTGTATCCACTGTTGACCTATGTATCCACTGTATCTTGTGTCTAGAGTGTATCCACTGTTGACCTGTGTATCCATTGTTGACCTGTGTATCCATTGTATCTTGTGTCTAGAGTGTATCCACTGTTGACCTGTGTATCCACTATTGACCTGTGTATCCATTGTATCTTGTGTCTAGAGTGTATCCACTGTTGACCTATGTATCCACTGTATCTTGTGTCTAGAGTGTATCCACTGTTGACCTGTGTATCCATTGTATCTTGTGTCTAGAGTGTATCCACTGTTGACCTTTGTATCTTGTGTCTAGAGTGTATCCACTGTTGACCTGTGTATCCACTGTATCTTGTGTCTAGAGTGTATCCACTATTGACCTGTGTATCCACTGTATCTTGTGTCTAGAGTGTATCCACTGTTGACCTTTGTATCTTATGTCTAGAGTGTATCCACTGTTGACCTGTGTATCCACTGTATCTTGTGTCTAGAGTGTATCCACTATTGACCTGTGTATCCACTGTATCTTGTGTCTAGAGTGTATCCACTGTTGACCTTTGTATCTTGTGTCTAGAGTGTATCCACTGTTGACCTGTGTATCCACTGTATCTTGTGTCTAGAGTGTATCCACTATTGACCTGTGTATCCACTGTATCTTGTGTCTAGAGTGTATCCACTGTTGACCTTTGTATCTTGTGTCTAGAGTGTATCCACTGTTGACCTGTGTATCCACTGTATCTTGTGTCTAGAGTGTATCCACTGTTGACCTGTGTATCCACTGTATCTTGTGTCTAGAGTGTATCCACTGTTGACCTTTGTATCCACTGTATCTTGTGTCTAGAGTGTATCCACTGTTGACCTTTGTATCTTGTGTCTAGAGTGTATCCACTGTTGACCTTTGTATCCACTGTATCATGTGTCTAGAGTGTATCCACGGTTGACCTGTGTATCTTGTGTAAAGAGTGTATCCACTGTTGACCTTTGTATCTTGTGTCTAGAGTGTATCCACTGTTGACCTTTGTATCTTGTGTCTAGAGTGTATCCACTGTTGACCTGTGTATCCATTGTATCTTGTGTCTAGAGTGTATCCACTGTTGACCTGTGTATCTTGTGTCTAGAGTGTATCCACTGTTGACATGTGTATCCACTGTTGACCTGTGTATCCACTGTTGACCTGTGTATCCACTGTATCTTGTGTCTAGAGTGTATCCATTGTTGACCTGTGTATCCATTGTATCTTGTGTCTAGAGTGTATCCACTGTTGACCTTTGTATCCACTGTATCTTGTGTCTAGAGTGTATCCATTTGCTGCTTGCTCACGGGGCTCCTGTCAAGTTTAAAAATGCTCTGGGCTGGACTCCACTGGCTGAAGCTATAAGCTACGGAGAGAGGCAAATTAGTAAGTTGTTGGCTCATTTACTCTTGTCTTTTTTAAATGTATATATAGGTTCATATCTGAAGTTAATGATGACCTATAATGTTTTTCTTTCATTCTAGTACTGTCTGTTCTACGTAAGCTAAAACAGCAATCAAGAGAAGCGTTAGAAGAAAGACGACCTCTTCTGGTACAAGCCTTAAAAGATATACGAGACTTTGACCTGGAGTTAAAGTGGGATTTTCAAAGCTGGGGTAAGTTCACACTGTTGTTACCTGTACACACAGGTCAATGTTGCTACCTGTACACACAGGTCACTGTTGCTACCTGTACACACAGGTCACTGTTTCTACCTGTACACACAGGTCACTGTTGCTACCTGCACACACAGCTCACTGTGTTGCTACCTGCACAAACAGGTCACACTGTTGGTACCTGCACACAGGTCACTGTTGCTACCTGCATGCAGGCCACTGTTGCTACCTGCATGCAGGCCACTGTTGCTACCTGTACACACAGGCCACTGTTGCTACCTGCACACACAGGTCACTGTTGCTACCTGCACACACAGGTCACTGTTGCTACCTGCACACACAGCTTACTGTGTTGCTACTTGTACACAGGTCACTGTTGCTCACTGTGTTGCTACCTGTACGCAGGTCACTGTTGCTACCTGAACACAGGTCACTGTTGCTACCTGAACACAGGTCACTGTTGCTACCTGCACACAGAGGCCACTGTTGCTACCTGCACACACAGTTCACTGTGTTGCTACCTGCACACACAGGTCACTGTTGCTACCTGCACACACAGCTCACTGTTGCTACCTGAACACAGGTCACTGTTGCTACCTGAACACAGGTCACTGTTGCTACCTGAACACAGGTCACTGTTGCTACCTGCACACAGAGGTCACTGTTGCTACCTGAACACAGGTCACTGTTGCTACCTGAACACAGGTCACTGTTGCTACCTGTACACACAGGTCACTGTTGCTACCTGAACACAGGTCACTGTTGCTACCAGAACACAGGTCACTGTTGCTACCTGAACACAGGTCTCTGTTGCTACCTGCACACAGAGGTCACTGTTGCTACCTGAACACAGGTCACTGTTGCTACCTGAACACAGGTCACTGTTGCTACCTGTACACACAGGTCACTGTTGCTACATGTTCACACAGGTCACTGTTGCTACCTGCACACACAGTTCACTGTTGCTACCTGTACACACAGGCCACTGTTGCTACCTGTACACACAGGTCACTGTTGCTACCTGTACACACAGGCCACTGTTGCTACCTGTACACACAGGTCACTGTTGCTACCTGCACACACAGGTCACTGTTGCTACCTGCACACACAGGTCACTGTTGCTACCTGTACACACAGGTCACTGTTGCTACCTGCACACACAGCTCACTGTTGCTACCTGTACACACAGGCCACTGTTGCTACCTGTACACACAGGTCACTGTTGCTACCTGCACACACAGGTCACTGTTGCTACCTGCACACACAGCTCACTGTTGCTACCTGAACACAGGTCACTGTTGCTACCAGAACACAGGTCACTGTTGCTACCTGAACACAGGTCACTGTTGCTACCTGCACACAGAGGTCACTGTTGCTACCTGAACACAGGTCACTGTTGCTACCTGAACACAGGTCACTGTTGCTACCTGTACACACAGGTCACTGTTGCTACATGTTCACACAGGTCACTGTTGCTACCTGCACACACAGTTCACTGTTGCTACCTGCACACACGGGTCACTGTGTTGCTACCTGCACACACAGGTCACTGTTGTTACCTGCACACAGAGGTCACTGTTGCTACCTGTACACACAGGTCACTGTTGCTACCTGTACACACAGGTCACTGTTGCTACCTGTACACACAGGTCACTGTCACTACCTGTACACACAGGTCACTGTTGCTACCTGAACACAGGTCACTGTTGCTACCAGAACACAGGTCACTGTTGCTACCTGAACACAGGTCACTGTTGCTACCTGCACACAGAGGTCACTGTTGCTACCTGAACACAGGTCACTGTTGCTACCTGAACACAGGTCACTGTTGCTACCTGTACACACAGGTCACTGTTGCTACATGTTCACACAGGTCACTGTTGCTACCTGCACACACAGTTCACTGTTGCTACCTGCACACACGGGTCACTGTGTTGCTACCTGCACACACAGGTCACTGTTGTTACCTGCACACAGAGGTCACTGTTGCTACCTGTACACACAGGTCACTGTTGCTACCTGTACACACAGGCCACTGTTGCTACCTGTACACACAGGTCACTGTTGCTACCTGCACACACAGGTCACTGTTGCTACCTGCACACACAGCTCACTGTTGCTACCTGAACACAGGTCACTGTTGCTACCAGAACACAGGTCACTGTTGCTACCTGAACACAGGTCACTGTTGCTACCTGCACACAGAGGTCACTGTTGCTACCTGAACACAGGTCACTGTTGCTACCTGAACACAGGTCACTGTTGCTACCTGTACACACAGGTCACTGTTGCTACATGTTCACACAGGTCACTGTTGCTACCTGCACACACAGTTCACTGTTGCTACCTGCACACACGGGTCACTGTGTTGCTACCTGCACACACAGGTCACTGTTGTTACCTGCACACAGAGGTCACTGTTGCTACCTGTACACACAGGTCACTGTTGCTACCTGTACACACAGGTCACTGTTGCTACCTGTACACACAGGTCACTGTCACTACCTGTACACACAGGTCACTGTTGCTACCTGTACACACAGGTCAATGTTGCTACCTGTACACACAGGTCACTGTTGCTACCTGTACACACAGGTCACTGTTTCTACCTGTACACACAGGTCACTGTTGCTACCTGCACACACAGGTCACACTGTTGGTACCTGCACACAGGTCACTGTTGCTACCTGTACACACAGGTCACTGTTGCTACCTGCACGCAGGCCACTGTTGCTACCTGTACACACAGGCCACTGTTGCTACCTGCACACACAGTTCACTCCACTGTGTTGCTACCTGCACACACAGGTCACTGTTGCTACCTGCACACACAGGTCACTGTTGCTACCTGCACACACAGCTTACTGTGTTGCTACTTGTACACAGGTCACTGTTGCTCACTGTGTTGCTACCTGTACGCAGGTCACTGTTGCTACCTGAACACAGGTCACTGTTGCTACCTGAACACAGGTCACTGTTGCTACCTGCACACACAGGCCACTGTTGCTAATTGCACACACAGTTCACTGTGTTGCTACCTGCACACAGAGGTCACTGTTGCTACCTGCACACAGGTCACTGTTGCTACCTGAACACAGGTCACTGTTGCTACCTGCACACACAGGCCACTGTTGCTACCTGCACACACAGTTCACTGTTGCTACCTGTACACACAGGTTACTGTTGCTACCTGCACACACAGCTCACTGTGTTGCTACCTGCACACACAGGTCACTGTTGCTACCTGCACACAGAGGTCACTGTTGCTACCTGCACACAGGTCACTGTTGCTACCTGAACACAGGTCACTGTTGCTACCTGAACACAGGTCACTGTTGCTACCTGCACACAGAGGTCACTGTTGCTACCTGCACACAGGTCACTGTTGCTACCTGAACACAGGTCACTGTTGCTACCTGCACACAGGCCACTGTTGCTACCTGAACACAGGTCACTGTTGCTACCTGCACACAGAGGTCACTGTTGCTACCTGCACACAGGTCACTGTTGCTACCTGAACACAGGTCACTGTTGCTACCTGCACACAGCTCACTGTGTTGCTACCTGAACACAGGTCACTGTTGCTCACTGTGTTGCTACCTGTACAAACAGGTCATTTAGAGATTTATGTTTGACTTGTTACTTCCCCCACTAATCAAGTTTTGTGTTTCAGTGCCTCTGGTCTCCAGGATATTACCATCAGATATTTGTAGAATAAGAAAAAAGGGTTCAAGGATAAGGTAATTAATTGACAAGCTCATCTACATTTGATAAGGGTAATAACTTTTGAAAAGGGGAATAACATTTGATATGGTAATTTACATTTGAAAAGGGGAATAACATTTGTTATGGTAATTTACATTTGAAAAGGGGAATAACATTTGATATGGTAATTTACATTTGAAAAGGGGAATAACATTTGATATGGTAATTTACATTTGAAAAGGGGAATAACATTTGATATGGTAATTTACATTTGAAAAGGGGAATCACATTATTTGACAGTATTTAAAAGACTCCCAAGTACATAGAAGTAAAAGTGAAACTGATCCTAAAAGGCAACCCCAAAAAAAGTTGTACCTGACTAATAAAATGTCTCCATATCGAGCAGGTTAGACACGACACTAGTGGACTTTACAGAGATGAAATGGGAGAGGGGGGATATCACATTTCTTTTTAATGGAGAGGCCAAGCCACGCCACAGTCTCTCTGTGTTGGACAACAAGGCCGAGGTCTTTCAGAGGGTCAGGTATGAGGTAAGTTATCCCAGGTAGAGGTCTTGTCAGATACAAGTATCCCAGATAGAGATCTTGTCAGATACAAGTATCCCAGGTAGAGGTCTTGTCAGATACAAGTATCCCAGGTAGAGGTCTTGTCAGATACAAGTATCCCAGGTAGAGATCTTGTCAGATACAAGTATCCTAGGTAGAGATCTTGTCAGATACAAGTATCCCAGGTAGAGGTCTTGTCAGATACAAGTATCTCAGGTAGAGATCTTGTCAGATACAAGTATCCCAGGTAGAGATCTTGTCAGATAAAAGTATCCCAGGTAGAGGTCTTGTCAGATACAAGTATCCCAGGTAGAGATCTTGTCAGATAAAAGTATCCCAGGTAGAGGTCTTGTCAGATACAAGTATCCCAGGTAAAGATCTTGTCAGATACAAGTATCCCAGATAGAGATCTTGTCAGATACAAGTATCCCAGGTAGAGGTCTTGTCAGATACAAGTATCCCAGGTAGAGGTCTTGTCAGATACAAGTATCCCAGGTAGAGGTCTTGTCAGATACAAGTATCCTAGGTAGAGATCTTGTCAGATACAAGTATCTCAGGTAGAGATCTTGTCAGATACAAGTATCCCAGGTAGAGGTCTTGTAAGATACAAGTATCCCAGGTAGAGATCTTGTCAGATACAAGTATCCCAGATAGAGATCTTGTCAGATACAAGTATCCCAGGTAGAGATCTTGTCAGATACAAGTATCTCAGGTAGAGATCTTGTCAGATACAAGTATCCCAGGTAGAGGTCTTGTCAGATACAAGTATCCCAGGTAGAGGTCTTGTCAGATACAAGTATCCCAGATAGAGATCTTGTCAGATACAAGTATCCCAGGTAGAGATCTTGTCAGATACAAGTATCCCAGGTAGAGATCTTGTCAGATACAAGTATCCCAGGTAGAGGTCTTGTCAGATACAAGTATCCTAGGTAGAGATCTTGTCAGATACAAGTATCCCAGGTAGAGGTCTTGTCAGATACAAGTATCCAAGGTAGAGGTCTTGTCAGATACAAGTATCCTAGGTAGAGATCTTGTCAGATACAAGTATCCCAGGTAGAGATCTTGTCAGATACAAGTATCCCAGGTAGAGGTCTTGTCAGATACAAGTATCCAAGGTAGAGGTCTTGTCAGATACAAGTATCCTAGGTAGAGATCTTGTCAGATACAAGTATCCCAGGTAGAGGTCTTGTCAGATACAAGTATCTCAGGTAGAGGTCTTGTCAGATACAAGTATCCAAGGTAGAGGTCTTGTCAGATACAAGTATCCCAGGTAGAGGTCTTGTCAGATACAAGTATCCTAGGTAGAGATCTTGTCAGATACAAGTATCCCAGGTAGAGATCTTGTCAGATACAAGTATCCCAGGTAGAGATCTTGTCAGATACAAGTATCCCAGGTAGAGATCTTGTCAGATACAAGTATCTCAGGTAGAGATCTTGTCAGATACAAGTATCCCAGGTAGAGATCTTGTCAGATACAAGTATCCCAGGTAGAGATCTTGTCAGATACAAGTATCCCAGGTAGAGATCTTGTCAGATACAAGTATCCCAGGTAGAGATCTTGTCAGATACAAGTATCTCAGGTAGAGATCTTGTCAGATACAAGTATCCCAGGTAGAGATCTTGTCAGATACAAGTATCCCAGGTAGAGATCTTGTCAGATACAAGTATCCCAGGTAGAGATCTTGTCAGATACAAGTATCTCAGGTAGAGATCTTGTCAGATACAAGTATCCCAGGTAGAGATCTTGTCAGATACAAGTATCCCAGATAGAGATCTTGTCAGATACAAGTATCCCAGGTAGAGGTCTTGTCAGATACAAGTATCCCAGGTAGAGGTCTTGTCAGATACAAGTATCCCAGGTAGAGATCTTGTCAGATACAAGTATCCCAGATAGAGATCTTGTCAGATACAAGTATCCCAGGTAGAGATCTTGTCAGATACAAGTATCTCAGGTAGAGATCTTGTCAGATACAAGTATCCTAGGTAGAGGTCTTGTCAGATACAAGTATCCCAGGTAGAGATCTTGTCAGATACAAGTATCTCAGGTAGAGATCTTGTCAGATACAAGTATCCCAGGTAGAGGTCTTGTCAGATACAAGTATCCCAGGTAAAGATCTTGTCAGATACAAGTATCTCAGGTAGAGATCTTGTCAGATACAAGTATCCCAGGTAGAGATCTTGTCAGATACAAGTATCCCAAGTAGAGGTCTTGTCAGATACAAGTATCCCAGGTAGAGATCTTGTCAGATACAAGTATCCTAGGTAGAGATCTTGTCAGATACAAGTATCCCAGGTAGAGATCTTGTCAGATACAAGTATCCTAGGTAGAGATCTTGTCAGATACAAGTATCCCAGGTAGAGGTCTTGTCAGATACAAGTATCCCAGGTAGAGATCTTGTCAGATACAAGTATCCCAGGTAGAGATCTTGTCAGATACAAGTATCCCAGGTAAAGATCTTGTCAGATACAAGTATCCCAGGTAGAGATCTTGTCAGATACAAGTATCCCAGGTAGAGATCTTGTCAGATACAAGTATCCCAGGTAGAGATCTTGTCAGATACAAGTATCCCAGGTAGAGGTCTTGTCAGATACAAGTATCCTAGGTAGAGATCTTGTCAGATACAAGTATCCCAGGTAGAGATCTTGTCAGATACAAGTATCCCAGGTAGAGGTCTTGTCAGATACAAGTATCCAAGGTAGAGGTCTTGTCAGATACAAGTATCCTAGGTAGAGATCTTGTCAGATACAAGTATCCCAGGTAGAGGTCTTGTCAGATACAAGTATCTCAGGTAGAGGTCTTGTCAGATACAAGTATCCAAGGTAGAGGTCTTGTCAGATACAAGTATCCCAGGTAGAGGTCTTGTCAGATACAAGTATCCTAGGTAGAGATCTTGTCAGATACAAGTATCCCAGGTAGAGATCTTGTCAGATACAAGTATCCCAGGTAGAGATCTTGTCAGATACAAGTATCCCAGGTAGAGATCTTGTCAGATACAAGTATCTCAGGTAGAGATCTTGTCAGATACAAGTATCCCAGGTAGAGGTCTTGTCAGATACAAGTATCCCAAGTAGAGGTCTTGTCAGATACAAGTATCCCAGGTAGAGATCTTGTCAGATACAAGTATCCTAGGTAGAGATCTTGTCAGATACAAGTATCCCAGGTAGAGATCTTGTCAGATACAAGTATCCTAGGTAGAGATCTTGTCAGATACAAGTATCCCAGGTAGAGGTCTTGTCAGATACAAGTATCCCAGGTAGAGATCTTGTCAGATACAAGTATCCCAGGTAGAGATCTTGTCAGATACAAGTATCCCAGGTAAAGATCTTGTCAGATACAAGTATCCCAGGTAGAGATCTTGTCAGATACAAGTATCCCAGGTAGAGATCTTGTCAGATACAAGTATCCCAGGTAGAGATCTTGTCAGATACAAGTATCCCAGGTAGAGGTCTTGTCAGATACAAGTATCCCAGGTAGAGATCTTGTCAGATACAAGTATCCCAGGTAGAGATCTTGTCAGATACAAGTATCCCAGGTAGAGATCTTGTCAGATACAAGTATCCCAGGTAGAGGTCTTGTCAGATACAAGTATCCCAGGTAGAGATCTTGTCAGATACAAGTATCCTAGGTAGAGATCTTGTCAGATACAAGTATCCCAGGTAGAGATCTTGTCAGATACAAGTATCCCAGGTAGAGGTCTTGTCAGATACAAGTATCCCAGGTAGAGATCTTGTCAGATACAAGTATCCCAGGTAGAGATCTTGTCAGATACAAGTATCCCAGGTAGAGATCTTGTCAGATACAAGTATCCCAGGTAGAGGTCTTGTCAGATACAAGTATCCCAGGTAGAGATCTTGTCAGATACAAGTATCCCAGGTAGAGATCTTGTCAGATACAAGTATCCCAGGTAGAGATCTTGTCAGATACAAGTATCCCAGGTAGAGGTCTTGTCAGATACAAGTATCCCAGGTAGAGATCTTGTCAGATACAAGTATCCTAGGTAGAGATCTTGTCAGATACAAGTATCCCAGGTAGAGATCTTGTCAGATACAAGTATCCCAGGTAGAGGTCTTGTCAGATACAAGTATCCCAGGTAGAGATCTTGTCAGATACAAGTATCCCAGGTAGAGATCTTGTCAGATACAAGTATCCCAGGTAGAGATCTTGTCAGATACAAGTATCCCAGGTAGAGGTCTTGTCAGATACAAGTATCCCAGGTAGAGGTCTTGTCAGAGGTCATCACCCACCTCTACCTTCTCTAGCCCTTGTTGTACACTAGCATGTGTACTATAATACTTCAGCCTCATCTAGCCCTTGTACACTAGCATGTGTACTATAATACTTCAGCCTCATCTAGCCCTTGTACACTAGCATGTGTACTATAATACTGCAGCCTTATCCAGCCCTTGTACACTAGCATGTGTACTATAATACTGCAGCCTTATCCAGCCCTTGTACACTAGCATGTGTACTATAATACTTCAGCCTCATCTAGCCCTTGTACACTAACATGTGTACTATAATACTGCAGCCTTATCCAGCCCTTGTACACTAGCATGTGTACTATAATACTGCAGCCTTATCCAGCCCTTGTTGTACACTAGCATGTGTACTATAATACTGCAGCCTTATCCAGCCCTTGTACACTAGCATGTGTACTATAATACTGCAGCCTTATCCAGCCCTTGTTGTACACTAGCATGTGTACTATAATACTGCAGCCTTATCCAGCCCTTGTACACTAGCATGTGTACTATAATACTTCAGCCTTATCCAGCCCTTGTTGTACACTAACATGTGTACTATAATACTGCAGCCTTATCCAGCCCTTGTACACTAGCATGTGTACTATAATACTGCAGCTTTATCCAGCCCTTGTTGTACACTAGCATGTGTACTATAATACTGCAGCCTTATCCAGCCCTTGTACACTAGCATGTGTACTATAATACTGCAGCCTTATCCAGCCCTTGTACACTAGCATGTGTACTATAATACTGCAGCCTTATCCAGCCCTTGTACACTAGCATGTGTACTATAATACTGCAGCCTTCTCTAGCCCTTGTACACTAACATGTGTACTATAATACTGCAGCCTTATCCAGCCCTTGTACACTAGCATGTGTACTATAATACTGCAGCCTTATCCAGCCCTTGTTGTACACTAGCATGTGTACTATAATACTGCAGCTTTATCCAGCCCTTGTACACTAACATGTGTACTATAATACTGCAGCCTTATCCAGCCCTTGTACACTAGCATGTGTACTATAATACTGCAGCCTTCTCTAGCCCTTGTTGTACACTAGCATGTGTACTATAATACTGCAGCCTTATCCAGCCCTTGTACACTAGCATGTGTACTATAATACTGCAGCCTTATCCAGCCCTTGTACACTAACATGTGTACTATAATACTGCAGCCTTATCCAGCCCTTGTACACTAGCATGTGTACTATAATACTGCAGCCTTATCCAGCCCTTGTTGTACACTAGCATGTGTACTATAATACTGCAGCCTCATCCAGCCCTTGTACACTAGCATGTGTACTATAATACTTCAGCCTTATCCAGCCCTTGTACACTAGCATGTGTACTATAATACTGCAGCCTTATCCAGCCCTTGTTGTACACTAGCATGTGTACTATAATACTGCAGCCTTATCCAGCCCTTGTTGTACACTAGCATGTGTACTATAATACTGCAGCCTTATCCAGCCCTTGTACACTAACATGTGTACTATAATACTGCAGCCTTATCCAGCCCTTGTTGTACACTAGCATGTGTACTATAATACTGCAGCCTTATCCAGCCCTTGTTGTACACTAGCATGTGTACTATAATACTGCAGCCTTATCCAGCCCTTGTACACTAACATGTGTACTATAATACTGCAGCCTTATCCAGCCCTTGTACACTAGCATGTGTACTATAATACTGCAGCCTTATCCAGCCCTTGTTGTACACTAGCATGTGTACTATAATACTGCAGCCTTATCCAGCCCTTGTACACTAGCATGTGTACTATAATACTGCAGCCTTATCCAGCCCTTGTACACTAGCATGTGTACTATAATACTGCAGCCTTATCCAGCCCTTGTACACTAGCATGTGTACTATAATACTGCAGCCTTATCCAGCCCTTGTACACTAGCATGTGTACTATAATACTGCAGCTTTATCCAGCCCTTGTTGTACACTAGCATGTGTACTATAATACTGCAGCCTTATCCAGCCCTTGTACACTAGCATGTGTACTATAATACTTCAGCCTTATCCAGCCCTTGTACACTAACATGTGTACTATAATACTGCAGCCTTATCCAGCCCTTGTTGTACACTAGCATGTGTACTATAATACTGCAGCCTTATCCAGCCCTTGTACACTAGCATGTGTACTATAATACTGCAGCCTTATCCAGCCCTTGTACACTAGCATGTGTACTATAATACTGCAGCCTTATCCAGCCCTTGTTGTACACTAGCATGTGTACTATAATACTGCAGCCTTATCCAGCCCTTGTACACTAGCATGTGTACTATAATACTGCAGCCTTATCCAGCCCTTGTTGTACACTAGCATGTGTACTATAATACTGCAGCCTTATCCAGCCCTTGTACACTAGCATGTGTACTATAATACTGCAGCCTTATCCAGCCCTTGTACACTAGCATGTGTACTATAATACTGCAGCCTTATCCAGCCCTTGTTGTACACTAGCATGTGTACTATAATACTGCAGCCTTATCCAGCCCTTGTACACTAGCATGTGTACTATAATACTGCAGCCTTATCCAGCCCTTGTACACTAGCATGTGTACTATAATACTGCAGCCTTATCCAGCCCTTGTACACTAGCATGTGTACTATAATACTGCAGCCTTATCCAGCCCTTGTACACTAGCATGTGTACTATAATACTGCAGCCTCATCTAGCCCTTGTTGTACACTAGCATGTGTACTATAATACTGCAGCCTTCTCTAGCCCTTGTACACTAGCATGTGTACTATAATACTGCAGCCTTATCCAGCCCTTGTACACTAGCATGTGTACTATAATACTGCAGCCTTATCCAGCCCTTGTTGTACACTAACATGTGTACTATAATACTGCAGCCTTATCCAGCCCTTGTACACTAGCATGTGTACTATAATACTGCAGCTTTATCCAGCCCTTGTTGTACACTAGCATGTGTACTATAATACTGCAGCCTTATCCAGCCCTTGTACACTAGCATGTGTACTATAATACTGCAGCCTTATCCAGCCCTTGTACACTAGCATGTGTACTATAATACTGCAGCCTTATCCAGCCCTTGTTGTACACTAGCATGTGTACTATAATACTGCAGCCTTATCCAGCCCTTGTACACTAGCATGTGTACTATAATACTGCAGCCTTATCCAGCCCTTGTACACTAGCATGTGTACTATAATACTGCAGCCTCATCCAGCCCTTGTACACTAGCATGTGTACTATAATACTGCAGCCTTCTCTAGCCCTTGTACACTAGCATGTGTACTATAATACTGCAGCCTTATCCAGCCCTTGTACACTAGCATGTGTACTATAATACTGCAGCCTCATCCAGCCCTTGTACACTAGCATGTGTACTATAATACTGCAGCCTTATCCAGCCCTTGTACACTAGCATGTGTACTATAATACTGCAGCTTTATCCAGCCCTTGTACACTAGCATGTGTACTATAATACTGCAGCCTTATCCAGCCCTTGTACACTAGCATGTGTACTATAATACTGCAGCCTTATCCAGCCCTTGTTCAACATGTTTTAGGACAGTGACCTTGAATTAGAAGAGGAAGTGGACATCCTGATGAGCAGTGATATTGTTGCAGCTCAGATGTCAACAAAAAGAATCACTTTCTCCCGTGCTCAGACTGGCTGGCTTTTCAGGGAGGATAAATCGGTAGGTTTCGTCCATTTATCTTTGTACTAGCTAGGATAAATCAGTAGGAGTTGAGATTTCATGTACAAATGATGTTATGAGGTGTAAAGTGCTGAGATTTGCTATACAACTCACTGTGTTAGCCCATAGAACTGATTGTGTCAAAACATTGAAGGACTGCTTTCATTGGCTGGTGTCAAAAGTTGTTTTAACTTTCAGGAAATGGTTGGGGACTACAGATCTGATTTTTTTAGTGTCAACAACTTGGTCCTAGAATCCAAGAAGAGGTTGGCCTTTTATTGTTTTATTTAGACATTTCTTTTAAATCATGTTTTGTATGCAACTTCAACAAATAAAAGTAGACCTAATAGTAATGGTTTAACCAAAGGCATACCTCTGAAAGTAGGTGAACAAGTTATATTTTCATGAATGTCTGTGTAAGTAGCCCACTTTCAGGGTCATAGCATCTCATGAATGTCTAAAATTTCAGAAGGGAACATCTATCAACAGAGGATATTCAAAAGAACAAAGCAATAATGGAGAATTTCAGCAAAGGATCATGGGATAATGCTGAGGCATCCAATGGGGTATGTACTAAACTTGTCTTATTCCCAAACAAGGCATTCAGTCCCTGATAAACTAATGAAAATTCTATTCCTTCAGCTGGAAAGACGTAGATCTTTACAAGCCCCTGAAAAAACATCAGTCAGCTGGGATGACTACATATCAGCACCAACTGGGCGACCCCCTTGTCTAGGCAGGACCTTAATTTCTAAAGAAAGTTCTAAAGCTTTCAAGGCCACAGTTGGAATGGTAAAAATGTTAACTGTACCATCTAAATGAAACAATTTTGGCTTCCATTATGTATATCTTTCTAGCCAGCACAAACCTTAGTTTTTTTTTAACTTACTAGACAATTATCTTTTTCAGAGTGATGAGTTTCCTATGACTGTTGAAGTGTAAGTATTGATAAAGCTTCTTAGTCAATCTTCTAAAATCCTTCAGATCACAGGTTCCCAAACTTTTTTGGATGATGATCCCTTTTTATCGTGACCTCCCCCCTTCCAAAATTATAAAAAAATATAGAGTTATAAAGGAAAAACAATGACAAAAATAGTGTGCTATGTTTTTTTTTTCCACTTTTGAAAAATAGTTTAATGCAATTGTTGCAGGGTTATTAAAGTCATGGCAAAGAACAACTTTGTGCTCTATGTGCGTCTGCTTCTCTATTGCTTAGCTAGTCAAGTTCATAAGGACCATTTCATTGAAGTTTCATGTTAAAGTTGGCGACCCTCAGAAAACCACAAAGGGGGGGGGGGGGGGGGGGGGGTCTGGACCCACAGTTTGGGAACCTGTACTTTAGATATTATAAATTGTTGAATATAATATAATAATAGTAATTTACAATTCTACTGTATCTTTTAAATATATTTTGAAAATAGTTTATATATTTATCCTAATTAGTATATAGGTAAGAATTTTTTAGTTTGATGATCATGATTTGAACCCTGTTAAAATGATCTATCGCTGTACTATATAAAGAATATGTTATAGTTTGCTAGATTTCCTGTTAAAATGACCTATCGCTGTACTATATAAAGAATATGTTATAGTTTGCTAGATGTCCTGTTAAAATGACCTATCGCTGTACTATATAAAGAATATGTTATAGTTTGCTAGATGTCCTGTTAAAATGACCTATCGCTGTACTATATAAAGAATATGTTATAGTTTGCTAGATGTCCTGTAAAAATGACCTATCGCTGTACTATATAAAGAATACGTTATAGTTTGCTAGATGTCCTGTTAAAATGACCTATCGCTGTACTATATAAAGAATATGTTACAGTTTGCTAGATGTCCTGTTAAAATGACCTATTGCTTTACTATATAAAGAATATGTTATAGTTTGCTAGATGTCCTGTTAAAATGACCTATCGCTGTACTATATAAAGAATATGTTACAGTTTGCTAGATGTTCTGGAAGTGGTGGCCCCTTTCAAGCAGTTTCAGAAACTTCGAGACTTCATGACTTCAAAACTGCCTCCAGGTTTTCCAGTTCGAATTGGTATGTATTCATGCATTATTGAGGTCATCTTTACCTTTAAGATTTGAATATTGTTCTACACTGTGCATGAGAGTTCCAGGTAATTTTCCACTACAGACTGCCCTGTGTGCCTGAACTAAGTGGCGCACTTAGGTTCCAACATAGTAATTCTTGATGGTAAAACATTGGCCAGAATCAGACAATAATACATGTTCTTCAAGTATTTTGTTGTCATATCACTCTGATCATGAATTAGGCTTACTAATTTTACATTACAATGTCAATCATTTAATAATGATTTTTAAAAATGGTATTACCAGTGACTAAAAAAAAACATTTTTTTATTTTTATATTTGTTAATCTCTTTGTCTTGTTTTTTTTTAAATATTTTAAATTATATTTAAGTCATTTTGCTATTCGAGTAAAAACATCAAAATAAGTCTTTGCCCCATTATAAATGCTTTTCCTTTAATTCAAATTTTTTTATATTTTAAATAACATTTTTAAAAGTACCCTAGTCACATGAGACATAAATTGGTTTTTAATGCCTAGGCAGGAAATGTTTAACAGTGTTGTGAAAATTTGTGATAGATCTTGTAGTACCAACGTATGTATGGATGTTGTCTGCATGTGAAATGATAGTTTGATGAAATGTCTAGTGTCAACTTTTTTTGTCGACAGAAATCCCAGTATTCCCCACCATCACAGCTAAAGTGACCTTTACGACATTTGAGTGGAAGGATGACCTAGATAAAAGCTTGTTTTCTATACCATCCCACTACAAGGAGGACCCTGGGCGGTTCCCTGACTTATGACAGTACATGGAGCTCTACATCATGCACATCATCTGCAGCCTCAGAATGGATCACTCATATCATCTTACTCAAAACAATCTTAACTGGCCAGAGGAATCACACTGCAACTTAGTCAACTCAGGAAGTGGTGGTAGCCTAGATACAATACAAGTCACTGGCCCTGTAGGGACTCAGCAGTTGGGGGACTCATTGACTCTAGTCAGACCAGTAGCTAGTGCAGGGGGGGGAGGTCTGGTGGAAGCTCAAGTCTTTTCTTCCATGCTGAGGGGGAGACAAAGACTGATCCATCTTTTTGATAAACTGACAAGCTTTAATAAGAGTGAGTTGTCTCCCTGGGATGGGCAACCAGCTTTGTCTAGTGCCTCCCCTGTAGATAACCCACATGACTGTTTGCAGACAGGCAGTACAACATGCAGTCATGACTTGTGCTGCCAGTCATGCAGTCATGATTTGTGCACCAAGGTCTCCCTGTCTACATACCAGTCAGATGTTTTGTCAGAAGGCCATCACATGGGGGCAGCAAGGAAAGTCTGGAAACTTGATTCACCAGCAACAAGAAAGCTGAAAGAAACAGCCGCCATGAAAGAAGGGAAGCAAGGTGACCAGTGTAGGAAGTGTGGGTCTACCATTGAGAAGAGAGGCAGCCCACTGGCTGAGAGCTGTGACACAGTTTGTATAGAGCTTCCCATGACCAACTTTGGTTTCTACAGCAGTGAGTTGCTCATCCTCATGTAAACATGCAACAGGCTTAGTTTGTACATTACTGGTCAATTCATATGTGCATTAGTTTGATTTGTGTATATAATATATTCAGATGGTAGTATGATGTTGTCCAAGATAGAAGGTTGCATGTTTTTGCATCCTGTATCCGAGCAAGATAACTTATTTGTAACTAAAAACTTTGGGCCAAAAGGAGAAGAATATCAGCATAGGCTGGACAGCTTGTACATACACCCTTAGACGTCACTGTAGCCATAGACATCATGATGGGCCCAATCAGTGTAAATAGTTAGACCACTGTAAATAAGATGTTGCCATAACCACCACTGCAGCTCTGGATGGGAAGCAGGTGGATGACAAGGGTTCACAGCAGTCAATATTGGTAGAGTTTCAACTTGTCACTAAATAAAAAACTTATGTAAAATCATTGTTCTTTTGAAATCTTAGTTTCTTTAAACTATTTAGAAATGTTTTAATTTTTATTTAAGAATTTTTAAGCATTTCTGAGCCATTTAAAATTTATCAAATTGCCATAATTATTATATTTATAAATTTAGGTAATTTTTCAAATTTTTGCAAGAAAAAAAAACATTAACCCACTAGCATATGTCAGTAATTGGTATCTAGACTGTAACAATAGACAGTAATATATTGTAAGATTGTGTTGTAACACTGGACCTAAAATGTTGTACATTTGTTATTTGGTTTGACTGAGCTGAAATGAATGGTTAGAATATTAGTTGAAGGGGCTACAAGAGTTGTAATCAATCCCATTAGTGCACCTAAACAGGTGAAGAGCATTGAAATTAATTAGTTTTAAACAGTTCACATTAGGGCATTTACTATAACACTTCCTACTTAATAAAGTTAATTACTGACACATCAGGTGCATCCAACAGCATGAACAATGACTAATTCATTTGTTTTATCTCTGAGCTGGTGTAGGAAAGTTTTATGCTGATATTCTGAGTTGACTTCCAAAATAAACTTGGAGCACACCTTTGACTTTGTAGTTTGACTACGTCTATTTATGGTGCATAGTGACAGTGTATTGAGGACTGGCTCAACTTTAGCCCAGAACTGGGGGAAGGTGAAGCAGAAAATCAAGGGAAGTCACTGTCAGCAACAGGAAACATCTGGTTTACCTTATAAGTATAAGATATCACAACAATTATTCCTGTTTTCCTTTTTTTTTAACTTTCTCAACTCAGATGTAAATAATGGTTAGAATTCTACCAAATCAGCCACATTTTTATAGCATCTTCCAATATCTCAGCTTGCCTTCCTGCTTAAATGAAATTATTTTCTCATTAAATACAAGAGTTGGAACTTACACTATAGCAAATTTAACCAGTCATTGCCACATTTACAATGTAATGTATTTGTATTGATAACATTCTTTAGCATTTATTCAATATCTACTAGTTTTTCCTGTAAAATCAGCAGTTTATATATGTAGCAATTTTTTTTTTTTTGATATCAATTTAAAATGTTGATTGAGTAAATTAACATTATATAAGAAGCAGCAGTTATTTCAATTGGATGGACAAAACTTTAAGGCTGTTTTTTTTATTTAAAAGTATGTATATCTATATGTAATACTCTATTGAAATATGTTGACTAATAAATACAATTTAGACTCGATACAATCTTTCTATTTGTTTATTATTGATGCCAGAGATGCTGATATAGGCCTATGTAACATTGGTTTGGTTCATCCCAAGTTAAGGAAATACAATAACAGAAGGTGGGATAGATAGATAGACGCAGCTATTTAGCTATTTTATTTTCTACTTTTTAGTACTTCATAGTTAGTGAATTTGACACTATCCTTCCCTCCATTCCTCCCCCCCCCCCCACCCCACCGTGAAAGCAGCCGTTTGTGAAAACAGTTTACGGACGACAATGAAAAGATCAAGCAGAACTTCTTACCTCTTCTTAGTTTCAAATCGTTTAAAAGCTAAATTTTCTTCCCCTACTAATTCGACCCGGCTCTACGACGATTCTAAGAATTCAGGGTGAACAACAGCTCACCAGAATGGTGGGGGTGGTAACTGCATGCGTTTACGTGGTGCCTCGCATGGTCCCTATGAAGAGAATTAGGTATATATATATATAGATCGTAGAGGTGGTCAATCTAGTGAAGGATATTAGGGGCAGATAACATTTTTAAACTATTTGAAACTAAGGGGAAGTAACAATAACCCGGACTGCTGCTTTTCCAGGAGCAGATAATCATCTTTTATATCGCCAGCTACTGATAGTGTTTTAAAGCAAATATTTTTAGTTGTGTCGAGTTCATAAGTTAGAAATCACTTAATTGTAAAACAAGTTAATTAAAAAAGTCTAGTGACATTTATGCGCAATTTCCTTATGTTATCTAAAAATAGCTCTGACGTATAATGCTGGGATGCGTTCAAGCTAGAAGAACAATCGGTTTGTAGGTGTTTTTGTAATTTTAAAATTTGTGACCAAACGAGAGGATATTTTTGAAAACTTTCTTCGGCAATATTGCTCTAAATTATGGCAGGAATCGATTGGTACATGTTTCAAGTCGCTAAGTGGTCTGGTTGACGAGATATGGGCCAAAAACTGCTTTTTTTCGAGGTTTTTTGGCTTTTCCGGGAAATACATGAAAGAAACCCGGAATTTTTATGGCCTATGCTCATTCTTGTAACTTGCTTAACATAATTGCTTTTGGAACTAGTCATCGATATTGCTTCGTTGAGGAGGAGATACGACTTAAAGCCCGGACACACATTCATCCATACATTCATCCATCCATCCATCCATCCAGAAATGACGCGTTAATAAACGCAATTCTCCAGAATGGAAATTGCGCTAAAAAAAAAAAAACAACAAATATGCTTACAAAAAAAAAAAAAACAACAAACAAACAACCTTGATAGCAACAAGCATTTAATGCAACAAAAATAAAACTAATTTTCTTTCCAAAAGCTTTGGTCTCTCGTGAGATCTGTTATAGATCTCTATATTTTAAATTATTTTAGCTACAAAAGCTTTTTTGAAAGAAAGTACATTGGTTTCATTTTCTTATTTAATATTTTCGGTGCATTAAATTTAAAAGCTTGTGCCATAAAGGTTTTTGTTATATTTGTTTTATTGAACTTATTTATTATATTTAAGAGGCTCGCGGGGTGTTGCATCCAGCTCTAGATGATCCCCCGTGGTTCCATAGAAATTCCTATGTATCATCTCTAGACTAGGTCTACATAATCTTATTTGGTAAACGCGAGACGTAGTGCGACTTTTTAATAATCAGGAAGGGGAAATCAATGAGAACGTAAAACGGAAGTTTTCTTTGATGTCGTCTGTATCAAAATGGCGGAGGATGATATCGACGTCGAAGGGGAATTCGATTTAAAAACAGAGTGAGACATTTAACATTGTTCATTCTATTTCTAGCTATTTAATTTTTTGTGTAGAGCAAATGTTCCTGAATAAAGTATGATCTTAAGAAGAAAAGCACGACTTGTTCTAGTTATAGCACTGTTACAGTTATAGATCTAGAATCTTTCAATCTAGAGGAGTTTACACTTTTCGGACACACACCAAAAATTACGTAGGACCGAACACTTCGTCGGTTTTTGGCTCATAGAAACTTTAATTAGCATGTCTCACGCGAAACCACGGCGCCTGCACGTAAACTGTTCATTTATGAACACTTCCGTGTCAAGTACTTCCGTTTCCTTTCTCAAGAATTATTTTTAGAAATTTTTTAACGTTGCATGGTACGCACATTTCTATTTTTACACCAGCCGGATGAAGTGACCTAGGGTTGGACTTAGGGGCAAAACTTGAACCAATCAATGCTTAGCTAAAAGGTTACACTATAAATAGCTTCTATATATGTATGGAACATCGTAAATGTCAAGGTTAATGGGTTTTTTCGTGCTTGAACAATAAAAAAGGGGTGTTCGCTAACTTATTTGGCCTTACATGGGATCGGACAGCAACACAAAAATATTATTAAATAAGAATTTAGAGCATAAAAGGGGCTGGTTATTGAAGGGAAAGGGTCAAAATAAGGTCAAGAAGGCAGTGGAATGCGAAAGAGGTGGGGGAATCATGTGACCTGGCTGGCTTAGCAGCGTACTGCGCGAGCCGCAATGGCTGAATGGGATGAACTTTGGGAGTGTGGGAAAAAGGTTTTATACTATTAAAATTACCTCACAAACAATCAATAACACAATATAAATGCATATAATATATGTTTTTATTCATTAAATTGACTTTAAATTATTCTAAATGAACAAAAAGTGCTATGTCCGATGACGGGTAAAGGTGTCCGAACACATGTAAAACTGTATTACATGTGTTCGAACACACGTTAAGACCCCCCAGTCACTATAACAAGAATAGCTTAAGTTCTATGCGTATGAATACAAAATGACACACACATTATTAAAGTAGAATGGTTGCGGATAGATATGATACTTTTTTTTGTTTTCTATGTTAAGCGGTTACTGAATGAGACCGCATGGAATTTTTACGTTGCGTTTTTTCGCTATGTGTGTCCGAAAAGTGTAAGCTCCTCTAGGCCTACTTCAGAACTTCTTTTGTTTGAGCTTGAGCACTCAGTCACTTAAAGTAAAACTTCACTTCTCTTAGTACTTTTAGTACTAGATTCTAGACTAGATCTACTACTACACACACTACGTCACTATTACTTTTACTACTACTAGATCTAGATCTATTCTAGAGTAAAGTTCCACGCGCGGTTAAAACACCGGTGCGATCATCGCCTGTTTATCGCTTCGTACAATATTTGTTTTGATGTTTTATACGAAACTACCGATATCTGCTGTAAACCTGTCCATTTCTAAATATATCCAGGTCAAATTCTTTTGTTTTTCTCCTTCTGGAAGTCGAGTTTTTAAATTTTAAAGTTTCGAGGTATGACGTCGTAGGCGGTTCTAGTTCCCCCTATGAAAAACACTAGGTCCCGGATGAGATGAATAAAACCAACCAATCAAAGCTTTTTATAACTAGGTTAACTATAAATAGCTTCTACAATATATGCGGGACACTGTACATACGATAGATAAGGCTAATAAAGCAACCTGATAGGTAAATAGGGGTGGCCGCAGCTTGGGTGTCGATTACGGTGGTTTCACATCGCTGCGTAACCAACGACTTGAGCTAGACTAGCCTAGTTCTAGATGCTCTATATTTCAAACTAAGCCTAGAATCTGTATACTTTCTATTTTTTTCTGCTGTTTTAAATTATTTCGATCATCTACTTCTTCTAAATCTAGTTTGTGTCTCTACATACAAGCATATCTAAGCAAATGTTACGTTATGTCTTTTAGTGGTTGTTACGTCCCTTTGTTATGATTATTATAGTTGCGTCCCTTGAGTCATCACTGGGTCAACTTTTAATGTCTTTAATTAATTTAATTAACATGTTTTTAATTATTATTTTTGCAATCTATTAATTAATAATACAATCAACAACACGTTTAAGTGTGTAAAATATTTATTTCAATTATTAAAATTGGATCAAAACGTATACAATACGCTCGTTGGCAAGCAGGTTCTTGCGTACGCAGGCAAAAAAAAAAGGGAAAAAAATATCGCAAGGAGGGACGTCACTAAAACATGAATATCTTAAATACTATGCGTAGGAATACAAAATGACTCATACATATTACAGTAGAATGGCAGCGGAGTAATACAGTGCTTTCGGTTTGTTTCTGTGTGAAACGGTTATAAAATAGCGCCCGATGAAAATCGGGAATTTGGAATTTTCCGCTATGTGTGACCGCGCGTGGAACTTTACTCTAGTACTGAGACTCTAAACTAAAAGCTTTAAGTAGTACTCTTGCTTGAGTCTTGACAACTCTTTTATTGTCTTTTAAAAAAAAGTAAAAGTGTTGGTTGAGTATTCACTTGTTCCTGTTCAGTGTGAGTGTAGACTGTAGTAGCTTGATTTATGAAATTTTAAAATATTCTGTTATGCTTTATGATCTTGTAATAGAACAATGAAACTAGGTAGAAAAACTGGTATAAGGACTTAATTGTTCTAAAGTAAATGTAGATTGTAGAATATTGTAGATTATCTTTTCAGCCGTTTCTTGTGCATCTGATTGTGCATCATTATTTTCTCATCTGTCTCATATCTCTTTTGCACCTTCTTCCATACACAATCCGGTCAATCACTGTCAATTCACTTTTGTCTGGTCTCTTCCTAGTTGTTTTCCCTGGTTATGCCCCTGTAAAGAAAATAATTTTTTGCAAAATAAAATATAGGCCTACCTAATTTTTAAATTATTTATTTTCTTACACTTACAAGTTACTCTATAAGGAGTATTGTTTAATGTTTCTTTTTAGGCTTGGGGAAGAGTTTTATGATACAAACGAACTGCCATCAAAAAGTGCAAATCTTTTACCAGAATTTACAAGCCCAGCTTGGATGCTGGAACAGGTAAACTGAAACTAGTGTCAGCACATTGCAGTAGTTTTATCAACTATCAATAGGACAGATGTACACATTTACTTGAGTCCATAAGGCAGATGGTACAGTTAGTTATGAGCTAGAGTTACTTTAGGGCTGAAGTTAGGAAGGACAAACATGTAAAATTAAAGAAGAAGCAAGCAAGTGTATGATAACATTCCACTTTAACAGGGTTGGTCACTGGACAGCTGCATGGATGAGAAGTCTAAGGCTACTATAGAGAAGATGCTACTTGAAGAACAGTATCCTTTTTGGTTATATTGACTTAAGCTATTTTACACAGTTCTTGTTCTATTCTTGTTAACCTTAACCAAGTACATACAATACATGTATGGTCGTAAAACTTCACGTTATCTGAGCATAAAAAAGAATGTACTTCTTGTGACTGCTGGCACAAGTAAAGCTACAACACCCAACAAAAGTCCATGGACTCAGGAAGAAAAAAACACTTTCCTTAGAGGCATGGTATGTACAATTGTCAGTCTTTTGATGTGGTTGACCAAATTAGTTCTTTCTAATTCAGGGAATATTTGGCAGAAGTTGGAGTAAAATTGCCAGTTTAATCCCCACAAGAACACTATTTTTGTGGTTGACCAAATTTCTTCTTTCTAATTCAGGGAATATTTGGCAGAAGTTGGAGTAAAATTGCCAGTTTAATCCCCACAAGAACAAGTCTGCAGGTTAAGAATTATGCTCAACAGTACATGAAAAACCTGGTCAGTAGTTTGTTCATTCAAGTTAATGTCGTCTTAACACTTTGGCATTGTTACATTGTGTACATGATTGAAACAGACTTTGCCTAATTTTATGTTGCAGGCTAAGAAAAAGGCTGAAATGGAAAAGTTGGAGATGGATACTTTGAAATCCATGACAGAAACACCTTTATTTAACAGCACTCCCTCTTCACTGGCAGCCACTGTGGCTAGCATCACAACAGGTCAGCCAACTGTAGTAACTCCAGCAGCTGACCCCCAAGTCAAAGGTCAGGGTAGAAAGCAGAGAATAGCCCCAGCCAATAAGTGTGACAAGCTGAAAGCTGGGACCATTCACAGGCCTACACAGAGAAAGTCAAGCACTAAGCCGGGCAAAGAGAAGAACAGTCCGAGAAAATTGAAGAAATTGGATCTTAGCGGGGCAGCACATGGAGCTGCAGGGGTAGGGGACATAGTCCTACAAGCCAGGACCAGCCGCTGTAACAGTGTCTGCTCCACTTCTGATGGGATATCCACCGTCAATGGCTCCAGTGATGTCAGTGACGTCAGCAACTCCAGCTTTACCAGAACCTCAAAGCTGTCAGATGAGGATGACATGGATATAGACATTGATATAGAGAACGATGATGAAGAAAACCCAATACTGTTGAGTCGCTCAGCATCCCCCAGCTCTGTGTACCTGCAGCTGCTTAAGGCAGCTCACATCGGCACTGGTCAGCTGGAGCAAGATGGAGGCACTGGTCAGTTGTCTGAAACTAAGTCAGACACATCTTTGGACACCTCAGCCAAACCTAATGTGACTTGCCAAGATTTTCTCTCTAACCCTGACAATGATTCCACCAGCAGCCAGGATGGGCTCAAGTCTGGAGATGATGACTCACACTTGGATACTGTCCTCGCAACTGACGATATGGACAGGGAAGAAGAGGAGCACCATGTTCAAACAGACACCATTGGTAACTAGTTTTTCATCATATGTGATTGACAGCATCGGTAATTAGTTTTTCATCATATGTGATTGACAGCATTGGTAATTAGTTTTTCATCATATGTGATTGACAGCATAGATAATTAGTTTTTCATCATATGTGATTGACAGCATCGGTAATTAGTTTTTCATCATATGTGATTGACAGCATTGGTAATTAGTTTTTCATCATATGTGATTGACAGCATAGATAATTAGTTTTTCATCATATGTGATTGACAGCATTGGTAATTAGTTTTTCATCATATGTGATTGACAGCATAGATAATTAGTTTTTCATCATATGTGATTGACAGCATTGGTAATTAGTTTTTCATCATATGTGATTGACAGGATTAGTTCTTTCATTACTGACAGCACTGGCAATAAGGTGTGTACATGACTCTGACTGACAGCACTAGCACTAAGCTGTGTACAGGCTTAGACTGTAAGTTGTTACAGTAGAGTTGACTATTGTTCTTATTGAACCAGTGAATGGTCTTGTGGCCTGGTCTGGTGAGGTGCTGGAGTTTGATGTCCCTGTACAAGAGAAAGTCTTCCCACCCAATGAAATCACAGAGGAGGAGAGAAGAGTCCATGCAGATTTCTTTGATGGCAGACCCCCCAAAACACCTGAACGTTATCTCAAAATTCGTAGTTACATCATTGATTGCTGGTAAGCTATCTTTCTTTAAGATAGTTGAGATGTTTGAACTATAAACTTGTGTGACAGCTTTATGTTTATTTATGTTAATAAATGTTTTGAAGGTTAAAAAGCAAACCTGTGTATCTAAACAAAACATGTATCAGACCTGGGCTGAAGAATTGTGGCGATGTAAACTGTATAGGACGTATCCACTCTTACTTGGAGTGTGTTGGAGCTATCAACTTTGGCTGTGGTAAATCTAAACTTTGATTTCAATCTTCAGACTTGGAAACCTTTATTGCAGTCTTCTAATAGAGTTGTCTTAAATTGATGTCAAACTAAGAACTGTTTTATTTTGTCTTCTCATGGATGTGTTCAGAGCAGGCCAACTACCGCAATCCACATAGAACTGCCCCAGGGGGAACCAACAGTCGTCTCAAAGGAATAAATAAAGAATTAATGCCACCTTTTCCTCTCATCAAAGCTGAATCAGTAGTAAGTCCATCCTCACACTCTTCAAGTTTGCATTTTATTAGGACCTACTGCTGAAGTTTGCTTGTTTTATACAACTTGTACAGTTTTCATTTAATTAGGACCTACTTCTTGCCTTGGTAACCATGTCCACCATAAAAGCAAATCACTCATTTATTTAGTTTCAGTCATGTTATAAATATATATTTCATTGACACTGGTATAATTATTACAGTGGGTGTTGTACACTTATTTGTACACTTACAATGTGTAGTTAATGTGTCTGAAATGCTGGTTGTATCTGAACAGTTCAATTCAGTGTTCTACTTGCCAAAGTCAATTCAGTGTTCCTACTTACCAAAGTCAATTCAGTGTTCCTACTTACCAAAGTCAATTCAGTGTCCTACTTACCAAAGTCAATTCAGTGTCCTACTTACCAAAGTCAATTCAGTGTCCTACTTACCAAAGTCAATTCAGTGTCCTACTTACCAAAGTCAATTCAGTGTCCTACTTACCAAAGTCAATTCAGTTCAGTGTTCTATTTATCAAAGTCAATTCAGTGTTCTACTTACCAAAGTCAATTCAGTGTCCTACTTACCAAAGTCAATTCAGTGTCCTACTTACCAAAGTCAATTCAGTGTCCTACTTACCAAAGTCAATTCAGTGTCCTACTTACCAAAGTCAATTCAGTGTCCTACTTACCAAAGTCAATTCAGTGTTCCTACTTACCAAAGTCAATTCAGTGTTCCTACTTACCAAAGTCAATTCAGTGTTCCTACTTACCAAAGTCAATTCAGTTCAGTGTTCTATTTATCAAAGTCAATTCAGTGTTCTACTTACCAAACTATATCCATCCATAACAAAATATTTAAAGAAATATTTGTAAACAAAGTAATTTAAACAAGACAACAAAGCCACCTCTTTTTCCCACCATAAATGGAACCCTAACTTTATCAATGGATTCTCCAACACTTTGGTAGAATTTTTTATTTTTTTAAAATGTAATGTTTATATTATGCATACATTATATTAGAGAAAATTGAATAGATTACGATTCTGTCCCATCTTTCAGAGACCTCGAAAACGCAGAATCCGTGATGAGTCAGGCTTGTGGGTGGATGAGAAGGAACTAGAAGGGAAGACAATTGATGTAAGCGACTTCCCATTTCTGGCTAGTTGAGTCACGCAGATCATCTAACCCAAGTATTAGCTGCTTCATATCAACTAGTTTGTTAACAAATCAATAAGACACAGCAGCCACTTATTTTCTCTAGTTGAACCCAATATAGATGAGAAGCTTTGTGTTTCAGCATAATGTAGACAAGAAGAAATGTGAATCTAAAGCCAAAGTCTACAGAGCCACCAAAAGTGTTTATGATCCTTTCAAACTTGTGCCTTGCACCTCATTCTCTGCAGACAATCCTGTAAGTAGCCCAGCCAGTCACATTAACCAACTTCCTCAGCTGGTTGGGGAGTCAATGTATTGTTAGTCAACCTGCTGGTCCATGCAGTATAGGAATCAGAGTTCATCTGTTTCTGGGACCTCAGCATATCTAGATGATGCTTATATTTAACTTATATCAAGAGCTTGTCCTTTATTTGCAAGATAGAAATGTTGAATACTACTTGTCCTTTATTTGCCAGCCACCTTACAAGATAGAAATGTTGAATACTACTTGTCCTTTATTTGCCAGCCACCTTACAAGATAGAAATGTTGAACACTGCCGTAGCCATCATGGACATACATGCCCATATATCCAAGACGGAGGTGATTGGCATGCTGGGGGGTCAGTTCTCCTCTAACACATTGATCATCAGCATGGCCGTGCCATGTCAAAGCATGAGCACTGGGATGCAGTGCGAGATGGACCCAGGTCAGTTGCTGTTCATTATGTTGTCTGTCAGAGGTCACTTTGTCGCCAGTCATTGTGTTATTATGCGTAAAAGTATGAGTTGTGTTGTTAGTCAGTAGCGTGGTCAGTGTGTAAAGCTGATGTGCTGTGTCACTCTGAGGTCAGTAGTGTGGTCAGTGTGTAAAGCTGATGTGCCATGACAGTCTGAGGTCAGTAGTGTGGTCAGTGTGTAAAGCTGATGTGCTGTGTCACTCTGAGGTCAGTAGTGTGGTCAGTGTGTAAAGCTGATGTGCCATGTCACTCTGTGGTCAGTAGTGTGGTCAGTGTGTAAAGCTGATGTGCCATGACAGTCTGAGGTCAGTAGTGTGGTCAGTGTGTAAAGCTGATGTGCTGTGTCACTCTGAGGTCAGTAGTGTGGTCAGTGTGTAAAGCTGATGTGCCATGTCACTCTGTGGTCAGTAGTGTGGTCAGTGTGTAAAGCTGATGTGCCATATCATGACAATCTGAGGTCATTAGTGTGGTCAGTGTGTAAAGCTGATGTGCCATGTCACTCTGAGGTCAGTAGTGTGGTCAGTGTGTAAAGCTGATGTGCCCTGTTACGCTGAGGTCAGTAGTGTGGTCAGTGTGTAAAGCTGATGTGCCATGACACTCTGATGTCAGTAGTGTGGTGAGTGTGTAAAGCTGATGTGCCATGTCACTCTGAGGTCAGTAGTGTGGTCAGTGTGTAAAGCTGATGTGCCATGACACTCTGATGTCAGTAGTGTGGTGAGTGTGTAAAGCTGATGTGCCATGTCACTCTGAGGTCAGTAGTGTGGTCAGTGTGTAAAGCTGATGTGCCATGTCACTCTGAGGTCAGTAGTGTGGTCAGTGTGTAAAGCTGATGTGCCATGTCACTCTGAGGTCAGTAGTGTGGTCAGTGTGTAAAGCTGATGTGCCATGACACTCTGAGGTCAGTAATGTGGTCAGTGTGTAAAGCTGATGTGCCCTGTTACGCTGAGGTCAGTAGTGTGGTCAGTGTGTAAAGCTGATGTGCTGTGTCACTCTGAGGTCAGTAGTGTGGTCAGTGTGTAAAGCTGATGTGTCACTCTGAGGTCAGTAGAGTGGTCAGTGTGTAAAGCTGATGTGTCACTCTGAGGTCAGTAGAGTGGTCAGTGTGTAAAGCTGATGTGCCATATCATGACAATCTGAGGTCAGTAGTGTGGTCAGTGTGTAAAGCTGATGTGTCACTCTGAGGTCAGTAGAGTGGTCAGTGTGTAAAGCTGATGTGCCATATCATGACAATCTGAGGTCAGTAGTGTGGTCAGTGTGTAAAGCTGATGTGTCACTCTGAGGTCAGTAGAGTGGTCAGTGTGTAAAGCTGATGTGCTGTGTCACTCTGAGGTCAGTAGTGCGGTCAGTGTGTAAAGCTGATGTGTTGTGTCACTCTGAGGTAAGTAGTGTGGTCAGTGTGTAAAGCTGATGTGCCATGTCACTCTGAGGTCAGTAGTGTGGTCAGTGTGTAAAGCTGATGTGCCATGTCACTCTGAGGTCAGTAGTGTGGTCAGTGTGTAAAGCTGATGTGCTGTGTCACTCTGAGGTCAGTAGTGTGGTCAGTGTGTAAAGCTGATGTGCCCTGTTACGCTTAGGTCAGTAGTGTGGTCAGTGTGTAAAGCTGATGTGCTGTGTCACTCTGTGGTCAGTAGCGTGGTCAGTGTGTAAAGCTGATGTGCCATGTCACTCTGAGGTCAGTAGTGTGGTCAGTGTGTAAAGCTGATGTGCCATATGACACTCTGAGGTCAGTAGTGTGGTCAGTGTGTAAAGCTGATGTGCCCTGTTACGCTGAGGTCAGTAGTGTGGTCAGTGTGTAAAGCTGATGTGCTGTGTCACTCTGAGGTCAGTAGTGTGGTCAGTGTGTAAAGCTGATGTGCTGTGTCACTCTGTGGTCAGTAGCGTGGTCAGTGTGTAAAGCTGATGTGCCATGTCACTCTGAGGTCAGTAGTGTGGTCAGTGTGTAAAGCTGATGTGCCCTGTTACGCTGAGGTCATTAGTGTGGTCAGTGTGTAAAGCTGATGTGCTGTGTCACTCTGAGGTCAGTAGTGTGGTCAGTGTGTAAAGCTGATGTGCCCTGTTACGCTGAGGTCAGTAGTGTGGTCAGTGTGTAAAGCTGATGTGCCCTGTTACGCTGAGGTCAGTAGTGTGGTCAGTGTGTAAAGCTGATGTGCCATGACACTCTGAGGTCAGTAGTGTGGTCAGTGTGTAAAGCTGATGTGCCATATCATGACAATCTGAGGTCAGTAGTGTGGTCAGTGTGTAAAGCTGATGTGCCATGACACTCTGAGGTCAGTAGTGTGGTCAGTGTGTAAAGCTGATGTGCCATGTCACTCTGAGGTCAGTAGTGTGGTCAGTGTGTAAAGCTGATGTGCCATGTCACTCTGAGGTCAGTAGTGTGGTCAGTGTGTAAAGCTGATGTGCCATGACACTCTGAGGTCAGTAGTGTAGTCAGTGTGTAAAGCTGATGTGCCATGTCACTCTGAGGTCAGTAGTGTGGTCAGTGTGTAAAGCTGATGTGCCATGTCATGTCACTCTGAGGTCAGTAGTGTGGTGAGTGTGTAAAGCTGATGTGCCATGACACTCTGAGGTCAGTAGTGTGGTCAGTGTGTAAAGCTGATGTGCCATGTCACTCTGAGGTCAGTAGTGTGGTCAGTGTGTAAAGCTGATGTGCTGTGTCACTCTGAGGTCATTAGTGTGGTCAGTGTGTAAAGCTGATGTGCCATGACAATCTGAGGTCAGTAGTGTGGTCAGTATGTAAAGCTGATGTGCCATGTCATGTCACTCTGAGGTCAGTAGTGTGGTCAGTGTGTAAAGCTGATGTGCCATGTCATGTCACTCTGAGGTCAGTAGTGTGGTCAGTGTGTAAAGCTGATGTGCCATGTCATGTCACTCTGAGGTCAGTAGTGTGGTCAGTGTGTAAAGCTGATGTGCCCTGTTACTCCCCAGTGTCCCAGACTCAGGCCAGTGAACAGATTGAGGACGTGGGCATGTCTGTTGTTGGCTGGTACCACTCCCACCCCACCTTCTCCCCTGACCCATCCGTCAGAGATATAGAAACACAGCAAAAATTTCAGGTAATATTTCATGTACCATTTTGAGCAGACCCAAGAATCATTAGCTGACCTTTTCTGGGAAAAACCTAGGATTGATGGTGAAACAAATGTCTCCCTAACAAACAAATGTCTCCATTACAAACAAATTTCTCCCAAACAAATGTCACCTTAATAAACACATGTCTCCCTAACAAACAATGTCTCCCTAACAAACAATGTCTCCCTAACAAACAAATGTCTCCCTAACAAACAAATGTCTCCCTAACAAACAATGTCTCCCTAACAAACAAATGTCTCCCTAACAAATGTCTCCCTAACAAATGTCACCTTAATAAACACATGTCTCCCTAACAAACAAATGTCTCCCTAACAAACAAATGTCTCCCTAACAAACAATGTCTCCCTAACAAACAAATGTCTCCCTAACAAATGTCTCCCTAACAAACAAATGTCTCCCTAACAAACAAATGTCTCCCTAACAAATGTCTCCCTAACAAACAAATGTCTCCCTAACAAACAAATGTCTCCCTAACAAATGTCTCCCTAACAAATGTCACCTTAATAAACACATGTCTCCCTAACAAACAATGTCTCCCTAACAAACAAATGTCTCCCTAACAAATGTCTCCCTAACAAACAAATGTCTCCCTAACAAATGTCTCCCTAACAAACAAATGTCTCCCTAACAAACAATGTCTCCCTAACAAACAAATGTCTCCCTAACAAACAAATGTCTCCCTAACAAACAATGTCTCCCTAACCAACAAATGTCTCCCTAACAAACAATGTCTCCCTAACAAACAAATGTCTCCCTAACAAACAAATGTCTCCCTAACAAACAATGTCTCCCTAACAAACAAATGTCTCCCTAACAAACAAATGTCTCCCTAACAAACAAATGTCTACCTAACAAACACATGCCTCCCTAACAAAGAACAACCTGACTACCATTACACTGACACCAAGCAATATTTCATTTGTAAAACATAAGAAAAAAATGTTTGAATTATTTCCTCAGTATTGGTTTTCCAAGGGAGGCAACCAGTTTGTTGGAGTAATTATCAGCCCTTACAACCCTGCCAGCACATCCTTGTATTCAGATGTCCGTTGTCTGACCATCTCTGAGAGCTACAGCAAAGAGTATTTGTGTAGTAAGTCATGCAATTTTCTTGTAGCCCATTGAGTGTAGTAAGTCATGCTATTTTCTTGTAGCCCATTGAGTGTAGTAAGTCATGCAATTTTCTTGTAGCCCATTGAGTGTAGTAAGTCATGCTATTTTCTTGTAGCCCATTGAGTGTAGTAAGTCATGCAATTTTCTTGTAGCCCATTGAGTGTAGTAAGTCATGCTATTTTCTTGTAGCCCATTGAGTGTAGTAAGTCATGCAATTTTCTTGTAGCCCATTGAGTGTAGTAAGTAATGTAGTTTTCTTGTAGCCCATTGAGTGTAGTAAGTCATGCTATTTTCTTGTAGCCCATTGAGTGTAGTAAGTAATGTAGTTTTCTTGTAGCCCATTGAGTGTAGTAAGTAATGTAATTTTCTTGTAGCCCATTGAGTGTAGTAAGTCATGTAATTTTCTTGTAGCCCATTGAGTGTAGTAAGTAATGTAGTTTTCTTGTAGCCCATTGAGTGTAGTAAGTAATGTAATTTTCTTGTAGCCCATTGAGTGTAGTAAGTAATGTAGTTTTCTTGTAGCCCATTGAGTGTAGTAAGTAATGTAGTTTTCTTGTAGCCCATTGAGTGTAGTAAGTAATGTAGTTTTCTTGTAGCCCATTGAGTGTAGTAAGTAATGTAGTTTTCTTGTAGCCCATTGAGTGTAGTAAGTAATGTAGTTTTCTTGTAGCCCATTGAGTGTAGTAAGTAATGTAGTTTTCTTGTAGCCCATTGAGTGTAGTAAGTAATGTAGTTTTCTTCTTCTGTCCCATTGAGTGTAGTAAGTCATGTAATTTTCTTGTAGCCCATTGAGTGTAGTAAGTAATGTAGTTTTCTTGTAGCCCATTGAGTGTAGTAAGTAATGTAGCTTTCTTGTAGCCCATTGAGTGTAGTAAGTCATGTAGTTTTCTTTTGTCTCATGGAGTGTAGTAAGTAATGTAGTTTTCTTCTTCTGTCCATGGAGTGTAGTAGGTAATGTAGTTTTCTTGTAGCCCATTGAGTGTAGTAAGTAATGTAGTTTTCTTGTAGCCCATTGAGTGTAGTAAGTAATGTAATTTTCTTGTAGCCCATTGAGTGTAGTAAGTAATGTAGTTTTCTTGTAGCCCATTGAGTGTAGTAAGTAATGTAATTTTCTTCTTCTGTCCCATGGAGTGTAGTAAGTAATGTAGTTTTCTTGTAGCCCATTGAGTGTAGTAAGTCATGCTATTTTCTTGTAGCCCATTGAGTGTAGTAAGTAATGTAGTTTTCTTGTAGCCCATTGAGTGTAGTAAGTAATGTAGTTTTCTTCTGTCCCATGGAGTGTAGTAAGTAATGTAATTTTCTTGTAGCCCATTGAGTGTAGTAAGTCATGCTATTTTCTTGTAGCCCATTGAGTGTAGTAAGTCATGTAGTTTTCTTTGTCAGTGGCATGGTCTTTTATTTAAACCTTTGCCTCCTAGGCTGCAGCACATTTACACTCCCCTAATCCTAAGGAAAGGGCCAGTACTCTTTAAAATATAATATAAATATAGGATGGGTCTTTTAAAAAATCACTTTCATATTTATTTAATTAAATATAATTATCAGTACTGCTATTATTTTCATCTAAATGAGGCATGCCCTCATTATAACTAGTCCCAGGACTTCCATAAGCCAACACAAAAATGATGCCTCTATGGGACAAAATTAGGAACATTTGGACGGGTTTAAAAAAAATCTTTAAAATCTAACCCATGCATGAACTTGGATTCTATAAATACTGAAAGGAAGTTTTTCTTCTGTTTCTTTACCTGATAACTTTTATTGTATTAAACTGCTATTACAAAGTAGAATTAGCAGTGCAACAACACAATTTAAAAATTGAGTTATGCAACTTTAGGAGTTCAGCGACGTTTGTCGACATCAGGAGTTAAAGGGTTAATATTTAGGGAAAAATGATAGGTTGAACTAATATTGTTTGGACAATAAAACATGATCTTAGATTTTAGTTTTATTTGTACCATGCAAAAAGAGTACTGGGACCTTTCAAATACATTTTTAGTGAAACAAATTTAATAGTAATAAGTAAGTAACAAAACTGTGACTATGACATGTTTCATAAAGATTGGAATGTGCATTTCAGATTTGCCTATCAAGTTTGACTTTGAAGTAATTTATGGAGATAATCCTGGAGAAATACTAGGCCCAGCCAGTGGGTTGGCAGACAACTATTGTGTCTACAACAACAGGGTCAAGCTCTCTTGTCTCTACAAGTCAGCTCTTGGTATCACCTGTCTTTCAAAGGTCAGCATTGTCTTATGGATGTTATATCCATTTTTACACAACATTGAAAATGATTCTGTAAAAATCCAATAAACATTCTTTAAATTAAAACCATTGGTGGTAACTGATTTGCATGCAGTGGTTTGCATTCAGTAAGTTTTTTTCAGCATTGCTCTCTGGTACTCTGTGATAACACACTCCAACTCAATGCCTTGGTTGATACATCACTGCAGGCACAAGCTATCTTTTGTTTACCTTAGTCTGTCCTATGTTAACTCAATGTTAGGTCTCGCTTTTGAACTCACTGTCACAGTGTTAGTGTGAATTCACTGTGACCTTGTATTTGAACTGTAGTTATGGCTGGCAGGCTGTCTTGTGACTAGCTGGTGCTGGCAGGCTGTCTTGTGACTAGTTATGGCTGGCAGGCTGTCTTGTGACTAGCTGGTGCTGGCAGGCTTTCTTGTGACTAGTTATGGCTGGCAGGCTGTCTTGTGACTAGCTGGTGCTGGCAGGCTGTCTTGTGACTAGTTGGGGCTGGCAGGCTGTCTTGTGACTAGCTGGGGCTGTCTTGTGGCTGGCAGGCTGTCTTGTGACTAGTTGGGGCTGGCAGGCTGTCTTGTGACTAGCTGGGGCTGTCTTGTGGCTGGCAGGCTGTCTTATGACTAGTTGGGGCTGGCAGGCTGTCTTGTGATTAGTTGGGGCTGGCAGGCTGTCTTGTGACTAGTTGGGGCTGCCAGGCTGTCTTGTGACTAGTTGGGGCTGGCAGGCTGTCTTGTGACTAGTTGTGGCTGGCAGGCTGTCTTGTGATTAGCTGGGGCTGTCTTGTGGCTGGCAGGCTGTCTTGTGACTAGTTGGGGCTGGCAGGCTGTCTTGTGACCAGCTGGGGCTGGCAGGCTGTCTTGTGACTAGTTGGGGCTGGCAGGCTGTCTTGTGACTAGTTGTGGCTGGCAGGCTGTCTTGTGATTAGCTGGGGCTGTCTTGTGGCTGGCAGGCTGTCTTGTGACTAGTTGGGGCTGGCAGGCTGTCTTGGGGCTGGTAGGCTGTCTTGTGACTAGTTGGGGCTGGCAGGCTGTCTTGTGACTAGTTGGGGCTGGCAGGCTGTCTTGTGACTAGTTGGGGCTGGCAGGCTGTCTTGTGACTTGGGGCTGGCAGGCTGTCTTGTGACTAGCTGGGGCTGGCAGGCTGTCTTGTGACTAGTTGGGGCTGGCAGGCTGTCTTGTGACTTGGGGCTGGCAGGCTGTCTTGTGACTAGCTGGGGCTGGCAGGCTGTCTTGTGACTAGTTGGGGCTGGCAGGCTGTCTTGTGACTAGCTGGGGCTGTCTTGTGACTTGGGGCTGGCAGGCTGTCTTGTGACTAGTTGGGGCTGGCAATCTGTCTTGTGACCAGCTGGGGCTGGCAGGCTGTCTTGTGATTAGCTGGTGCTGGCAGGCTGTCTTGTGACTAGTTGGGGCTGGCAGGCTGTCTTGTGACTAGCTGGGGCTGTCTTGTGACTAGTTGTGGCTGGCAGGCTGTCTTGTGATTAGCTGGGGCTGTCTTGTGGCTGGCAGGCTGTCTTGTGACTAGTTATGGCTGGCAGGCTGTCTTGTGACTAGTTGGGGCTGGCAGGCTGTCTTGTGACTAGTTGGGGCTGGCAGGCTGTCTTGTGACTAGTTGGGGCTGGCAGGCTGTCTTGTGACTAGTTATGGCTGGCAGGCTGTCTTGTGACTAGCTGGGGCTGGCAGGCTGTCTTGTGACTAGTTGGGGCTGGCAGGCTGTCTTGTGACTAGTTGGGGCTGGCAGGCTGTCTTGTGACTAGTTGGGGCTGGCAGGCTGTCTTGTGATTAGCTGGGGCTGTCTTGTGGCTGGCAGGCTGTCTTGTGACTAGTTGGGGCTGGCAGGCTGTCTTGTGACTAGTTGGGGCTGGCAGGCTGTCTTGGGGCTGGTAGGCTGTCTTGTGACTAGTTGGGGCTGGCAGGCTGTCTTGTGACTAGCTGGGGCTGTCTTGGGGCTGGCAGGCTGTCTTGTGACTAGTTGGGGCTGGCAGGCTGTCTTGTGACTTGGGGCTGGCAGGCTGTCTTGTGACTAGTTGGTGCTGGCAGGCTGTCTTGTGACTAGTTGGGGCTGGCAGGCTGTCTTGTGACTAGTTGGGGCTGGCAGGCTGTCTTGTGACTTGGGGCTGGCAGGCTGTCTTGTGACTAGCTGGGGCTGTCTTGTGACTAGTTGGGGCTGGCAGGCTGTCTTGTGACTAGTTGGGGCTGGCAGGCTGTCTTGTGACTAGTTGGGGCTGGCAGGCTGTCTTGTGACTTGGGGCTGGCAGGCTGTCTTGTGACTAGTTGGTGCTGGCAGGCTGTCTTGTGACTAGTTGGGGCTGGCAGGCTGTCTTGTGACTTGGGGCTGGCAGGCTGTCTTGTGACTAGTTGGTGCTGGCAGGCTGTCTTGTGACTAGTTGGGGCTGGCAGGCTGTCTTGTGACTAGTTGGGGCTGGCAGGCTGTCTTGTGACTAGTTGGGGCTGGCAGGCTGTCTTGTGACTAGTTGGGGCTGGCAGGCTGTCTTGTGACTAGTTGGGGCTGGCAATCTGTCTTGTGACCAGCTGGGGCTGGCAGGCTGTCTTGGGACTAGTTGGGGCTGGCAGGCTGTCTTGTGACTAGTTGGGGCTGGCAATCTGTCTTGTGATTAGCTGGGGCTGGCAGGCTGTCTTGTGATTAGCTGGTGCTGGCAGGCTGTCTTGTGACTAGTTGGGGCTGGCAGGCTGTCTTGTGACTAGTTGGGGCTGGCAATCTGTCTTGTGATTAGCTGGGGCTGGCAGGCTGTCTTGTGATTAGCTGGTGCTGGCAGGCTGTCTTGTGACTAGCTGGGGCTGTCTTGTGACTAGTTGGGGCTGGCAGGCTGTCTTGTGACCAGCTGGGGCTGGCAGGCTGTCTTGTGATTAGCTGGTGCTGGCAGGCTGTCTTGTGACTAGTTGGGGCTGGCAATCTGTCTTGTGATTAGCTGGGGCTGGCAGGCTGTCTTGTGATTAGCTGGTGCTGGCAGGCTGTCTTGTGACTAGCTGGGGCTGTCTTGTGACTAGTTGGGGCTGGCAGGCTGTCTTGTGACCAGCTGGGGCTGGCAGGCTGTCTTGTGATTAGCTGGTGCTGGCAGGCTGTCTTGTGACTAGTTGGGGCTGGCAGGCTGTCTTGTGATTAGCTGGGGCTGGCAGGCTGTCTTGTGACCAGCTGGGGCTGGCAGGCTGTCTTGTGATTAGCTGGGGCTGGCAGGCTGTCTTGTGACCAGCTGGGGCTGGCAGGCTGTCTTGTGATTAGCTGGTGCTGGCAGGCTGTCTTGTGACTAGCTGGGGCTGTCTTGTGACTAGCTGGGGCTGGCAGGCTGTCTTGTGACTAGCTGGGGCTGGCAGGCTGTCTTGTGACTAGTTGGGGCTGGCAGGCTGTCTTGTGACTAGCTGGGGCTGGCAGGCTGTCTTGGGGCTGGCAGGCTGTCTTGTGACTTGGGGCTGGCAGGCTGTCTTGTGACTAGCTGGGGCTGGCAGGCTGTCTTGGGGCTGGCAGGCTGTCTTGTGACTTGTGGCTGGCAGGCTGTCTTGTGACTAGTTGGGGCTGGCAGGCTTTCTTGTGACTAGTTATGGCTGGCAGGCTGTCTTGGGGCTGTCTTGTGACTAGTTGGTGCTGGCAGGCTGTCTTGTGACTCGGGGTTGGCAGGCTGTCTTGTGACTAGTTGGGGCTGGCAGGCTGTCTTGTGACTTGGGGCTGGCAGGCTGTCTTGTGACTTGGGGCTGGCAGGCTGTCTTGTGACTAGTTGGGGCTGGCAGGCTGTCTTGTGATTAGTTGGGGCTGGCAGGCTGTCTTGGGGCTGGCAGGCTGTCTTGTGACTAGCTGGTGCTGGCAGGCTGTCTTGTGACTTGGGGCTGGCAGGCTGTCTTGTGACTAGTTGGGGCTGGCAGGCTGTCTTGTGACTAGCTGGGGCTGGCAGGCTGTCTTGTGACTTGGGGCTGGCAGGCTGTCTTGTGACTAGCTGGGGCTGGCAGGCTGTCTTGTGACTAGCTGGGGCTGGCAGGCTGTCTTGTGACTAAATTTATTTAAAAATTGTGTTGTTTTAGAAAAACTGAGGAGTTGAAGGGTAGGGCATTGTCCATTTAAGATATCAGGCATTTAAAGGAAAGGGAAAAAATTTGTATAGATTAGTGCTATTGCCCAAGACTGTAATTAAAAGTAATTACAATATTTACATTGATTTATAAATGCACATAAAACATTAATATCAGAATAAAGATTTTTTTTAGTTTTTTTTTTTCTGGAGGAAAAAAAAAGTTACTAGTTGACTGTCATCTCTCCATTTTCACAAGTTTTTACCATTTCTGATATAAATTTCAGATGCTGCAATCAGTAAAAAATATTTTAATTGGTGGTGAAGAAAATGTTTCACCATCTGGTGATCTTCTCATAAGTGGGCAGACAACCCAGACAGCAGATAATGGGCAGACAACCCAGACAGCAGATAATGGGCAGATAACTCAGTCAGTTGACAGAAGTAAGGAAAATGGGCAGACAATCCAGCAAGCTGACAGAAGTAAGGACCAAGGGCAGATAATCCAGTCTGTTGACAAAAATAAGGAACACAGGCGGACAATCCAGCAAGCTGACAGAAAAAAAGTTGATGATATCATCCTATGTCTAGAGCAACTGTTTAAAGAAAAATTTTCTGACCATGTGGAATCTAGCAGTTTGTTGTCATCTCTAGATAAAATTCAGTCAAATGCCACATGACACATTTGAATCTCACTCTGTTGTTGTCATCTCTAGTTGTAGGTCAGTCAAATGACACATTTGAATCTCACTCTGTTGTCATCTCTAGATGTAGGTCATTGAAATGCCACATTGAGTTGATTCTTTCAAGAGAAATATTGTTAGTTGCCACATTAAAATTGATTGTATACACATGCATATCTAGTGTTGCTTACAGCTTTCCCTCATTACTCAATGCTTAAGTTTAGGGTCAGTTTGTAATCAACAAGATGGTAACGAATGTCCTAATGTATGCTTGTGGGGGGGGGGGGGGGGGGGGGTATTCATCTGTGTGGTAATGTCCTGCTCCCAGAGATGGGGTGAGCTAAAAAGGTCTTGGTGTTGCTGAGAACTATCAATCACATCCAAATTACAAAGTTAGGTTTTCAAATTAACACACAAAGCCACATCCATATTACAAAGTTAGGTTTTCAAATTAACACACAAAGCCACATCCAAATTATGAAGTTAGGTTTTCAAATTAACACACAAAGCCTACCAACACCTGAAAGCCACTAACACAAAGCCCACCTACAAATGGCCGCCATCTTGAGATGCTAATCCTATTATCCCTACAAACTATCTGGGTGGCGTCTCCTTCATCCAGTGGACGGGTGGCGTCTCCTTCATCCAGTGGACGGCTGCCGCCCGGGGCGACGACATCTTGTTTTCTAATATCTCTCCGGTTTCTGCTGCTGAGTTGCACATCAAGCGGCTTCAGTGTCGGCCCGATGGAACTGGCGCCGAGTGGCAGAGAAAATATCTTGTAGGGATTGTGCTTCTGGCCCTCGGCATGAAAACGATGGGCCCTAATCGTCTGCTCCGTTTATTTTCACAAGTAATTCTAACTTCCGTCTGCTTCTGGCTCTGGTCGCCCGACACGGCCGAGTTACGAACTTGACAACGCCCCCCCCCCCCCCCTCTGTTCTGCCCAATTGGCCGGTCGTCTGCTACTAGTTTAAATATTTCTACACGGGCCCACACGCCGCCACAAACCACATATTCAAACCATACACAATCAAAACATTGCCGGCCTTTGAAACCAGCGCTGGGAAGATAACCCGATATCTGATTCCGATACTGGTCCTTGTCTTGAGGTGCGAGTTCTGGGACTTTGCTCAAGATGCTCGGGGGAAAAAACTTTGGCGAATGGTTGTGTGGGGGTACACACACTTCTCTCTCTTTCTGAAGGTCATCGTGTGGGTGGAAGGTCATCGGTGTGGGGTCTTGTGTGCATATACGTTTATATGTGGTGTGGGCATATTGTGAGGGTGCGAAATCCGCGTGTGGGTGTGAAGTAATTAGTGTGAAGTAATTAGTGTGAGGTAACGTGTCAGTTCCTAAGTGGATTGGGTACCCGTGTGTTCATATAGAACCTGACGACATTAATTAAAAACTTTGTCCGGTCCACGGCTGTTGATTTTGCAGTCTCCCAAGACATCATTGCTGTCTTCAGTTGTTCAAGAACTCTTTAGCACTTCTTCAAGAAAACCCATAGGACCTCTCCAAGTTTAGTTATAACAACTCCTGAGCTTCACATCTTCAATAATACATTTTGCTGTTTTGCTTTTTTTTAAAACGAGTTTCTTTTGTAAAATGTGATAAAAATTACTACTCTAGAAAACAATTGACCATTGTTTCTTTCAGACATTGGGGGAATGCCATGTCATTTTACAGGTGGGGGGTCTGAAATTTTGTGCTGAAGGAGGGGGGGGGGTATAAATAGCCCAAAGAGTTGTGACGTCATCAGCATCAGTTCCAAAAACGTATTTCATAATCTAACACCAACCAAACATCACCTGCGCCATATTTTAACGGAAGTGAAAAAGAACGATACGCGCGCCAAGATGCGCATGTCCACTTATCGCCCCGCCCATTAAAATACCGCATAAACTGATTGCAAATTATTCAGCGGTTGTCAACAAACCTCCTCGGGTTTCCCGCTTCTCGCGCTAACGGCTGCATCTTCCTACAGACCACGTGATAACACCCGGGACAAATTAGATGCAAGCGTTTTCAGACGGCCATCTTGCCTCATTACCCGCTGGTTTATAATGGCGCTGGCAAACATCAGACGATATGTGGAGATAAGATGATACTCGCGCCACTCAAAGGTCGGGGGTCACGATAAATCAAAGCATGATATACGCGCTCTACTTTTATGGGAAAACCCGATGGGTCTCTTCGCTAGCTTGAATTATCAATTGCGTTTATAGGTTTTAAAGGGCGAACCATCTTGATTTATCCATTTTTGCGTTTATAGGTTTTAAAGGGCAAATCATCTTGATTTATCAATTTTTGCGTTTATAGGTTTTAAAGGGCAAATCATCTTGATTTATCAATTTTTGCGTTTATAGGTTTTAAAGGGCAAACCATCTTGATTTATCTATTTTTGCGTTTATAGGTTTTAAAGGGCAAACCATCTTGATTTATCAATTTTTGCGTTTATAGGTTTTAAAGGGCTAACCATCTTGATTTATCAATTTTTGCGTTTATAGGTTTTAAAGGGCAAATCATCTTGATTTATCAATTTTTGCATTTACAGGTTTTAAAGGGCAAACCATCTTGATTTATCAATTTTTGCGTTTACAGGTTTTAAAGGGCAAACCATCTTGATTTATCAATTTTTGCGTTTATAGGTTTTAAAGGGCAAACCATCTTGATTTATCAATTTTTGCGTTTATAGGTTTTAAAGGGCAAACCATCTTGATTTATCAATTTTTGCGTTTATAGGTTTTAAAGGACAATATTTTGGCCAAGTGTTTGGTGTTTGTTATCTTCCTATATGTGTGTGTTTGGTGTTTTTATCTTCCTATATGTGTGTGTTTGGTGTTTTTATCTTCCTATATATGAGTGTTTGGTGTTTGTGAGTGTATAATCTTGTGTATGTGTGCGTGTCTCTGCGCGAATTGCACCCCGCCAAAAGTGTGCTAAAACAATTAACTGGCCGCCATTTGATAACATTCTCTCGTCTGAACCAAACTAAGGGCACAGAACCGGAGATAGGGGAGATCACCCACGTTGAAAGTATAACAGGGGAGCTAACAACTGGACGATCTATCTACTCTCTGGTTTAACTATTAGCTAGTCTTAGTCCCCCCCCCCCCCCCCCCTGTCCCCACGATTCCCCCCTACCCGCAGGGGAGGTTTTTAAAGATACAAAATTATTTATTTAATTAGCATATTATCAACATATTATCAACATATTATCAACATATTATCAACATATTATCAACATATTATCAACATATTATCAACATATTATCAACATATTATCAACATATTATCAACATATTATCAACATATTATCAACATATTATCAACATATTATCAACATATTATCAACATATTATCAACATATTATCAACATATTATCAACATATTATCAACATATTATCAACATATTATCAACATATTATCAACATATTATCAACATATTATCAACATATTATCAACATATTATCAACATATTATCAACATATCAACATATTATCAACATATTATCAACACATTATCAACATATTATCAACATATTATCAACATATTATCAAAACATTATCAACATATTATCAACATATTATCAACATATTATCAACATATTATCAATATATTATCAATATATTATCAATATATTATCAACATATTATCAACATATTATCAACATATTATCAACATATTATCGGCGAGCGGGCAAATCACGATTGTCTTATAGCTACAGCTGGTGGTCCTATAGCTACAGCTGGTGGTCCTATAGCTACAGCTGGTGGTCCTATAGGTACAGCTGGTGGTCCTATAGCTACAGCTGGTGGTCCTATAGCTACAGCTGGTGGTCCTATAGCTACAGCTGGTGGTCCTATAGCTACAGCTGGTGGTCCTTTAGCTGGTGGTCGTTCAGCTGGTGGTCCTATAGCTACAGCTGGTGGTCCTTTAGCTGGTGGTCCTATAGCTACAGCTGGTGGTCCTATAGCTACAGCTGGTGGTCCTATAGGTACAGCTGGTGGTCCTTTAGCTGGTGGTCCTATAGCTACAGCTGGTGGTCCTTTAGCTGGTGGTCCTATAGCTACAGCTGGTGGTCCTTTAGCTGGTGGTCCTATAGCTACAGCTGGTGGTCCTATAGCTGGTGGTCCTATAGCTACAGCTGGTGGTCCTATAGCTACAGCTGGTGGTCCTATAGCTACAGCTGGTGGTCCTATAGCTACAGCTGGTGGTCCTATAGCTACAGCTGGTGGTTCCATAGCTACAGCTGGTGGTCCTATAGCTACAGCTGGTGGTCCTATAGCTACAGCTGGTGGTCCTATAGCTACAGAAAACGGTGCTGCAACTTTAAAAGAATTGTTTTCTTTAAATTTGAGTCAAATCTGGAACTTAACCAATCCTCTCCAGTAAACATCTGTCACGTGATGTCTGTCATAACCAATCCTCTCCAGTAAACATCTGTCACGTGATGTCTGTCATAACCAATCCTCTCCAGTAAACATCTGTCACGTGATGTCTGTCATAACCAATCCTCTCCAGTAAACATCTGTCACGTGATGTCTGTCATAACCAATCCTCTCCAGTAAACATCTGTCACGTGATGTCTGTCATAACCAATCCTCTCCAGTAAACATCTGTCACGTGATGTCTGTCATAACCAATCCTCTCCAGTAAACATCTGTCACGTGATGTCTGTCATAACCAATCCTCTCCAGTAAACATCTGTCACGTGATGTCTGTCATAACCAATCCTCTCTAGTAAACATCCGTCACGTGATGTCTGTATGAATGTATTAAAATTATGGGATGTTGCTTTTGTTAGGTTTGTAGCCTTGTGGCAAGTGCACATAAAGGTAACATCAGGCATGGCTTATGACAACAAATGATTTTAACTCAAACTTATGACAACAAATGATTTTAACTCAAACTTATGACAACAAATGATTTTAACTCAAACTTATGACAACAAATGATTTTAACTCAAACTTATGACAACACATGATTTTAACTCAAACTTATGACAACAAATGATTTTAACTCAAACTTCTGACAACAAATGATTTTAACTCAAACTTATGACAACAAATGATTTTAACTCAAACTTATGACAACAAATGATTTTAACTCAAACTTATGACAACAAATGATTTTAACTCAAACTTCTGACAACAAATGATTTTAACTCAAACTTATGACAACAAATGATTTTAACTCAAACTTATGACAACAAATGATTTTAACTCAAACTTATGACAACAAATGATTTTAACTCAAACTTATGACAACAAATGATTTAAACTCAAACTTATGACAACAAATGATTTAAACTCAAACTTCTGACAACAAATGATTTTAACTCAAACTTCTGACAACAAATGATTTTAACTCAAACTTCTGACAACAAATGATTTTAACTCAAACTTATGACAACAAATGATTTTAACTCAAACTTATGACAACACATGATTTTAACTCAAACTTATGACAACAAACTCAATACAAACACTTGAGGTTAGTTAAACTCAATACAAACACTTGAGGTTAGTTAAACTCAATACAAACACTTGAGGTTAGTTAAACTCAATACAAACACTTGAGGTTAGTTAAACTCAATACAAACACTTGAGGTTAGTTAAACTCAATACAAACACTTGAGGTTAGTTAAACTCAATACAAACACTTGAGGTTAGTTAAACTCAATACAAACACTTGAGGTTAGTTAAACTCAATACAAACACTTGAGGTTAGTTAAACTCAATACAAACACTTGAGGTTAGTTAAACTCAATACAAACACTTGAGGTTAGTTAAACTCAATACAAACACTTGAGGTTAGTTAAACTCAATACAAACACTTGAGGTTAGTTAAACTCAATACAAACACTTGAGGTTAGTTAAACTCAATACAAACACTTGAGGTTAGTTAAACTCAATACAAACACTTGAGGTTAGTTAAACTCAATACAAACACTTGAGGTTAGTTAAAAACATTCCCATGTTTTTGCGCCATCGTGTACTTTCTACACCGCGATGTATATTTTATAATAGATTTTCTTTACTTACATCAGCAGGGCCAATAGTTGTAACCGACATTAGCAGGGCCATCGACATTAGCAGGGCCAACAACTGTGGCCGACATTAGCAGGGCCAACAACTGTGGCCGACATTAGCAGGGCCAACAACTGTGGCCGACATTAGCAGGGCCATCGACATTAGCAGGGCCAACAACTGTGGCCGACATTAGCAGGGCCATCGACATTAGCAGGGCCATCGACATTAGCAGGGCCAACAACTGTGGCCGACATTAGCAGGGCCAACAACTGTGGCCGACATTAGCAGGGCCAACAACTGTGGCCGACATTAGCAGGGCCAACAACTGTGGCCGACATTAGCAGGGCCATCGACATTAGCAGGGCCATCGACATTAGCAGGGCCAACAACTGTGGCCGACATTAGCAGGGCCAACAACTGTGGCCGACATTAGCAGGGCCAACAACTGTGGCCGACATTAGCAGGGCCAACAACTGTGGCCGACATTAGCAGGGCCAACAACTGTGGCCGACATTAGCAGGGCCAACAACTGTGGCCGACATCAACACGGCCAACAACTGTGGCCCTTTGCAAGGCTCCCCACTGAGAAAGCAATACACATCGCTGCCGGTCGTCTGGCGGCCAGGCTGCAGGAACTAGCGGCAGTGATCTCCCCTAGTGTTTGGGCAACAAGGCCAGACATATCGAGTTCCTTATTTGAAGAAATAAACTCAGATTCTCGCTAGAGGCTCAAGACGGGCCGTAACTGACGTGAAATATACAAGGATTAATTGCCTGGGTTGTGTCCCCTGAAGGCTTCCATTGTATGGTGAAATGTAGTAGCTCGGCCAAAATATTCTTGGCGACGTGTTTAGGGAGGGGGGGGGGGGGGGGGGGGGGGGAGGGGAAGAGAGATAAGTGTGTGTGTGTGTCTGAGTGTGGGTGCTATGTTTATGATTAAGGGCAACTCTATATGTGTTAATAAAATGGGCTGGGATTGTAAGTAACGTAGTCTGAGGGTGTCAGTAAAGTTGTAGAGGGTGTCAATAAAGTTGCTGAGGGTGTCAATAAAGTTGCTGAGGGTGTCAGTTAAGTTGCTGAGGGTGTCAGTAAAGTTGGTGAGGGTGTCAGTAAAGTTGGTGAGGGTGTCAGTAAAGTTGGTGAGGGTGTCAGTAAAGTTGGTGAGGGTGTCAGTTAAGTTGCTGTGGGTGTCAGTAAAGTTGGTGAGGGTGTCAGTAAAGTTGCTGAGGGTGTCAATAAAGTTGCTGTGGGTGTCAGTAAAGTTGGTGAGGGTGTCAGTAAAGTTGGTGAGGGTGTCAGTAAAGTTGGTGAGCGTGTCAGTTAAGTTGCTGAGGGTGTCAATAAAGTTGCTGAGGGTGTCAATAAAGTTGGTGAGGGTGTCAGTAAAGTTGGTGAGGGTGTCAATAAAGTTGCTGAGGGTGTCAGTTAAGTTGCTGAGGGTGTCAATAAAGTTGCTGAGGGTGTCAATAAAGTTGGTGAGGGTGTCAGTAAAGTTGGTGAGGGTGTCAATAAAGTTGCTGAGGGTGTCAATAAAGTTGCTGAGGGTGTCAATAAAGTTGGTGAGGGTGTCAGTAAAGTTGGTGAGGGTGTCAGTAAAGTTGCTGAGGGTGTCAGTTAAGTTGCTGTGGGTGTCAGTAAAGTTGGTGAGGGTGTCAGTAAAGTTGCTGAGGGTGTCAATAAAGTTGCTGAGGGTGTCAGTAAAGTTGGTGAGGGTGTCAGTAAAGTTGGTGAGGGTGTCAGTAAAGTTGCTGAGGGTGTCAATAAAGTTGCTGAGGGTGTCAGTAAAGTTGGTGAGGGTGTCAGTTAAGTTGCTGAGGGTGTCAGTAAAGTTGGTGAGGGTGTCAGTAAAGTTGGTGAGGGTGTCAGTAAAGTTGGTGAGGGTGTCAGTTAAGTTGCTGTGGGTGTCAGTAAAGTTGGTGAGGGTGTCAGTAAAGTTGCTGAGGGTGTCAATAAAGTTGCTGTGGGTGTCAGTAAAGTTGGTGAGGGTGTCAGTAAAGTTGGTGAGCGTGTCAGTAAAGTTGGTGAGGGTGTCAGTTAAGTTGCTGAGGGTGTCAATAAAGTTGCTGAGGGTGTCAATAAAGTTGCTGAGGGTGTCAGTTAAGTTGCTGTGGGTGTCAGTAAAGTTGGTGAGGGTGTCAGTAAAGTTGGTGAGGGTGTCAGTAAAGTTGGTGAGGGTGTCAGTTAAGTTGCTGTGGGTGTCAGTAAAGTTGGTGAGGGTGTCAGTAAAGTTGCTGAGGGTGTCAATAAAGTTGCTGTGGGTGTCAGTAAAGTTGGTGAGGGTGTCAGTAAAGTTGGTGAGGGTGTCAGTAAAGTTGGTGAGGGTGTCAGTTAAGTTGCTGAGGGTGTCAATAAAGTTGCTGAGGGTGTCAATAAAGTTGCTGAGGGTGTCAGTTAAGTTGCTGTGGGTGTCAGTAAAGTTGGTGAGGGTGTCAGTAAAGTTGGTGAGGGTGTCAGTTAAGTTGCTGTGGGTGTCAGTAAAGTTGGTGAGGGTGTCAGTAAAGTTGCTGAGGGTGTCAATAAAGTTGCTGAGGGTGTCAGTTAAGTTGCTGTGGGTGTCAGTAAAGTTGGTGAGGGTGTCAGTAAAGTTGGTGAGGGTGTCAATAAAGTTGCTGAGGGTGTCAGTTAAGTTGCTGAGGGTGTCAGTAAAGTTAGTGAGGGTGTCAGTAAAGTTGGTGAGGGTGTCAATAAAGTTGCTGAGGGTGTCAATAAAGTTGCTGAGGGTGTCAGTTAAGTTGCTGTGGGTGTCAGTAAAGTTGGTGAGGGTGTCAGTAAAGTTGGTGAGGGTGTCAGTTAAGTTGCTGTGGGTGTCAGTAAAGTTGGTGAGGGTGTCAGTAAAGTTGGTGAGGGTGTCAGTAAAGTTGGTGAGGGTGTCAGTAAAGTTGGTGAGGGTGTCAGTAAAGTTGTTGAGGGTGTCAGAAAAGTGGGTTGGAAGTGTCAGCTGTGTATTTGAATATTTATCGAGAGATCAGGACCTGTGAAGACTTAATGAGCTGCAGGTGAAGGTCATTTAGAGTGGTAGACGTGTTGTCAAGTGCCGTAGGTGAAGTAGAACTGTGGATGGGGTCAAGTGCTGTGAGAGGTGTACTCACACTGTTTACCTTTGTTTACCTCTGCCACATTAACCAATCAGATTCTGTTGACTTTGTCACGTGGTGGTCACGCCCTGATCCAATGTAAACAGCCGAGTCACGTGCTAATGTTGTATACAACTTTAAGTGTCAGCTCGAGGATGTTGGGGGGCGGAGGGGGGGGGATAGAGAGACGTGGGTGGGGGGTTAATGACAGAGATGACGTCATTTCTGGTGGTCTAGAACAGGGGTCTCCAAAGTTTTCAATCCGAGGGCCGCATTAACTATCAAATTTCAGTTCGGGGGCCAGTTTCTTCTAGGCATGTCTTTTATTTTTGTGGCCAAAGTTCCTCAGCCATCACCAACAAACGATTTTTCCTTGGATAAAAAGATCTCCGCGGGCCGGATGAAAGGACTTTGCGGGCCGCATCCGGCCCGCGGGCCGTAGTTTGGAGACCCCTGGTCTAGAACAAGAACAGTGGCAAAAGAATTTCGGGACCACTATATATATATATATATATATATATATATATATATATATATATATATATATATATATATATATATATATATATATATATATATATATATATATATATATATAATGGATACAGTAATCATTAAGACTTGGGTGAACAAATGTTCACCCCCATGTTGACTATCTCCACCCCCCCCCCCTCCCTCATCCTTCATCCCAACTGCAAAGATCTGTTTTTTTGTGTTCTCGTTGAAATCTCGCCTGAAACTCTAGGCCGAGAGTAGAGGGTAAACAAACAGACGCAGACGACAGTACAGGGGGTCCAGCTCAAGCGTAACTCATCCCTTCATTAGAACCCGCTCATTGAAATAGCAGACGACTCAGCAGAAGTGTTTTAGCCCCATGCGATACCTACACGTAGAATCTCCCAACATCGATACCGATATTTATAAACCGGCAATAAAATAACGATACCTATCCTTGAACCGCCGGATCAAATTTGCTGGAATTTTTCGATAGATTTTATCTTTGATGGTGTGTCCTGTTGGTGTTGATGGTGTTGATGGTGTTGATGGTCTCTGTTCTGTTGGTGTTGATGGTGTTTATGGTCTGTGTTCTGTTGGTGTTGGTGGTGTTGATGGTCTGTGTTCTGTTGGTGTTGATGGTGTGTTTTCTGTTGGTATTGATGGTGTTGATGGTGTGTGTTCTGTTGTCTAGATGGTGTTGATGGTGTTGATGGTGTTGATGGTGTGTCCTGTTGGTGTTGATGGTCTGTGTCCTGATGTCTAGATGTTCTTGATGTTATAGGGCTGATGTTGTGTTGAATGCTGTCAATTGGTATTATTGTGATGGTATGATGATGTGATGCTGATGTAATGATGGTGAACTGGTGATGAAATGGTCTAAGTGACCCCCCCCCCCCCCCACCGAGTATCTCTCTCCCTAACAAAATAGCACACACACACATATATATATATATATATATATATATGTATATATATATATATATATATATATATATATATATATATATATATATATATATATATATATATATATGTATGTATGTATGTATGTATATAAGAAAAAACGAAAAAAACGATACTTGAGTCAAGTGTTAGATTATTAAAGTACTCATGGTCTAAATTTATGAGTAAAAAAAAATTAATATTGAAAGTCTTAAAAACAATTTTCATTTTATATACTTAGAATAATAATTTTCAATTATGAATATTACATAAAATTTGTAAAAAGTCTATTAACGTTTATAAAATTTCTAAAATTGTGTCTGAAATGTATTTGCCTTTTGTCCTTTAGCTCTCATTACGTCCCTTGATTTGGAAAACACAGTTACTTCCCATTAAAAAACCTATTAAATCGGTGGAGAAAAAAAAATTACTTTTTATTACTTTGTTTTGGTGTCAGGAAAAAAAAAGTACATAATTAGCGGGGATTGATTAAGTGCAATGTCGTTGTTATTTTAATACTGCCTTTTATTTATTCTATACACTGAACGTACTGTTTACTAATTATTTTTTAAAATCAATAACAGTTAATAAGCCAGGTCCTCCAAATGCTATATGTTTATTTCTTTCCATTTACGGATAAGCTTGGAGTATTATAATTTTGTTCACTAAATTGAAACAGGCGCGCCCTGGGCTATCATGTGAGCGCTATGGTGTATAATTTCGTTTTAAACAGTGCGATTGACTATGGATAAGAAAGGTTACTATAGTCTTTAAGTGAATAATTTCCGGGTGTCCTCCGGCATCCCGACAGGGTGCTATTTGGCGCCCCGGACCTTCCCGTGTTCGTTTACGTTCACGTAAGTGAGTTCAAAAGACTATGAATAAGTTGGGTACTATAGTCGTTTACTAAGATGAATCAGGCGGTTACGCCGCACGTCGTCATGGTGCGATTTGGCGCCCCGGGCTAGACTGTGGACACTTTGAGTTTATCTTTGCGTTTGTGTTTTCTTTGTGTTTGAGTTTGGATTTACGTTTGTGGTTGTGTTTGCGTTTGGATTTGGGTTTGTTTTCGTTTGCTTTTTTTCTTTGCGTTTGTGTTTTCGTTTGCTTTTTTCTTTGCGTGTGTGTTTTCTTTGTGTTTGTGGTTGTGTTTGTGTTTGTTTTTTTGTTTTCGTTTTCGCTTGTGTTTGTATTTGTGTTATGTTTGCGATGTTTTTTTTGTGTGTTTTGGTTTTGTTTGGTTGTGGTTGGGTTTGTGTTTGCGTTTGGATTTGTTTTCGTTTGCTTTTTTGTTTGCGTTTGCGTTAGTGTTTGTGTTTTCTTTGTGTTTGTGGTTGGGTTTGTCTTTGCGTTTGTTTTTGTGTTTTCGTTTGTGTTTGTTTTGTGTTAGTGTTATGTTTGCGTTTTTTGTGTGTTTTGGTTGGTTGAGGGTAGGGTGGGCAATGACGGGTAAATGCTGATTACTAAACACACAAGTTATGGTCCTTGACAGATACGTTTTTCAGAGATGCCAGAGCAGGGCCTGGCCGGGACGGCAAATCTAATATAAAGTTCAATTCTGTATGTTTGTAAACGAGGTAGCGATGCATATAAAGTGCTCATCGTCTAAATTAATGATTTAAAAAATTAATAGTGAAAATGTTGTAAAATGATTTTCATTTTTCAAACTTATAGTGATAATTGTCGGCATGTCCATCATATAAAATTTAAATAAATTTATCGCCTTTCACAAAAATTCTAATTGTTTTAAAATTATTTACATTTACTCATTACGTCCCTTGATAAATTAGGAAGACACAATTACTTCCCTTTATTAAAAACCTTACATCTTTGTAAAAAAAATAATTTTTTACTTTTTATTACTTTGTTTGTGTTGGGGAAAAATAATTATATAATTAGCGTGGATTGATCAAGTGCAATGTGGTAGATATTTTAAATATTGCCTTTTATTTATTTTATACACTGAACGTAGTGTTTAGTAATTATTATTTTTAATCACAGACAGTTACGCAAAAAAGACATCTTTATTGGGGAACGGGAATTCCTGCAGGTTATTATTTGTCTTTTTTTGCGCACGAATGTGAGTTCGTTTTTGTCTGTCGCACGAAACATGAACGTCGTTGTTTTTTTTTTTACCTCACCATAGTACGTACCTTTTTTAAGCAGACGTTTCAACAATACATTTAGCAGTGTAAAGTTTTTCTACGTTCTCGATTGTAAAGGCAAGATCGAAGAAACAACTTCTTTCAAGAGCTATGTTTATGTTTTATAGCTTCAAAGTTTCCATCAGATGACTTGCTTTGCACCGCAATTTAAAAAAAAAATCAATAACAGTTTGGAAGTCAGCTCCTAAACGTCCCCTATGTTTACTTTTATCTATAATCTTTAACTGAGTCGAATCCGGACATCATTCGGCGCCCCGACAAGGTGTTATTTGGCGCCCTTGGCCTTCCCGTGTTCACTATGGCGCCTACATTCGTTTAAGTGAGCCCATAAGACTAAAAACAAGTTGGGGTACTATAGTCGCTTACTAAGTTGAATCAGGCGTTTTCGCCGGCGCCTCAGCATGTTGCGATTTGGCGCCCCGGGATAGACTGTGAGCACTTTGCGTTTATGTTTATGTTTGCGTTTGTGTTTTCTTTGTGTTTGAGTATGGGTTTGTGGTTGGGTTTGTGTTTGTGTTTGCGTTTGGATTTGAGTTTGTTTTCGTTTGCTTTTTTGTTTGCATTTGTGTTTGTGTTTTCTTTGTGTTTGTGTTTGTGTTTGCGTTTGTTTTTTTGTTTTCGTTTGTACGTTAGTATTTGTATCTGTGTTATGTTTGCTTTTTTTGTGTTTTGGTTTCGGTTGGTCGAAGCTTTCCGTTTCCAAGTACGCATTTTAAATAGAAGTTTTATATATATATATATATATATATATATATATATATATATATATATATATATATATATATATATATATATATATATATATATATATATATATATATATATATATATATATATATATATATATATATATATATATATATATATATATATATACATATATATTATTTAATAATAAATAATATATTATTCTATTATATATATATATATATATATATATATATATATATATATATATATATATATATGTAGCTAGGGTGGGCCTAACTTCTAGTTACAAATCTGATAACGAACGAGAAGCCGAGACGCAGTATTGCAGTCTGACGCAACCGATAGCAGGTGGCTTATTGAAGTCGGACTGATAACAATCTCAAAGCCAACGCGTGCTATTTTGGGAAACGGTACGAAGAGAGTCAGAAGGCCTGTCAACTTTGATTGATAGGATGCAGATGTTATTTCACGGACTGTACGCTAGAACTGCGTAACTAGTGGTCGGAGACATCGAGTACAAGTATCGATTACGGAGGAATACAAGTATGCAGACGAGTACGGATACAAGGCATAAATAGGAGGGGACGACTGAACTCGCGCTCTGACGGCTCTTACGGCTCTTACCGCTCTTTCCGTTTCATCGCTTGCTTTAGATCAGTCAGTCTGTGTGACATACTCAAGTTGGTTATATTGTGTTAAGAAGGACAATAGACATGTGGATTCAGTTATATGAAGCCTAGTGAGGACTGTTAGGGGGTCAGTTGATTCAGACTATTATTGTGAAACATTTCTGTTGATTCATTGTGTTATATTGAAGCATTTCTTGATTCATGTAATAAAAGGATCAATAGCGAACCTGCATCTTCGAGTCTTTCTACTGTAGTCGATGTTGTGTAGCATGAGTGGTTCAACTCGTTACAATTGGCGTTGTCGGGCAGGATAGACTCGGGAAAGGTCACATTTGGCGTTGCGAACAGGATAGATGCAACTAGCCTAGGTCACATTTGGCGTCGTCGAGCAGGATGAATTCAACTAGACTTGCCGTTTTAGGCACCCATAGTCAACCTTGTGCATAACTGTGTTTTGTGTGTATGTGAATTCGGACATTCAGGAACTGTGAAAATCGAGGAAAATTTTTTCATATACACACGGTAAGAAAGAACTCTTTTGTTTTACTTACGGAATAAAATGTCTACTCTGGACGAGAAGCAGACCCATATAGTGGTCCTACCCAGAGAGTCCCACATTAACAAATTTTACGGGGACGGTGATCCCACTTTAACCAACAGGTTCAGTGAAGAGGTCAAAGCGGCCTGGGCCTCGAGAGGCAT